GAGGCTTTAATAATCCTCTTTTTTAATCTCTTTAGTATTTTACTTTATTACAAATATTGTAATTAATTAAAAACCGACGGATATAAATACCTATTAGCAATTAATAAAAGTTTTTATTTATAATATAAATAGTACTTTTTTTCCCGGGGTACCTAAAAGCCTTTAAATCGTATATTTTTTAAATAATACGGGTATAGAGAACGTTCCTTTTTAATATTTTCTAAGGATATATATAGGGTTATAGTTCCGGTAATAATGGAAATTCTTAAAATTTAAATACGGCTTCTATAATATAATTTATTAAACCTATCGATAATTTATTCGCCAAATTAAATTTTTAAACCCTATATGGAAATTAGGAGGGTTCTATTTTTATTAATGATAATTTAGCGGACAATTTATTAGACTTCGTTTTTTTAGGAGACCTTTTCGAAGATTATTGCAAATCTAAACTTTTAAATATTCTTACACTCTCCCCTACTATAATAAAAGAAACGATTATACGAATATAATTTTTAAAAATAAATTAGGGAATTAATTATATTTCCTTAACTTTTATATCCTCTTCGTTAGGGTAGTCTTAATCCCGATATAGTAGAATATTAAGAACTACGGCGAATTTCCCCGGGCGGTAAAAGATTTCGAAATTAAATTATAAGAGAAATTCGGCCTATTGTATTTACTATTTAGAAAGTTTCTACCCTTTTATAAAGTATTCGAAATTATAATAATTAATAATAATAACGAATTTTTTATAATTCCTAAATTCTATAGACTACTCTTTTATATATTCAATAATTGTAAGCATTTCCTTATAATAAATAAAGTAATTATATTTAGCGGGGGTAAGTTTTTAGGAATAATAAATAATTATTATTTTTTATTTATCCCTCTTTTAAATAAAGATATTACCGAAATTATATTTACTATAATCTATTTTTAAAAGAATAAGTAAATCGGGATCCTACCAAATAAAAATAGGAGTTTTAGTATATAACTCCTTTAATTTTTTAAAAAATATATTATATTATTTAATTTATTTAAAGGGGACTCCCTTACCTGTAAAGATTATTAGTAATCTTATAACTGAAGAAAAAGTTTTAATAAATATTTAGTAATAGTTAATAAATTAAAAAAAAAACTTCGTATCCCTTTTTAAAACGTAAGTACCTCCTATTCGATAATCGCTTTAATTTTCTCCGGGTCCGCTTAAGTATTAATACTTATAATAATAATAAAACTTAAATATTTAATACTCTTTATTACGAATTCGTATTTTTTAGGGTTTATATAAAATTTAACGATAGTTATATATTTAATAATTTTACGCACTTTAACTAAATAATTTACTTTAGAGCCTAATGAAAAGACTAATATATCGTCTATATATATTAAAGTAAAATTATTAAAATAATTGTTTAAAATACTATTAATATACTATTAAAATGTCGTTAGTATTTCTAATAGTCCGAAAGCTATAATTAACTATTTAAATAACTAATATTAAATTTAAAATACTATTTTCCCTTCTTCTCCTTCAGCTATACGGATTTTATAGAACGCCTATTCAATATCTATTTTAGTAAATTATTTCGCTTTAGCAATAATTCTAAGCGTTTTTTTAATTAAAGGTAATAAGTACTAATTTACTTTAATAATAATATTAAGAATTTTATAATCGTAATAGAACCGAAGACCTCCTCCTAATTTTTTAATAAAGAGAATTAGCGCAACGGTAACTAAATTATTAGTACGGATGAAACCTTTATCAAGAAGATTTCTAAAGTTTTTTTTTTAGTATTAAAAATTCTTTTCGTAATGTATTATAAAGGTAATTATAAAGGAGAGACGGCTCCTTACCGTTTTTATCTTTCTTAAATTCAATCTTATAATTAATACTTGGGTAATTGGAATTAACTTTATTAGCCTCCTTTTACTTTTAAAAATAATCGTATATCTTTATAGGGATTACTTTTTATAATTCTTTATTTATTATACTAACTTTAAATTTAAAGGCTTTCTTAATATTTTGTAAATTTACTACAAATATCGCTAATTCTGCAATTTACCGGCCGCTCTTTTTTTTAATCCTATTTACTATAATTTTAAATATAGTTATTAAATAATATACTATTTTTCTAAGCTCCTTAGCTTTTAGGGAGAAACTTTTTGAGGAATATTCTAAATACGGGATTTAATAATTAACTATTCCGTATTAGAATTTATATTTATAAGGGATAGAATAAGTTTTTAGAACGGTTAATTATAATTTCCCTAGAAAAATAGGGAATTGTAATTTAAGGATTACGTAAGTATAAATAATAGATTTATACTTATAAATATTTACCCTAAAATAAATAATCCCTTTAATCTCCGCCCCTTCTATTTCTATTAAAGCTGTTCGTATTTATCTTTTAAATATAAGTATAACGGGATTTTTTAATTTTTTAATAATATTTTTACTAATTATAATATTGCACTAATAACCTTTATTAATGAGGGTATAGAAACAATCTTCATTATTAATAGTAATAAGTATTTTAATAATATCTATCTCTATAAATCCCGGCAAATTTTCAATTCCTGCTTCTTTACTTAATATTCTAGAATATTCCTTTATTCGATTTTATAAAGAAGCTACTCTTTTTTTAATTCTTTAAAGGAAGAATATTTATTACTATCTTCTAACACAAGTTCTACCTTATATTTAATTTTAATAAATTTAATACCTACAAGGGGATATTATACCGGCTAATATACATAACTACCGATTATATATTTACTAATTCCGTAATAGAAATAGAAATTTAAAATACAATATTTATTTCTTTCGTCCTAAGAGACCTATTTAATATACTTAATATTCTTATTATTAAGGTGATTCTTTATTTTAATATAATTTATTATAATATTACCGTTTATATTTTTAGAGTATTTAAGAGTAAGCGTAAAATTGCGCTAGGAAGGGAATTCTAATAACGATTATTGTATCTTTTATTATTATTCCTAATATTACGGAAAGCTTTATTAATTTTAAATTTCTATGCAATATCTTTTATTTATTCGATATAGAAGTCGTAAATTTCGGGTATACGGATTACAATTAATTAGTTGTAGAAAGTATTAAATATAGAAGTTTCTAATTAGGTTAGCTTGGAATTATTTTCCTAAGTAAAGCCTTTAATTTTCGTAAGGTTTTCTTCGAATATAAGGAATTAGTCTGATAAGAATTAGTTTTCTCTCTATTATATAGTACGTAAATTGGTTAGGGTTAGTTTTTATTTTATTTTTTTCATTAAAAATTAATTTAAAGTAATTAAAGAAATTTTCGGGTTTATAGGTATTGCTAATACCGCTATAGCGCTAGAAGGCTTCTATTTTAGTTATTTTATCAGCCGGGAGGCCGTTTAATAATATTAACCAACCCAATTTACTATTAGTAATAGTTCCCGCCGACTTCTCTTCTTTATATATAAAGCGTAGTTAGGTAATATAGAAACTAAATATAGAGGCGGTTCTATCCTATTTCGGCTAACGGATATTCTTATATTTAAAATTATAGCAGGGAACGACTTTTTATATAATACCGATTGCGGCGCTCGGGGTAATAGTAATTATTATAGTAATTATATTAACGTTAAAAGATTTTTATTAATTTTAAATAATAAGCTATATATTGAGCGCTATTCTTATTATTTGGGCAAATACGTCGCTAGTAAATAACGTCCTAGCGAAGTCTTCTTTCTTTCGTACGAAGTGTACGGTTTCTCTCTTTATAACTTCTTCTTATTTTACGGCTACGGCGGCTATAACGGCGGAAAATTCTATAAGAATTCCAACTATAACTATTTAGGTAGGTAGGCCCTATTACTATTACTATAGCGGTTACTTATCCTATTCTATTAGGTTCATTATAATAGAACCTAATATAATGGAGATAATACAGTTAATATAGGTATTGGTCGTATAGTTTAATTAAGGTTCTATAAAGAAGGAAAGTTTTATTTGAGAGGCAGCTCTACCGAAAATGCGAAGTTTTAATGGAGGCTGTATATATATAGCCACGGCGCCTTATAATAACTCTAGTCGATAACTAGAGCGCCACAGCCCGGGCCTTAGCCCTATAAAATACCAAACTTATTATAAAAAATATATGTTTCTATAGAGAATTTAAAAACCTTTCTTAACTAATCTAATTATAATAGCTCATTACGTTAGGAAATCTTATAGGCCATCCTTTCATTACTCTAGTTAGAAGATTTTAATTACTTCGATATAGCACTCCTTAATATATATATATTTAATTCGTTAGTTAGAAAGTATTGTATTTTATCGAAGTATAAATCGGATTTATATTAAAGGAGTTCGAAGACTTCCTATATAGCGATAAATTAAATATAGCTTCGAACTCTCGTCTATAATCAACTATATTAACTTCTATAACCTAAGGTGCCAATATAGTCGGATTAAAAGGTATACGAAGCTAAGGATATAACTACCTAATTGTATCATAATTCTTCTTCAATCTCTAAACCTAACGTTTACTAATAACAATAATATATACAATTTTACGTAAATACTCGCTAACAACTAGCATTACGTATATTGCTTAACGCTATTAGTTATTTGTATAGTACTTTATTACTATAGCTATCTTAGATCTTGTCGCCTTCAAAATCCGATCAGAATCGTCAAATTTGAATACAAATCGAGTATAAAACGGCGGAGTTATAGATCTTGAAGGTCTGGCATATCGATATTAATGCATGTGTGTATATCTGGCGGCTCAATTCAAAAGTGGGGACTGACACCGTGTTTTCAACGCACAGCGATCAACTTCCCTAGGTCTAATTGCTTCGTGTTGTTTCATGATTAAAGCGTTATCTCACCTTGAATATACTATTTCTGAAGTTCAATATGTCATATTGAATCTTTCTAATGACTTTTCGATCCGTGCTTAGCCATTTATTTTGTCCTTGTGAGGTTTGGGACAATTCGGGATGGATATTGTCCAGTATACCAAGAGTACCTGGCTAACAAACAAACCAGCATCGGACTGTACACTCGTGGTAAAGTCACGTGGCGCACGGCTTATCATCCGGTCTTACCAGCAGAACTCTTGTGGAGCCCTCTCATCCCGACTCTTTGGATTGGAAACTCCATCCGCGATTCTACCGAACGCTGGCTTGTGACTCGGGATCCAGCCAGGTCTCCGTCGGGTCCCTCGTTCATCAGAATCATGTCGGATACTATAACACAACCTCCACTCCCGCCATTGACAACAACAACATCGATAAGCCCATCACCATCAGCTATCGCGCCTACAATTGTCCCGGCTGCTGCCACTGCTGGTAGTACAGCAACAACGTCGTCAGCCATTACCTCTAGACATTCTGATCACCAACAGTCAACACAATCAAGACCACCCGACTCGACCTCTACAGGTGCTATCTCCACAGAGCACCACGGCGGGCACTTACACCCACAACACCAGCCGGCAGCGCAGTCACAGCAACAACACCAACACCAACATCAGCATCAACAAATTGGAGACCCTCAACTACCTCCTCCAACACGTGCACAGTCACAACCACAACCAGAATCCTCGACGATATCTTCGCCGATATTCCATGTTGATGCCCATGCTACCGTCCTTGCAGCGGCTGCCCACCATGCCGCTGCCAACCATGACCTCCAAGCTCTCCAAGCTGCCGTCGTAGCTGCTCCCGACGTCGTTGTTCAACCACCACAACCACCCACAGACCTGGGCAATGTTGCAAATAGTCAATCATACCCGCCCGAAGCAGTGGCCATCTATACACAGGCACTTCAAATGGCTTCCCAGACAACCCCTCCAGGATCTTCTCCAACAGCCAAACCCCAGTCCAAGACCACTCGCCTGCGGAGGGCGTGTGACATGTGCAGTTCAAGGAAAGTCAAGGTAAAGCCTGGCTAATTAGAACGCTTACATACCTTGATCTTAGAGCTGACCTTTCATGTAGTGTGATGAGACTCATCCTTGTCGGCCATGTCGCGATCTCCAGGTCGACTGTACGTTTGCTAGGGAAATGAGGCGTCGAGGTCCTCCCAATAGGCACGCAGAGGCTGCCAGAGCGGCGAAGCGTCCGCGACTCGAACCCGCCTTGCCGAATAACAATGCGCAGCCTCACAATGCGGCCCAGACTTTGATTTCCATCGCTGGCAACCCGCAAGGCGGCCATTCACAGCCGCATGGGCACAGTCAGGCTATCCTCGATGCCGAAGCTATAGCCCCATGGCCCGTGTTGCTTCTCCTCGTCGACGACTTCTTCACTTATATCCATCCTTTGACGCCCTTTCCCCACGAGCCTACCTTCCGTCAGCAACTGGCCAACCGGGAAGACCAAAAGAGCCACGAATTTCTGGCCTTGCTCGCGAGCATGGTTGGCTGTCTGGTTGCCTCCTTTCCCAGGACAGCACGGTTGCATCTCAAGTCACAACATGGCATGAATCTGTTTCCCAAGGCCATTCATCTCGTTGACCGTTGCCGCCATGTGGCCATGGAAGCCCGTGGTTCTTACTTCTATAACCGAGAAGACATGACGGTTTACGACGCAGTCACAAGCTATTTCCTCGGCTTGGCTGCTGCTTACACTTTGCAATGGAAGGTGTGTCGCCGCTTCATGTCAGAAGCTTCCAACATCATCAGAGAACTGGGATACCATAAACCGCGTGACTTTTTCGCAGTCACCTACAGGGGCCCTGCCTTTGACTATGTACAGGACCAGATCGGCAAGCGTGTCTTCTGGGTCATGTTTCTAGGTGTCCGCTCAATGATGCAATTCGGCGGGCCCATGGGCGAAATAGTGTTCCCCCCTCCGACACCCGCCGAGCCGTATCCCGATTTCCCGGCCGAGGTGGACGACGAGTTTATTCTTCCATCCCAAATCCTGGTGCAGCCCCCTTCTATCGTGTCGCGCCTGACGGGCTTCGTACAGGCCATCAAGATTTACATGACCATGAACTCGCTGGTTGGCATCGAGTTATCGTACGGCCTGACGACACTGCCCTTTCAGGATCAGAAGGACATGTTACACGAATGCTTGCAAGGTGTGAAACAGGTCATGGAAGGCATGCCCCCAGAACTCACTCTAAATTTAGACAGCAATACCGCCAACGCAAGCCTGGGTGAGCTACCTCAAGTTTCCGCGCCGCATGACGCTCTTGGCGACAGTGGATTCCAGTACTGCCCACCCGCCTATCCTGCACATCAGCCGGCCTCAGACATCCGGCATGTTATCAACAACGATCCTGAACGCCGTCGTCTACTTCAGTATGAGATCCAAAAGGCAAATATCTATGCGTCACAGGTCGCGACACGCTCCTACTATGTCGAACGCTACTTGAACCTTCGCGACGCCCATCGAGAGCATACCCGCAATCAAGCAGCACAAGCATATGCCGCAGTTACGGCCGTGGAAAATGGCGTCGGCGGTAGCAACGGGGTTTCCCATGATAGTAAGAGCGTTGCGGCTGCTGCTCTACACGCTGCTGCAGAGCAGCTATCTGATCCCATTGATGAGAACATGACCGCCGAGCGTGAGCTTATCGTCCAGAATCTCCTTGTCGTGCTTGCTTCCATCTCTCAACGCAACATGGAGCCCAATGGCGGATCCTTCATCAATAAGGTTCGTCAGGTGGCTTCCACGCTCGTCCACGATGCTCCTGGCCGGAAAGGGCCCATGGCCACCAAAGCTCAAGAGCCTCTCACCCGCTTTCTAGACATTCTCATGAGGCTGGAGAAGACTGGGCCGGGGAACACGGACCGGGGTGATGGGACTATGACTCCGCAGGACGAAGAGATGGAACTAAGGAGCTGGGCGGATCTGCGAGAGCACCAGATGCGGTTTTATCAGAGTGGAGGATTCATGGGTCAGATCTAGCCTGAAGAGGTCGTTCACAAGGCATGCGTTTGTTCGACGAAGCCATCTTATCCGTTTTGTGTTGAGTTCTCACAGCTCGTCCTTCCTTTTGCTTTGCCCCATGCGTGTTTCTGTTCAAGCGACGGGAGTTAGACGGTGTTGGGATCGCAATGGAATGTCTTGAGGATTTTTCATCCCAATATATGTGAGCACCATGACGGTCAACACAGCCTTAGTCTGACGCTGTTGGGACGACTTCCTACCCTACTGATGGATCTTCCCACCGATAGTGTCGTGTTCAGCAATCCGTTACTGCTATTTGGTACCAATTTGCAACCGTAGATAACTTCCCTTCTGCAACGGATTTTTGCGCTTTTTTACACCTGGTACTACATTTTGGCCTCCTGTTGCTATACAGGAAGGAAGCCACGCGGCCATTTCCGTGCAGGTGCATGGTAAAGTGTTTGGATAGCCATGGTATCCGTCAGGATTAAATGGTCACACCGAGGCCCGGACTAAGAAACTTATTCGTCAGGCAGGGACATCCCTCGTTCTCACAGTAAGCCGTGCCGCTCTTGTGTTTGTCACGAACTCCTCTTTCCCCTGAGGGTATTAAACGGAGGATTGGCAGACCTCTTGCTCTTCCTTTCCTCAGACCAATCAATCCATCAAATTTACCACATTGGCTTCTGCTCCTCTCAATTCCCGTGGACCAGACTCGACGTCTTCAGACTTCAACTTGACATCTCTGTTGGATTTCCGATACGGCTTCACGTCACCGCAGCTTGGAAATCTTTCCCGGTCGCAGCCTTCAAGGATAAGGTACGAGTGAAACTGCCCACGAAGAGCGCCTACCGATGGGAAGCTGCTGGATCTGAACAATCTTTGACAGCGGGTCCAGAATGCTCTCTACCTCTAATCATCTGTCTATTTCGATGCTAGGGCAACTACCGTCCTAATGGTGCGGTCAATTACAGACACGCCTGTTACACATGTATCATCCCGTGACTAACTCTGAGCCCGCACCAGACACTTGCAGAAAAGGATGCCTCAAGATCTCTTCAAGAGACATCCTCTGGTCAGGAAACCACTGGAAGATACCCTGCAACAGTTCCAGAAACATGTCCGCCTTCTCCTTCGGCAACTCGCTCTTGATCACCGCCAGATGAAGCGGATTCTTTGCCCTATGCCTCTTCTTCCAATTCTTGAGCGCGCTATACCTGAGGAATCCAACATGCGCCGGATTAGACGGAAACACGGTCTTCTTCCCTTTAGCCCGATCCTTCCATGCATTTCGATACGGTACGGGGATGGGGCCAAGAAAATATTCCATCTCGGCCAGCACGTCGGTTTCGGGGCACCTGTCGACCGATTCCCACGTGTCTGGGAAGGCAGCATGCCCCGAGCAGATCTTGACCATGGAGCAGCCCAGCGCCCATATGTCACTTTCCATGCTCATGTGCCCGTAATGGCGTATGATGCACTCTGGCGCTTTATAATGGACGGGAATCAGCGAGTGGCGCGGCTCCCATGAGTGGTGCCAGGCTGAGCCCATGTCGATCACGGTCGCGCGAGGGACCTGGAGGCCTGGTTGCCCTACAAAGCCCATGTCCAAGTTTTTTCGAGCCAGAATTTCTCGAAGTGCGTTGATGTCACACTTGGCTGGGAAAACAAGGTGGTCTGGTTCTCTGAAGGGCCCGGGATCCTCCAATTCGACTGCCTCCGGCTGACCATAAACCTGCATTATTTCCTCCTCACTAAGTTTATCCAAGTGCGGTAGATAATACAGGATATTCGCCGGCCTGAAATCCCCGTGGGCGATCCCCATGTTATGCAGCTTCTGAAGAGCTTCTGCGATCTGTCGACAGGCAAACCGACGGGCGTGATCGTCCCGGTCCCGGCACAAACCCTCGTTCGAAAGACGAAGAACCTCTTTATTGTCCACCTTTGGCCCGAGGAGAGGGAGCACAGAGCACGTATAAGTAGTCTTGCCATTGGGCCCTCCCTTGATAGGGAACTGTTCATACGGAATAGCGACCTGGTACTCGGTTAGTGCTTTCTCAGGGCTGATACCGGCACGCTTGAACTCCTTCAGAACGCGAAGGTCGGTGTCGGCTGTTCCTCGACGGTGCATCTTGATGGCTTTCCATCTTGAAGGAGCATTTGCTGGCGGCTTAGTGTCCTCGACTAGCCAGACGGTGCCGTAGGTTCCGTACCCGAGCTTGTTGATGACATGAAAGATCCGGTCGGCTTTTTTTGCTCCGATCTCCGTGTTGATTTGTACTGGAAATAATTGCCCAGACAAGTAGAAGTCAGGGTCTTCTGTGTGGCGCCCGAGAGCTTCGTCTCCAGTGACTATCTTCACCTGGATTTCGGCAGAACTTTCTGAGCGAGCGGCAGACATCGTAATACAACGGGTCCTGGTGCTGGCAGAGTATTTTGACGGTAAGTCAGCCGGCGAGACATAGAGCGGTATGCTAACTGAAATACATGCCAGCCCTTCAAATCATGCTACTGTAGGCTCAGAGTGCCTTTAAGTCGAACCCAGACAATAGTTCAGTCGATGCCGAAGCTCCGTTCACGTTCCAGTGATTGCGGTACTAGACTATATGGCCTGGTATCTTCTCCTAGACGAGATGTCAGCCTCCAACACACGGTGACCCTTCTAGGTCTCTCTTGTGACCTCTTCAACGTCGCTCTTTTCGTCCCGGACATCTTCTCTCGCGACTTTCTTTCGACTGGATCCATTACAGGTAGTATCAAAGAGTCGTCTTTGACCTGTGGTGATTCACGCAAGCATCACAGGCTTTGTTGGCAATCTCCGTCTTTATCTCGTGATGTTATTGCCGATGGGATGGACACTCATCGGCATCCCGTTTCATCCCAACGCTCTTATACCCGAACTGACTCTCAACCCAACCTACAGCCTTCAGCCAGCAACACACACGGCTTCTATGATGCTTCCATTCGCTTTGACCACCCTTTTTGTGGAACTCGACTTACATGAAAGTTACTCCACCAAACATGTCAGCCAAGGTGATCCTGGGAGACATAGCGAGCTCATGCTAGACGGTACACATTGTGTTGGACTTGGACGACGGAAATATGGCTTGATTGTGGTTGTAGTAACGGGGAAGAAAGGGAAAAACCAGAGCAGCCTAAATACCCAGGACGGGAGTGCCGGTGAATGGAAGCACAGTGCATAGGCGCCAAGGCACGGCCGGCCAACACATTGTCCTTCCTAAAACGAAACTGTGTGGACTGCGTAGGACTAACATTTCAAATGTCAACTTCTAACAATCTCACCGTCAAAACCACACACAAAGCGCGACGGAAAAAAAGCAACAGGAATATAAAAAGGAGGAGGATAGTAACGAGAGATCCGTTACCAAAATGACAGGAGAAAAGAATAAGTTTTTGGTGATCATCGTGCGACGTGGGCCTGATTCGAACAGACGCTCCCGAAGGAACAAGATTTCTAGTCTTGCGCATTAGACCACTCTGCCACCACGCCATTGGTTGTTGTTGTTGAGAACAGCGAATAATCCACTCTTATAGTCAGACAATCAGCGCTACTTTTGATCTGGTCTCGGGAAAAGAAGACAGGTCTGGACGGAACAACTCGAAAATAAATCATTATGGCTGGAAAAACCGACAATATCGTAAAGATGTCTCCGTCATCTTCTCTCCATAATCGTGATTGAGAACTCACGGTCCGTCGGAAAACATGCGCTTGTGTGTTGCGCAAGGAAGGAAGAGTCCACCAGTCAAATCCCAAACATACTCTCTTTCCCCTCCAATCTTCCATCGAACCCAAGGAACACGCGGAATACTTGGGGGCTTCTGGGCGCCAAGTATCGTGGTCGTAGATAATACCAGCCGAAATTATCCCGTTGTCATCTCGTTATTGTTTCAGTTTTCCCCATTTTTTTTCTTCTTCTTTGGCGGGAGAAGGAACCCAGAACCCAGAACCACGCAACCTCGAACCTTGGGTGCAAGCAACATGACCGAGCGAGATCTTGGTTACCCTTTCCGCTTTTCCTCGATCGTGCCCATGCTACTGTAAGCTTGAAGACAAGGGGTTCGGTTGTTCCAAAGTTTCACGGGGAGCATTTGTTTGGATTCCTGGAAGAAGAAGAAAAATCCCACCAACCAAACCCCATGCGGGATTGATGAGTGCCAAGACGTTGCAATTGTTCGTTGCTACGTACCCCCTTTTGATGCAGTGCTGCGAACGTAATGCTTGAACCAGGAAACACAAACGTCCAAACTGCGAAATGAAAGGCATGGTAGGTAACTGCCGATACCCATGAATGACATTTGACAGCATCAGATGAGATCATCAGCATGAGCCGTAGAAAACCCCGAATGCCATCCTTATAAGCTAGGTCTACATGTAAAGGCCGGCCGGCTCTCCTGGAGCTATTTGGTGCTTGAAGCGGTTTGCAAAGCCTTGATCAACTTATGTGTAGTAGTTGATCCGTACGTACATTCTGGAGGCTCAAAGCCTTTGATCAAGGTACAGACAGATCAAGATCAAAAGAGAAAGCTCAAGGCAGATGGATGGAATCTTTCCTTAGTCCTGGCTTTCCCGCGGGAACAATACGCGGATGGTGCCCGAACGGGCAGTCTAGGCGAGACCAACTAAAATCGCAGAAAAAGGCAGGGAAATCCGGGGTGCTGGTGCATGGCCATGCGCAAGCTAGACCTACTTTGGCTTGAGGATGGTCTCGCACCGTGATTTGATTCCGTGATGTCTTCATGCAGAGCGAGGATCATGGATCGTGCGTGGACTGACCTCCTTTGTCCATCGAGGTCCGCCGAGGTTCCCATGGCTGACATGGAATCTCTAGACGACGTGTGTGTGTCTAACGGAGTAAAAGCTCAATGGAGATAGTCTTCTAGCCTACACTTTACAGTTTCTGATGCCTACCGGGGCTGGGCGGATGGATACCCACATGGGACTGGACAAGGCCTGGCAGAGAAACGAAACAGACAGGGTCGAGTTTCGAAGAGAACCACACCCCTTTCTTTCCCCAACACCCGATCATGGCCTGCCTTTCTGGGATTGGTGGAAGACATGAAACCACCGAAGAACGGACGGAAGAACGTGGTGGATCAAAGGGGGCCTGTCTCCTACATATCAGGTTCCTAGTAGTGGTGAACGACATCGGAGGGCGGACACGGAGAATGCCGCCACGACCGTTACGACGTCAAACATACCGACACTTGACAATACGAAAGGATCTTCGACATGGGATGGGGATGGGAATACGTAGTTAGTTGTTGATAATCGGACCCAGACCAGACCAGACCAGACCGGTATATAAAGGAAGGACATAGAAGCTTCCAACAACGATATTGAACCACTCAAGCTCATCAGCATCTTGAAGAGTTCACCAACTTGCATCAAAGAACTTACCAACCAACGAACCACCAACGAACCACCAACACCACCAACCAACACCAACCATCACCATGTCCCTCAACATGAAATCCCTCTCCCTCCTCGCCGTGGCCTCGCTCGCCTCCGCAGCCACAACCAACACAAACCTGCAAACCACCTTCCCCACTCCCTCCGGCACGACCGCCCTAGCAGCCGTCAAGACCGTAGCGGCCGGCGGCAGCTTCGACGGCGGCATGCACCAATGGGACCGATGGCCGTCGACCTGCAACCAACAGTCCGAAGGCGGAGACAAGGACGCGGTGTTCATCCTGGAAGACGGAGCGACGCTGAGCAACGTGGTGATTGGCCCGAATAACGGGGAGGGCGTGCATTGTATGGGGAAGTGCACTTTGAATAATGTGTGAGTTCAGTTTTGATCTTTCTTTCCTTCCTTCCACCCATGCCATGCCCACTCTCTATACATACATCAGCCAGCGAACAAACAGGTGCTGACAAGCATACTACCCCAAAAACAGTTGGTGGACCGACGTCTGCGAAGACGCCGCCACCTTCAAGCAATCGTCGGGAACCTCCTACGTCAACGGCGGCGGCGCGCGCCACGCCGACGACAAGGTGTTCCAGCACAACGGAGGCGGGACCGTGGCCGTCAAGAACTTCTACGCCACCGACATCGGCAAGCTGTACCGGTCGTGCGGCAACTGCAAGACGCAGCACACGCGTTCGTCGACTTTTACCAACGTCCGGGTCGAGGGCGCCAAGGTGGTGGCCGGCGTGAATGCCAACTATGGCGATAAAACCACCATCAAGGACTCGTGCATCAAGGATTCGAGTGTCTGCTGGATTTACCAGGGCACGAGTGATAATAGCAAGGAGCCGACCAAGATTGGGTCGGGACCTAGTGGTACTGCTTGTGTTGCTTCGGCGGTTAAGACTTCTGGTTGCTGATTGCTGAGAGGGAGGACGGCTGGAGTCGGAAAGTCTCGCGTGGTGTAGTGCCATCAACGGGGAAGGGAAGTTGTACATATGGACGGATGTTGGTGGCAGGATGGTGTGGTTTTTCATTTGTTCTCTTCTTTTTGAAGACCAGCAGGTCTAGAAAACGCTGTGCACATGTCAAATCGTTTTGTTATGGGGACGGACAGCACGTTGTATATAAATTCTTTCGTTTTGAGTACATACCATTTTGAAAAGCAGCAAAGATGCATGCAGGAACACCCGCCCAGACTTATACACCATGATTCGACATAACTGGTATCTGTTCCCTCGACTGATGAGTTCGAACTTCCTTTTGTGCTTGGGCGCCCGAACTCAAGCAAACTGTCTTTTTCCTGTTGCAATATGACCCCAACCCATGCCATGTGACCTTTTCCCCTGACGCCGGATTCTTGCTTGCCCTGCTGTGAAACGAAATGCTCTAGAGTAGCAAGCCGATAACCCCAAAAGTGGTTGTGGCCATCAAACAATCTCATCGTGTGGCAGATCCGGAGGTGGCCAGTGGGACCATCTACCATGCCCGGCCTGTACGGCACAGAGCAAGCCCATGTGATTTGTGACCCATAGAATTGCGAAATGTAACAACAACAGGGAAACACTTGTTTTCCAACCTACCATCGTTCCCGTCCTCCAGTACTGTTCGTTGTCGTAGGCAGGAGCTGTGTCAGGAGTGACCCTAACCATGTGCCCATCATGGTCATCCAACTGGCTGTTGTGGTTGTTCAATTGCTCGTTGCTGCTTCCTCGCCTACTCCCGGGAGAGACCCCAAGCATGGCATTGCTTCCTCTTCTTGGTTCCGGGCTCCCAACCGGGTTCAGCAGGTCCAGAATCGCCAGGGCAAAAACCGATGTCAGAATACCAATATTGGAAGTATAGGGCCAGCAGATCCATGACAGCGAGAAGATTTTGATGCCCAAAAAGGCAAGCCTAAGCAGCACTCCGGAGGAAAGACCATTTGCGTCCAGCCACCTCCCAGCGTGATATCGTGTCAGCACTGCGCGGTGCTTCATCTGCTCAAGCCGGGTGCTAGGCGGTGGCATGAGCAAAGGGGTTGTGATGGCTGGTGGAGATGGGTGCGGGGAGACGACGCTGCCGTTCCTTGACAGCGTCAATGATTGCGACTGCGTACGCGTGTCGTGGGGACGATGATCGGATGCACCGTTTTGGTGGGTATCGAATACTGGTGTGTAACCATCAACTGACAAAGGCAGATCCTCGTCTGAAGATGAAGACACTTTGGCATGTCTGTGGTCTGTTTGCGGAGGAGTGGTCAGTGAAGGTGCATCTGGGGAGGACGGGGCGGGTGACTGACCTGGCACAGGCGTGCTGGGAGGCATGGGAGAATCAAGATCCTGTATCCTCCGCCCGGCTAGGCCAATCGATGGAATGGGACCGGTAGAGTTCCCTCCCACCCCGTCTAAGCTTGACTCATTCTTCATAGCACTCAAAACTTCATTTGCACTCGGACGCTCGGCTGGGTTGATGGAAAGAAGCCGCTTGAGCAGCTGGTATAGCTTTGCTGGGAGGTCAGGGCGCTCGCGTCGTTCATCCTCGAAACCCTTCCAGTCCGTGATCTCAGTACGTAAGAGATCAATGTCCTCCAGCTCTTCGTGGAGCGAATTAGCATTGGCATACGGCAACCTCCCGAAACACATAAAGTAGAGAATCATTCCGAGAGAAAAGATATCCGACTTTGCCGTAAAGTTACCGTACTTGCCATTGGCGTCCTTGATCAAGACTTCGGGAGCACAGTAAGAGATGGTACCAGTCGACCCTGTTGACATACGCACGGCGTTTTCGGGCTGAACCTCGCCGAAATCACTGATGAGACAGCTGGTACGACCACCCTCGCGATGCAAAAGGCAGTTGCTGGGTTTGAGATCCCTGTGAATGTAGTTGGCGGCGTGGAGGTAAGCTAGACCGGAAGTGATGTCCTTGAACAGCGAGAAGATGTCCTTAAAGGGCAACTGGCGCTGTGTCACGCTAGGCCGTTCGATGAAGCCCTTGGATCGGCGGCGTCTCTGGGCCTTGATCTCCTCTATGGTTGGCTCCTTGAGCAGGTCGCCAATGACATACTGCTGCAGATCACCGCCGTTGCAGTACTGCTGGAGAATGAAGGCACATGCGACTTTGGGGCCGAACTTGTTGATCTTGACATCCTCGACCCACGAGAAGCGGTACGAGACCAAGTTTGGATGTGACAGTTTGGCGAGCAACTCGACTTCGACAAGCACCTTGCCCAGCCAGGCGTGGTCATCGCCAACGGGCACGCGCTTGCAAGCAAAATGACCCAGGTTGCAACCGTCAATCTCATGGCGCACCAGCATAACGACGCCCTTGCCACCGCGGCCGAGGGTGCGCTCCTCGTGGAAAAAGGTTTCGAAATAGTTTGGGGCAAAAGCCTCTTTCTTGATGCGAGTGGTCTCGGGGGGTACAGGCTCGCTGCTGACGAATTCGGCATTGTGGACGCCAACTTGGTTTCCCCGATCGTCTATAGCGGGGACAGGACGGACCAAGCGGCGGATGGGGCTCGAGGGCGGGCGTGGGTTGGAGGGACCCTGACCGTTGTGGCCGTCGCGCAACATACGAAAGTAGTCGGGGTCGACGTAGGACTCGCGTCGGTCCGAGTCATCATCGACATGACTCTCGGAAGAAGTTCGCAGGGGCTGATGACAGGTGGGACATTCGTGAAGCTGGAGGCCACGGATCTCGAGGCGCTGCGTGAGGGGATCGCGGACGACGATGGCATTGCGATGGCGGCTGTTGGAGCGAACATGTCAGCTTTCCAATTGGAGTACTCGAGTAAAAGAGGAGTGGGATGACATGACGTACAGCACAATCTCTCGCCCTTCGCGGGGGTGGTATGGGATGAGTGACATGGTGGTGGTGGTGGTGTTGTCCTCAGGACTTGGAGCTCGAGAAGGAGACGCCCATTCTGTTTTTGATGGCCGTATCGGGGACGCAGCCGGTTGAGCGTCTTTTCTTGTTCTTTGGTACTCTTTGTCGCTGTTTGTCGTGCTGTTATTGTTGCAGTCTCGGAGCTGTGGAAAGCTGCCGTCTTTGGTTGGAACTGAATCGCGGGGATGGAAAGTGGGAACCTTGATGGGAGATGGAGATGTCAAGTGGAAATTCCCGTGAGCAACTGGGCTTTTAGCAGGCAATTCGACTTTTGGCAGCTGCGTTGCACCAAACAAGACCCGGTGACGGAACGGGAAGTGGCGTTGAATGCCCTGGTCATCATCCTCGAACGGGTAGAAGTGGTCAGTGCGTCCGGCAAAGAAGAGCAGCTGGGGCTCACCTGTGTGACATACCGTTTGAGAACTGGCAATAGCTTAACAATTTCCTTAACAATTGTTTTTGCTCTCGATGACTTGTCTTTGTCACATCCAATTCCATTGTCTCCCGAAAGTCAACACCAACACCATCGTGACACAGACTGAACTTCAACTTTCCTCCTACCGCCAACTCGGCTATATCCAACTTCCTCTACACATGTACTCCTTCAAGTTAGTATCATATGTACACTACTACGCTGCCGGCAAATGGCCCGTCTCTTGGCCTGCAGGTGCAATATCTACGTCTACCTTTTCAAGAAATGAAGAGATGACCTGGTCCCGATGCGGATAAAGTCATGATCTGGCTCGGCCGGGTATCCTGATGCCGTCTTGTCCAGTGGGACCACGACCTCGACAATGAACCTGTCAGATTTACTGGTAATTGATTAATTCTGTGTATATCTATGTAACTAACTCGAGCGCTCTGGTATAGGGGGTTCTAAGGGTAACCCATATTTGCCAAGACCTATTAAATCAAGTAGCTAGGACTCTGGCATCTAACCCACATTTAGCCAGAATACCACCCTAGAATCTAACACACCTTCTCACTTATAAGCCTCTCTTTCCTCTTTAAAGTCAAAAGTGAAATTATTTACATATTACTTTCGTCGTTTTATATCTCTAATCCTAATATTTTATCCAAATCATCGAAATCTACCTCTCCCAATACTGGATTATCTCTTCCTCCATCTCCTCGCGGCGGTACTTCAACTATACCCAATAATTTTCTAAATTTCCTATACTCTAAAATACCTAATACCTTTATTAATCCATTTACTAATATTAATTTTATCTCTAAATATTCGATATTGAGAGTCTTTTTTTCGAGAATTTCTCCTCTTAACTAATATCTATAAATATTTACATACCTTATCTTTATATTAAAAGTGGGCGTTTCCTTTGTAAATACCCTAATAATTTATTACTTATTATAATATAGAGTAGGAATAGGATCTTCTAATAGTTTTACCCCTAATGCCAATATTAATTAGTTTATAAAGAGGGTCTCTTTAATTACCTTTTCGATTATATATAATTCCATTTTTATTGTTAACGTAGCAACTATAATCTATTTAATTATTCCCTAATAAATTAAACTACTATATAATTTAATTGTAAATCTTTAGGAATTTTACAGTTATTTTTATTATTAATAAACGAAGTATTAAAAGCAATTTCGAATTTATTACTCCCGCCAAAATAGAGTGCCTACATTTTTATTATTTTTAAATACCGTATAACCTTCTCGCTCGCCGCTAAGTAAATAAGGTTAGGATTATAATTATATCTAACTAATCTACTTAACGAAAACGCAATATCTAATCGAATATTAATTACTACGTATAGCAAAGAACCTATATTAATTTAGTACATTCGTATTTTTACGTAGCTAATAACTCTTCGAAGGGTATTAATTCTTTATAGCCTATAAATACTAAAATTAATTAATAATTAAATTTAAATAGCTTAGTAATTTTATCAATATATACCTCTTGAAATAATTAGATCTTTACTTAGTTTCTATTACGTATAATTTTAATACCTAAAAACTATTAGAATTTATTTCGTCTTATTAAGTAATATTATAATTATACTTCTATTATATATTTTTTAATTTCGTTTATTTTACTTTTATCGAATATAAAGACGATATTATCGACGTAATATAGTATAAGAATACTATCTTTCTTTATAATATACGGGTTTTTAAAGATTGTTTCAAATTTTATCGATTTAAATACTCTGCTTAATTCTCGTTACTATAGTAAGAGATTTTGTCGGAGACTATATAATGCTATAATAAATTTAAAAACTTTCCCGGGTATTCAATACCCTAGTAATATATGTATATTAACATCCTTATCGAAGTAAATATTTATAAAAGTATTAATTATATTATATTAAATAAATTTAAAATTAAAGCGAATAGTAAAAATAATAATAGTATAAAATAATCGACTTACGAAGGTAAATACGTATATATTAACTCCTATCTTTTTTTACTAATTACCTCTTATAACGAATTTCGTTTTTACTTTATTAAATATCCTATTTTTATTAAATTTATAAATATAAACCTATATATAATCGGAAATTTACTTATATTTAAAATAAGGGATATCCTTATTTATTTTAATCCATATTTTTATATCTTTATAGCTTTTAAAGTAAATTTCCTCTATTTCTTTAAATTATTAATTAAATACGTAGTTATTTAGATTATAGTACTTTTTAGGTATTAGGAGGAGATTATATCAGTATACCCTATGAAAACAATTATATTTTGTAATTAACCGTTCAATTTCCGCCTTAATAATTATCTTTTTATTTATTTTAATTATTAATTAGGCTAATCTATTAACATTAAAAACAGTTTCCTATAATTCTTAATAACGAACGTACTAATTGATAGTTCGGTTGATAGAATAGCCGGTATAAAATACGGTTAGCGGGGTAAATAGAAGCGATAAATATAAACCTATAATATATTCGATAAATATTTTATTATTAATAAATTGTTATATTAATACCTCTTATAATTAATTAGTCTCATTTTAGGAGACTTCTTAATTCCTTTAATAATCCTCCTAATTTTTATTAAGAAACTTAATGGAAAAAATTTAATATTACTATTATTAACATCATTTAATAGCCTATAACCTTTAATATAAAATAATTTAAATACCTTCGAAAATTAATTAGTAAACTCGTTTAATTTATTGAATAAATCGACGAATTCCTTAATAACAATCTTTAAGTCGTCTTTAAACTTCTTAACGTTTAAATAGTAAATAATATCTTCATCAAATATTATATCCCTAGTTTAAACAATCCAATTTATATAAAAATTCTATATACAATAAATTGAAGTCGCTAAGTAACCAATAAAATAACTGATCTACACCTTTAGGTTATACTTTTAAAACCTTTACTCCTTCCTTTAAACAACGCTTATTATAGTAAATACTTTATACCTATAGACTCGAAGGTAACTTATATCTAATTTATATAATTCTTATTAATTATATTAATTCGCAATATAAATATAGAATCATTCGAAGGGGGATTTCTAATTACATAAATAATAAGGGGAATAATTAATAAAGTAAACAGCCGCGTAAATAATTTCTAACTATAGATCTTCTAATATTTTTAAACTTAATAATATTATATAATATTTCTTTTTAATTATACTCCTTAAATATTCTACCTCTCTATTCTATACTTAAGTATTGAAAGTAGAAAATTTAAGAATTATATTATACCAGGCGAATTTATCTTTAATCTTATTGCTTATAAATTCGTTATTATATTCGGCGGTCTTAATATTAATATTATATCAATATTTAAACATTTAGATATAGCTAACCAAAGTATTAGCTATCGTAATAATTTCTCGGTTCGATAAGTAATAGTCCTAAATTAATTTTGACTATTGATAGGTAATTAGAAGAAAGTAACGTAATCCTTTAAATCCTAATTTGAAATCAAGAAAATTAACGGCGAATCTTTCCCTTAAACCGTAGCTTCAGTCTCTCGAAACGCAATTAATTTATCGTTTTATCTTTACCATACTATACACATCGCATTTAATTAAAAATATACCGTATAATTGTATTCCGTTAACATTTTATAAATAATCAAATACTTAAGGACTTAAATGACCGAACTATTAATACTATATTTCCGCTAATTATTTCGAAGGTCGTCGCGTATAGAAATTAATCTAATAACGGCGTGCTACGAACGAAGCTCTAATAAATAAAAGGAAAATAATCTCAATAACCGTTTAATTATAAATAATATTTAAATAATAAAAGAATAAACTATTAACCTTCCTTAAATAATTATTTAGTAGTCGATAATCGTAATAGAAACCTTACCTTCGTAATTAGAAATGAGAAACGAAATTAATAATAAAATCAAAACAAAAAACAACCTCCTTTAACCATAGTTTTAAAGGACTATTCTTACCCTTAATAACAACATTAACCTTCCTAAGCCCTTTAATTTCTATTTAAATATTACTAACCTACAAAGAATTATCCGGATTAATATAATAAAAATAAAAGAAACGAATAATTTTATTAAATACGTAAAACGAATTACTTAAACCAAATATCATTAAATTCTTAAGAAAATAAATTTCGTCTTTAGCTTTAAATACCCAACTAACTTAAAAAATTATTTTATAGGCCCGACTCAATAATTACACTAATTTTTCCTTTTCCATTTTCTTCTCCTTTTTAAAAAATTTAACTACTTCCTTAGCAAACTTTAAATTTCTCGCGAAGTTAATTTTAATAATATGTTTAATAGAAGGGTATAACTTAAAATATAAAAGCTTCGCGCTTAAATTAACGTACTAATAATCTTTAAAAGAATAATACCTTTTTTTATATACTTTATATATTATACTATTACCCTTCTTACGCGGTTAAATCTCGGATTTATCCAATAGGAACTTTCTTTTCCTTACGCCCTTAAGCTTTTTATTCTTACTATTACAATAAATATCCTTATTTTTAATATTATAATTATCGCTATTATATTTCTAACTATCGTATTCAATACTAATCTTACTAGCGCTAAAAATACCGCAATAAACTCTTCTTCTTCTAATAGTAACCCCGCAAGGAACGTTATTAATACCGTACCGATTAAAATCCTTATAAACCTCTATATACTTAAAGGTATTGGCGGCCATCTCTTTATCGAATTTCTAAACGTTATTATACTAACCCAAGCGTACTATTTTAACCGTATTAATAAAATTAGAATACTATAAGCTAGCAACAAAAATCTCCCTCATTCCTTTACTCTAACTATTATTTATAGCAATAAATTAAATCTATAACTAATTAATCTAATTCATAGGTTCTTTCGTAAGGATAGCGATAGCCTTATAGTATATCTTTCTTACTTTAATCTAGTCGTCGACCACTTTATAATTCATTATTTACTTAAAGTTTCAATACTACTCGTTAGTATTACATTTTTCCTTTATAACTCTATTCTATAATCTATAACTAATTAAAAATCTTATTTAAGTATATAGGGCCTTATTACTAACTACAAACTCCTTTTAATCCTTCTTATTATTAGAATAGAAGTTAATTTCCAATTTATAAAGTTATTTATTAATAAAGTCGTCCTTAATAATAAAGATATCGATTACAATTTCGTTTCGATCGCAATATTTAATAGGTTCTTTATAGTTAATCCCGTCTTAATAAATAACAGTTTAGGAATTAATACCGCTATCGAAACGTATAAACTCCGCCTTAGTATTATTAATACAAATTTCAACCTCCTTCGTTATAGGGTAATAATTAAGATGAGGCTATCTCGGTACGGAAGGCTTCTTGGTCTTTCCTTAGAACCAATACTTGAGGGTATTAGGGATATATTTCAATTAGAATATAAGTTCCTATCGCAACTAATCGTCGCCGTCTTTAAAGTAAATAATGTTTTCTTTCGTTTTGGTAAGCTTTAAGAGAAACATTATAATCCGGTTATTATTTATTATTCAAACGTGCTAATTGTTATATTAATAAATTATATATCAGATTATTAATTATCAAATTTACTGGTAATTAATTAATTCTATGTATATCCATGTAAGTAACTCGAACGCTCTAGTATAGAGGGTTCTAAGGGTAACTCATATTTGCCAAGACCTGTTAAATCAGGTGGCTGGGACTCTGGCATCTAGCCCACATCTGGCCAGAATACCACCCTCGAATCTGACAGAACCAGATCGTCAGATACGCCGTCGCACGACAGAAGCGCCACGAAATCCCCTCGTCCTCATCTGCGCCCTCGCCTGCACTGGTGCCGCCGCATACCCGGTGCCATTGGTCTGGCTCCCCGGTCCAAAGTCAGGCTGTCCTCCCAAGCTGCCAAATATATCGCCAATATAGTTGGTTGGCTTGATTCCCTTTTGGAACGTCCGCTCCCAGCCCTGCAGAATCCCTCGAACAATCTCGACACCCGCCTTGCCCAGGTTGGCACATGCTGTCGCGAAGCCGTTCTGGTCCGCCATCAGGTGCTGATAAGCTGTGATGTTCGGCGGAGGCCTGTCAAAGTCGGATCCGGTTCGCATCACAACCACACGGCCAAAGTCCACAAGGCCCTGGATGGCTCCGCGGACGAGCACCTCGAGGACGGCGTTGTCTTCCTGCGCCGACATGCAGTACTTGCCCGTCCCGTTCGTCCACACCTTCGAGACCGTCTCAAAGGCTTCGCTTAGCAGAGTGCCCGAGTAGTACACATCGCTGGTGGCCGTGTCGCATTTGACGACACTCGGCCCTTCGGTAGCGGCAACATACTCGAGGCCGGCCTCCCTGTACTTGGCCCGGTACTCGGCCGCTGCCGCCGAATCAGCCAGCTTTGCCTTTTGCGCAAACCCATAGGCTGCATTCCGTAACGCATCGTTGACTTCAAACACCTCAGTGCCATAGCTGGTGGTAGGGTACTCGTTCGGTCCCTTTGTGCCGTAGCCAAAGTATCCAGTGCTGAAGTTATCGGGCTTCTCCCGAGCATCCAGCTCATACTGCAGAGCGACCTGGATGACATAGCGTGAGAGCGCAACACCGCCAAGTGTTGAGTACTTGGGGTTGACACCTGCGATCCCACCAACGACAAAGTATGTCTGGCTGAGATCAAACTTATCCGAGAGCACCAGAGCCATGGTACTCGCCGCCGCGTTGATCTCGCTCTCTCCGGCCGTCACTTGGCATACAGACTTATCCGCCGTGCATAGCACTTGAGGGTACAGCATGGACAGCCCGGGCACGTCGATCTTGGTGTCGGTCAAGTTTCCAGTTCCCGATTCCACCATGCTCGTCTTCCAGGCTTCCGATTCAGGAGTAAACTAGAGCGCGCTCAAATTAGCACGTCACCCAGTTTGTTCCGCCACTGCTCTTCTTCCTGTCACTCACCATGCTTATGATAAAAACCCTGGGTGCTATTCTCCCCGTATTCCCGCCGATATGATTCCTATGGCCAGGGACGGCCGCAGCCGTAGCCGGGCCTACGTGGTAAAGCAACTGCAGGGCAACAGTTGCCCAACACGAGAGATGCCGCATGATGAGGGATAATGAGGGATAATGGCCAAAAAGAAAAAAAAAAACTGAATGGTTTCAGAGAAGACAGCTACGTCTTCTTATGCCCAACAAGAAAAACAAAATGTGGATGGATGACTGCGTTCCCTACTCCACCTTATCTTCCCATGCCACTGCCAGGTTCGGCCAAGCTTTATGGATATCGACGATCATCATAATGCGACGGCGGCTGAGCTTATCAAGCATGGTCTACGAAAATGATAATGCAAGGCGTTCTTACAAAGGCGTCTAAATCCTCGGGATTGCTTCTTATTCACCCGAGGCGTACCCAGAGTTACGCTGAGTCTGTTCTGCATGATGACCGCTTCTGTCCCAGCAGCCACGTAGTCATCTGTGCATAGGTTCCAGCCTGTCGCCTCAAGCTCGAGACCAAAGCTCCCACCTGGGTGTTGACTGACTCAGCTCAACCCAGCTACGACCAAGCGGTGAGGACGACACGGAGTAAACGCGGCAACTAGCCATGCGGACCAGCCATGAAAAGATTTTTCGGGAAGAGACCCGATAGCGTGGGAATCGCTAGTTGATCGGCGAAGATACTGGGATGATGCCTACTTTTCTTCAAGGGGACCTCCCAGTTGCCGATGAACTTATCAACATCAGTGTGTTATCAGTCCGGATACTAAACACCAAATAAGTATCTCACCGTTCTCTTACAGTTCCCCATGTCGCGCTCACGATGGCTGAAGAAGCAACATCATCCATCACTCCCATCGCCTACACCATGAAACAACGCCGATGTCACCCATCTCCATTTGCTTATCCAATCCCGATATCTGTTATCCTTTGATCCCCAATTGTTCGGCTATCGACCTAACTCCGCATCACTGCAAATACACCAAAAGTGCTTCGGTTGCCTTGACCGAAAAGGTAGCCTGACCACCAGAAGCGGGCGTAGTCTCAAACGTCTCGGTCCCGCTTATGGCACAAGATCCATTGTCAAACTGTTGCCCTCCAAACGACGGAGGACTTGCTTGATCCACTCGGGACGTCGCGCTTGCTGCCGTCAGCCTTTTCGCTCTGACCATCGACGAGGTCAAGCCGGTCAAGGTAAAGGACTGGGCAGTCCTCGTCCCGCTGCCGGCGAAATAGTCTGAATTGTACAAGAGCACTCGTAGGGGAAGCCCCCTCGAATCGAACGTGGCATAGGCCGCGTAGTTTGTTGAACCGCTATCCAAAGCCGTCAGGTGGCTCGCGCCGGCCATCAATGCTACCGCTGCGTACGCCCCGTAGTACGGGGCCCCCATGCTGTATCGGCCCCAGAAGCAGTACTGGCAGTTGCCGACGGTTCCGTGATGGAAGTACGTCCTCGACATGTTGTTATAAGTGGCACGGAGGGCGTAGTCCATGGTCCACAGCCCTGCCCCAAACGTCGGAGACACTCTGGCTGCTCCGCCGCCGGATACTGGAAGGAGTATCAGTGAATGAAATTCTTTCTAGGGGCAAAGGGTGTCCGCTACATACCCGAGTTCGTTTCGCCAAAGACGTACTCCTTCCCGACCCCGCGAGCTGCGGCTATGTCGGCGTCGAATGTGTGGATGTTTTTCGCAATGGTCGAATGGGTCATGAGACTCTGAATGCTTCCGCCCGGGTAGTTGTGGTGGGCGTAATGACGAACATGGGGCTTCACCGTTGCGTTTTCCGTCGCTATCAGCTGCGCAGCTCCCCATTTGGGCGGCGCGTCATTCCAATTCCCAGCTTGAATGATGTTGGTTCTGTCAACCGCGCTACCCACTCGGATGTTCCAGTTATTCTGCGATGCGGCATCCGTGGCCGGAGTCCAGTTGACGCCGGATGTGATCGGTTGTCCGTCTTTGACCCAGTCTATTTTGCACACAACAACCCCTTTGTCAGCACAACACGGCCGTTCCGAACCTCCAACCTCAAGGAGGGTGGGTGCTTCTCACATTCAGGTTCATTCCCAAGTTCGATCGCCAGCAGATGCTTGACCTCGGAAACAGCAACCTTGGCCGCGGCAATCGTATTGTCAATATTATTCTTGCCCCTATTCAGCCCAACCACCACACTCCCTCCGTACATCCCTGCCAGCGTCATGAACTTTGGCCCGAACGTCAACACGGACGGTGCGTCCTTGGCGTCTGCCACCGAGTACACGACGTAGGCTGACGTCTTGGCGTCATATTGCGCTCGGTCTTGCGTCGTTCCGCCGATGCGGATGGGCGGCCAGACGCCCGTCAGCGCCTTCCAGTTTGCTAGGCATTGTTGGGTGGCGGTGACGTTGATGAAGTAAGACGGGAAGGCGAAGAATTCGAAGGAGATCCCGATGGGCGCGGGGTCGAGAGGGGCGTAGGCGTAGCCTCCTGTTCCGACTTTGCTGGGGAGGCTGAAGGTGACTGCGCCGGAGGCGGGAAGAGCCGCTGTTAGGCAGAGGGCTGTGGTTACTGCTGTTTTGAGGTCTTTGGTCATGGTCGTTGAGGGTCAAGACTGGACGGATGATCGCCTCTATTTACTAGAAGAGGTCATCCCGATTCCGAGTTTCGGAATAGGACACCACCCGCCCGACTGAGGAATTTCGGTGCTTTAACCGGCCGATGCGATGCAATGCGACCAGGCACATCTGGGAAGTAATTTTTCCGCCTCTCACAATGGAATACCAGGACGATCATCCTTGGTACAACTAGAGCGGGATAACACCTTCTCGCACGCTTGGCACTGGACGCGCGCCATGTTCCTTGTTACCTACCTTACCGTTTGGTGGTAGTGTACCATACTTTGGTCGTGAAGACACTCCGCAAGCCAATTGCTAACCCCAGCTTCTTATTAGTCTGGTCCTTTTACTCCGCTTTATATGCTTTGATGGCAATGCTTGCTTTGCCCTTTCAAGTATGTGGTCACGAGTCACTTTCTCCATTACTTGAAGGTTCTAATGTTTCTGTTCCATTCTGTTATTCTCTAATAAATCCTAATATCAGTCTAACTGTTTTCTAAGCCGAATTCTATCACCTACCCATCATCACTTCCCTCTACAATATACCTACTGGACTGGCTGCACGAAGTTGCTCACAGCATCTAGCAACCGCACCAACTCTGCCGACAGCTCCCTCCCTCTCCTAAGAGATCCCTCACATACCTCCCTTATATTCGATGCCGACAACTCCGTCAGATCTTGCCTCGCCTTGCTAATAGGATAAAAACCGCTGTTAATCGTCTCCTTCTTATCAATAGCCATAAGAAGATTCGACATACCCTTACGCCTTTGCAAAAAGACCTTGAAGTCCTCACAAATCCTCTCATCCGCCTCTCTAATCTTCTGGCACAACTCAACAGCCCGTTGGAGTGGTATCTCAAACTCCCGGAAGAATGAAGCGCGCCTTTGCGCCGGCTGGCGGGCATGAATCGTCGCTCGAGCGTCGGCAAGATCTAGAAACAACTGCTCCAAAAGCTCAGATGCTTCGAGTAGGTGCTTATCCATCACCACCTTCTGCTTGTGAATCTCATCTGCTGTACCCAAAACCGAGGTCCTGGCCTGCGAGAAGCTCTGGAACTGGAAGTGTTGGATGTCGTCGTCGCCTCCCAGATCGTCTTGGTCTTCTTGGTCAACAGCTAAAAAAGGGTGGAAGTCCTCAAGATTTGTAAGAAGCAGACTCAAAGGGTGATACTCCCTCGTAACCAATAGATTCGGACACCCAGCTACATCAACACCATAGCCACCACCATCACCATCACTATTAACATCACCATTAACATCACCATCAACATCCGCAGCAGCAGCAGCAGCAGCAGTAGTAGCAGCAGTAGCAGCAGCAACATCCTGCCACTGCCACCCCGCAGAATGGAACTTTTGCAGGAGGCAGGCCGTCGTCTGCTTGTAAGCTACGCAGCAGCAGCTGTTGACGTGGGTGGGGCAGAGGACGAACTGGTGTGGTGGCTGGCGTTGGGTCATGAACTCGTCTTCGGTTGGTCGTCGGGGGAGGAGATTGAGTTTGGCAAAGGCGATGGAGGAGGATTTGGAGTTGAAAAGATTGCAGTTGTTGCATATGGTGGTTAACCGTAAGCTGTTGGGTGGTGCTTCGGAATGGAAGTCGTGGTGGTGGGGAGAGAAGTGGATGATGTTGATGCGGCACATTTTGAGTGTTTAGGTGATTTTGGGAAAGTAAGGTAAGGTATTCTGGCGAGGTGAGTAAGATGGTTAGGTAGTGCACTGCTTTGAGTATGTGGTAATGGAAGTCAAGTGTTACTGTTGTCCGAAGTGGTTGGCGGTGATGACGGGAGCTTCGAGACTGATAACATCGCAGCGAGGGACAGATGAGCATATAAGTACATGATTCCGGGAAGTTTATGATGGCCTGTGTGGCATCTGAACAACTTTTCTGAATCTCTGATGGTTTTTCTTGTCAACTATATGTCACCAGCTCACGAGCGCTTGTTGTTTTTTTTTAATTTAGGTTCTCTTGTTTTGGTTTCTAGGTACTCCGGAAGACTTCCGATCCAATCGTTCGAGTGCCCCTTTGCTGATATTCTTTGTTCTCTTCTCGTATGAGCCTCCTCCTAGGGAAGACATCCGAGCCACTCGGTTGGGCACAATCCCATTCTTCTGGATTTCTTTCGAATACTGTCTTTGTCAGGGTTTCGGGTTCCGAGTTCCGGCCGCCATTGTTCATCACCCAGCGCGGGAGAGATCGATCGCTCGGTTTTGTACAGATGGGAGGGACTAAACTGCGGCTTCTAATAATGAGCGTCTCCTGTCCGGGGAAGATATCCGAGTCAGTAGAGGACAATCTCATTCTTCTCCGAGTCTCATTCGAACGCTTCTTTGTTAGGTAGGGATCTGTCTTCCTAGTTCCGGGCATTGTTCATCACCCAGCAGCCCTGGATTCGGTCGCTCAGTTTTTGGACAGCAGGGCAGAGACAGCGTGGCACACAAGGCAAGTCAAGGCAAGTAAGGGGCCTTGCCTTGTTAGGATGAGGCCTTTCTTGACTTGTTTCAACCTGTTACTTGACTTGCCTTGCTTACTTGCCTGAATTGAGGAGTCACTGAAATGTCCCCTCAATATTATAGTTTGGTATAGGATACGAAGTTTCAGTCGGGTAGACGTAATTCGAAGCGGTACGACGATTTACGCCTGTATTTTCACCCGTATCTATACCACAGAACGTACGCTGAACGTACCGGATGGGTATATCTGAGGGGGGGGGGAAAAGGAGGGCATGCATATATGCAAGTAAACAAGGCAAGCAACCCCCCTTACTTACCTTGACTTGCCCTACCAGACCTCTTGCTTGCATTGCCTTGGTATTACTTGCCTTGTGTGCCACGCAGGCAGGATATGTGAGAAATAAATGCAATGCACATACGCCGAAGGACTACGGATGTCCGTTGCATTTATTTTTTTCGGCGTATGTCCGTTGCATTTTTTCCCCCACACAACCTGAGTGCCTTTTAGGTAGAGAGCATATAACTCTACAGGTCTTCCTTCTCGGTTGCTTTGGACAGCTAGAATTGTTCCCGTCAGATTCTCAACTGCAACATCACCCATTTCAAATCGAGGAGACCGGATTATGATTTTGTTATTCTCATTTGAGTTGGAATTGGGCACAGACAAAACCAGGATTTACATCAAAACCACCGACCAACGACAAGAAATCCATCCCTAAACTTCAAAGAGGCAACAAACAGGAAGAAATGAAGCTGAGCACTGCTCTCGTGTTGCTTGCCTCAGCTATTGCTGAGGGGCATTGTGAGTACATCAACTCTTTACCCCTATTATTTTTCGCTTCCGAGATTTGCAAGTACGGTTTGACAGATGGATGGCCCGCAACAAGAAAGGAAGTTCAAGGGGGAGGAGCCGTGGTGATGGATCACCCTGGATTGTCGAGTGGGGCGATGAGAGATATAAACGCACATCATGGAATTTCCAAACATCGAAGCCCGCATGGCTCAGTGGTAGAGCGCATCACTAGTACCATCAATACATTAACAAAAATGATGAGGTCGTCAGTTCGATTCTGGCTGTGGGCATTGCCTGAAACCCTTTCTTTTTTTTGTTTTTTCACCTTTTGTCCGTCCATTATTCCCTCCGTTATTTTTTCTTCATCCGTGGGGGCTGGGGATTGAAATTTTTGGGATCGGTTCACTTGAAAATGAACAGATTGATATCGGGTTCAACCTTTTCAAACGACAGCCGAGAGCGCTCGAACGGGAATGCCAGAGAAACGGGATAGGAAAGAGCGTGCCATGAGCTTGGGCACTGTGCCCATGGATGGCACTTGCCAAATGTTCGAGACAATGTCCTCGCAGACTCTTGCTGCGAGACGTCGGTGCAGCGCGGATTGAGGGGTTGGCCACTACTTACCTGAAGTCCTGAAGGCAGGCAAACTGGAAAGGAAGTCGCAACTCGGAGGGAATCGAGCTGCTTGGCGATGCCCGCGATAAATGCTCAGCTGTGGGCAATGACGCTCAAGATTTTTTTTTTTTTCCTTTTTTTCCCTCTCCATGAGCTTGTTTGCGAGTTGACTTTCTTGTTCCTATCTCCTTTTTCGTCCTATGTTTACTTCTTGTGCCTCATTCCATCTCTTCCATTTTAACTATGATCCTTTTCATCCGTTCGTGTGGCATACCAGAAAATCAGACTGACTAGTAGCGAACAGACACCTTCCCAAGCGTCGGCGACTCAGCCGACTGGCAATACGTCCGAACAACCGCCAACTTCCAAGATCACGGGCCAGTCCCCGACATCAACACCGATGCCATCCGATGCTATGAGCGCGACGCCGGCAAAGGGGCTCCCGGTATCCTCAACGTGACTGCCGGCCAGACTCTCAACTACAACGCCAAGGAGGTTATCTCCCACGCGGGACCCATGGCCGTCTACATTGCCAAAGTTCCCAATGGCCAGACGGCCGCGACGTGGGATGGGAAGGGCAACGTCTGGAGCAAGATCTACCAGGATTATCCGACTATTTCGGGTGGCATGTCGTGGCCTTCGCAAGGTATTTTTCTGTTTTCCTTCTTCTCCTGGTCTCCTTCGATTTCCCTGACGTCGTCATCTAACGCCTACCTTACATCTAGGTCAAAAGTCCATCGGCGTCAAGATCCCCGAATGCCTCCAGAACGGCGACTACCTCCTCCGCGCAGAGCACATCGGCCTGCACGCGGCCAGCTCCGCCGGCGGCGCCCAGTTCTACGTGTCGTGTGCGCAGATCTCAGTCAGCGAAGGCAGCGGAAGCTATAGCCCGCGGAACCAGGTCTCCTTTCCGGGCGCGTATCAGGCGACAGACCCGGGAATCATGATCGATATCTACTATCCTGTGCCCAAGAGTTATACACCGCCGGGACCGGCGGTTGAGAGTTGTGAGGAGGGTGAGGAGGGTGAGGAGGGTGAGGAGGGTAAGGAGGGTAAGGAGGGTAAGGAGGGTAAGGAGGGTAAGGAGGGTAAGGAGGGTAAGGAGGGTAAGGAGGGTAAGGAAGATAAGGAGGGTAACGAGGGTGAGGAGGGTGAGGAGAGTAAGGAGGGTGAGGAGGGTAAGGAGGGTGAGGAGGGTGAGGAGGGTGAAGAGGGTAAGGAGGGTGAGGAGGGTAAAAAGGGTGAAGATGGTGAAGAGGGTAAGGAGGGTGAGGAGGGTGAGGAGGCTAAGGAGGATCAAGAAGATAAAGAGGGTAAGGAGGGTAAGGAGGGAGGACTCCGGCTTTTATTGAAGACGGGCAAGGACTAAGGAGGGAGTAAATGGCCTCGGATTGGAGGTTTCAATCATGGTCTTCTATTGGAGGGGAGTGTTTGATGGGTTGATGATGGAGTGGAGGGGGAGGGAGGGAGGCGTGGGTGCAACGAAAAAGGGTGGAAAGGGTACAAAGGATGCAAAGGGAAGAAGGAATTAAGTAACACTGAACTAGAATATATGAGGAAGGAGTTATGACAGAAGGACTAAACTTATCTTGCCGCGCAAGCAAGCCCACGACGACGGCGACTTCGTGCGATCAATAATACAAATCCCTCAAACCTCCTCGGCCCTACATAACCACTTCGCACGGGACCAACCTATAACAAATTGGCAGCTTCGTCAAGCTGCCCGGCTAGCTCAATCGGTAGAGCGTGAGACTCTTAATCTCAAGGTTGTGGGTTCGACCCCCACGTCGGGCTCGATTCCCGATGTTCCTGGTTTCAGGACAACATCTTTTTTTTTTCTCTTTTTTTTCGTGCGTCGGAGAATTTTTGTCAAAAGTTTATTTTCGCTCATCTTGAGCCCCACATTCGCTCCGCTTTGGAGACCCACTTGCCTTTTTTGCTTGGTGAGGGCGGTTTGATTGGTCGACTTTTTCCACGTACCTTTCTGGCTTTTTGTCACTTGAGACAAACACCAACTGGAGGGAACGTGAGATCGAACAACAGTCGTGTACTAATACAAATAATCTGATTGTGAACCTTGCGGTTGGGTGCCTAGGGTAAAAAAAGGAAGAAAAGGAAACCGGAATCCGATAACTGTGGCATACCAGGTCGATGTCTTCGAAGATCCTGCCGACTGCACCGAACCCAGCAAGAAAAAAAAGGAGAGGAAAAGGGAGCGAGAAAGAAAACATCAACAAAGCCGACCTATGAAGCGAACCATCCATCCACAATACCAATCCATTCACGCCCACTCTCCCTCCCTCTTTCGCTCAAATACCTCCGTCTAAACAGCAGCCCCCCTAGTAGCAGCCGTCGTCGTCCCCCCTCCGGACTCCCCCACTTGATCTTCATAAGCAACAGTAACAGTAACAGACCGAGTCTGCACAATCCTCCCGACACTTTCACGTCCCCGCCCTGACCCTCCCTCCATTTCCTCCTCCTCTGTATTGCTGTTGTTACTATCCTCCTTCTTCAAATTCTCCTCGTCCTCCTCGCTCTCCTCCTTAGCATGCATCGTAAACCCGTACTGATCCACCTTCTTTTTGTTTCTAGAGGTACTTCCCATCTCGAGGGCGTCCGGTCCAGCGCTGCGCTTGCTTTTGCTCAAAGCTTCGGCGTAGTGACCACCGTCGTCGTCATTGCTGGAGCCGGTCTTGTAGCCCTTGGATCGCCAGATTTTGCGGCCTTTGGCTTTTTCGACGAGGGGTTGGAGGAGGGGGATGCAGGCTGCTATTATTATTAGGTTGCCTTCGATTCTGTGCGGTGGTGTGGTTAGCTAGAGATAGGTAGGTTTCGGGAGGCAAAATGGGAGGTATGCGGGCGGGTAGTTTGAATGGCAGGTATGGTAGGTACTTACGAAGTCCAGTATAACGGGTCGCAGAGATCGTCTGAGGGTGGCCTTCATTGTTAGGTATGTTTTCATCTTGGAAAGGGACGGTCGTTGCGCCGGTTGGGAGGCCGGCGTTGTGTTGAGGGAGAAACTTACAGCTAGGGTCATGACTTGATAGAGTCGATACGCCGGTTGCTTTGATGATACCGACTGCACCCGATCTACATGGTTGGTTGTTGCCATGTTAGTCAACACGAACGTGTGGCATAAGGCAAACAGATGGTAGAACGCGAAACCACCAGCTAGGTACTTACACGAGGCCCATACCGAGAGCACAGCACAGAGCTAGCTTCTTTTTGGTCTGCATTTGCAGCTTCCATAGAACAACAGCCGGGTAGATGGCCAAGTAAAAGTCGAGAAATGCGGAGCATGCTGTGTAGTTGTGGCAATGCCGTGGTTAGCTAACCCCATGTTCTGTTCTTGCTCCTTGAACCGACGAGATTAAAACTTACTACTAGCCCAATAAGCCAACCCCTCCAGCAGCCCCAGAGCAAGACAGTTATGGGGCATGGTAAGAGTCCAGAGCGCATGAGTCGGCGTGCACTGCAGGAGCAAAGTCATGACCATAACCGTGTGCGACAGGCAGCAGATGGTGCCCATGGACCACAAGACCATGGTGTGCAGCCGGCTGGGCGCGAGCAGTCGGACCAGGAGGGCGATAACGGCCAGCTTGGGAAAGCCGAGCGTTTTGATTCCGGGGAAGTAGGCGGCTATCATCCATTTGATGGTGTTTTCCTTTTGCTCGAGGTCGAGATCGGCAAAGTGTCGGCCGTTGCCCCAGGAGACGGATATCGTTACGAAAATGTTGGAGAGAACGGCGCAGAACTGTGGGGACATGGTTAAGTCATGTCAGCTGGAGGAATTTCCATAGCTCTGGATAATCGGTGGTTTGGGTGGGTATGTAGTGTACCTACACACGAGAAGATAATGATGTAGTCATCGAAGCCGAGCTTGCCATGCACGACAGCTCGGACGTAGAGACGAGCGCCGACGAAGAGAAGGGCGAATATTGTGAATATCCAGCACAACGCAATCATCATTGGCCCTTTGTCGTCCATTTTGTCTGGGTAGGTAGACAGAGCAATACTGCCTAGTGTTCGAGGTAGAAAGATGCACTCGAGAAAACAAAAATCGTTGTACACCAAAAGCACATCACCGCCGACAGATGGCTTCAAGGGAAGAGCAGAGGTACAGATAGATATTGAAGATGGAGATAGATGGCATGCTGCACAACGACACTCAACTGTAAATGGTCCACCTCCAGAGGTTCAGGGTCTTCAACTTCGATAGCAGCAAGGCAACTTGTAGCAAGCCCTAGACAGATGAAAATCGCCCGCCAAATGTAGGGGATCTTGACATTTGAGCCGAGTAAGATCACGAACCGCGAAGCAACGGCGCCCGAGCCAAGGGGCTGGGAACTTCTAGAACATCTGCCGACATCTGTCAACGTTTTCTGCTTTAAACTTCATACTGGGTCACTTGCAGGAAGCAATTTGTGATACCACCTTGACCCAAGCCCTTGGGACTTGAACTCTAAATGTAGGTGGCGTGCCCTGGTCTCGTCAACATGGGGACGTTGACTCTAGCAGCAATGACCTGTCGTAATGACATGGTTCCTTGCAGGACAATGGACAGCCGTTGAGTGGCCAGGTCGGAACCCCCTTTTCAGCGAAAGAAGCAAAGTTCCTTTCTACAATGTATTTTCTTGGCTGAGACGGTCTGAAGACTTGGGGTACGGCGCCCGTGTTGAGGCGGGTTGGAAAGAAAGCTGTTGAAGAGGGCGTTCCGAGGTCGAGATCTTCCAGGTTGTTGTATTTTGGAATCGTGGAATCTTCCTTCGACAGGCAATATATCCCTAAAAATGTCCGAGTCATCACGAGGCTAGTAATGTCTTGATATGGTGGTTGCCGGGGATTCAGTGATTGATGGCTGGGAAGTTGTCTGGTAGAAATAATGAGGCGGAATGAACAAGGTAGGTACGCCCATATGTTGTATAGCCAGGGGAGTCTCGAGTCTCAAGGAACAACTCATCGGTGAGAACCCACGAGTGTCCATGCTGGTGGGAGTCGCCATCCTCCTCGTCTCGACAGCACCTTGTAGTAAACGGTGGGGCGGTGAGGTTGCCTCGCTCTCGGTCCTCGTTGTCGGAGCAATCATGAGATTCAAGGTCGCATTTCTTCTTCGGCGACGAGATTTGGACCTTCAGTAGACCGCAACGTGAACCCACTGTTCATGAAACGGTCGGTGCATGCTGTACAGTGATGTTTTGACGCCGTGTTAGCATCGGAACAGCGAACCGGTGCCTGGATAGGGCCCGGACAGGCTTGACAGGCTGGTTTAGCGGGTCTCGGTTAGTGCCGAACCGCTGTCAAAGCGCCAACGGTCCAGCTAACAGCCTCATCCGGGTGGGTCCAGCCCTACATCTAACACAGTGTAACTTGATCATGCATTCTTGCCAACCTAAGTTGAGGTTTGGATGTGATCTTCATGACCATCGATGGAAGGCCTGTCAGTTAGCCCCGGGACAACGCATCCAGCGGGAATGTGGGCGAAAGCGGAGATGGCAGGGAGACAATGATAACCTTTGTGCATTTTATGCCACCACTCAAGGTAGGGGGTCAAGGCCATAGTATTGCCCCCATATCGGCCCCGGGCTATTCATGCTAATCGAGATTTCTCTAGACCTGTCGGCGTCGTCAACTTCACGGATACGCAAGCCCTTTTGTGTATATAAGCGGCGGCATACTTCTCCCCCATCGAGCCATTCTCCACGTTTCAGTAGCACATTACACATACAGCCAACATGTCCACAACAGTTGATCTCTCGCTCGCAACCCGGCCAAGCGACGCCGATGCTGTGCCGGGGTTGCTCAAGGATCTCAATGCTCTTCAGGGAGACTGGAAGGAAGGCGATGAGGAGACGCGCCACAAGATGGTTGTCAAGGCACGGAGTCTTCTTCAGTCTCTCATGACACCCCGTGAGCAGATGTTGCAACACACATGGGCTGATGTAAGTGGCCGAGCCTCTCCCCCAAGCCATCGTTACCAGGTTGCTGACACTAGGCACAAATACAGCCAGGACTTGATGCTGCTTTGATCACCGGTGTCGATGTCGGTCTTTGGAAGCTCATGGTCAAGAATGGCGTCGATGCCGTCCACAAGGTTGACGATCTGGCCAAGTCTTTGGGCATGGATCCTGAACTTCTCGGTTAGTGACTTTTAGTTCATGAACAAAAAGGAAATTGAGCTAACAGATCATATTACAGGCCGCCTACTGCGCCATGTGTGCGCCATGGGCCATCTTGAAGAGGTTGCTCAGGATGAGTACAAGCTCACAAACTTTACCAAGTCATTGAGCCTGGATGTCATCGGCGACGGCTATGTTTGCCTGTGAGTTAGAATCCAAATAGGGATACCGGTGCTGAACTCTCGGATTCAGTCTTGCTAACCATATTCTTTTCACGTCCAACAGGCTTGGTGGCATTGGTCGCAGCCCAATCGACTTTTACAAGTTCCTTCGCGAGACCAACTGGCGGAATCCTGTCGATGCCGCTCACACGGCGTTCCATGCGTCATACAACAGCGACTTGCCAAACTGCATGCTTTATCTCGGGTCCATCGGCATGGGCCCTCAAATGAACCACCATAGTAAGTCCTGCGCCACAAGGAATATTGTCTTGCGATAGTACGTGGGAATCTGTTCACTAACCTCGCAATTCACACTCATAGTGGGCGGCTACAGGCAGGGTCGATTGCCATGGCATCATCCCAAAATCTATCCTGTAGAGGAGGAGTTGTTCCCCGGTACCGATGCATCGCCCGATGCGCCGCTAGTCGTTGACGTCGCTGGCGGCCTTGGCCATGACATTGACGAGTTCAAGAGAAACTACCCCAACCACCCCGGCGTAAGTAGCACCACCTACCTGTTACTTCCGACATGACAAGAAAATGGGCATGATTTGACTGACTGGCCGTGTGTAGAAACTGATCCTACAAGATCGTCCTTCCGTCATCGAAGACGCCAAGGACATTGATCCCTCGATCGAGCGCATGCCCCACGACTTCCTAACCGAGCAGCCCATCAAGGGAGCCAGGGCCTATTTCATGCACTCGATTCTTCACGACTGGCCGGATGATGTCTGCCAGAAGATTCTCGCTCGTCTGGCGGAAGCGATGAAGCCCGGATACAGCAAGCTGCTCATCTTCGAATGCGTGATCCCGCGAACCGGTGCTTATTGGGAAGGGACCGCGGGCGATATGCTGATGATGACGCAGCTGTCGGCTTGCGAGCGGACGGAGGACCAGTGGCATCAACTCATTGAGGGCAGCGGGTTGGGGCTGAAGATTACAAAGTTCTGGTCGAGTGGGTTGAGTGCTGTTGAGAATCTGATTGAGTGCGAGCTGGCGTAAGCAAGAATCTGCTTGATGACGACGTAGACAGAATATAATCCTTGATTCCTCCTTTTTCACGATATGATTCTTTTGAATTTGGTGATAGAAAAGCGTATCCGTGCGCTCAGTGCTTTGTTCGTGTTGCGGGTTGTTCAGCTACGACCACCCCCCGTCAACACCCATCAGTCTTGCTTCACCACATTCCGGATCTGACCTCCGCATCCTTGACGAGATCATGTCAAAGCACAAGATACATACAAAGTCCCAACACAGTTATGCATCATTGACGTAGGCTTTTGTACTCTGTTGAAAACACTGGGAATCATTGATGGCCATTGATGTTGAAGCTTTGAGCAGGCTCGTAAAGATCGTCATAATCAAAAGCAAGAACTAAACGTTCGCTGTGTAGGTAGCCAACAAAGAAGCGCTATTCACTACATCCCTTTCAATAAAGCGTTGAAACTTTGTTGAAAGATTGTCCCAACCGCACCATCACCCAACCGCAAAGCCATCAACTCAAACGCCAACATCAAGATGGCCGTCTACGAAATCGGAGAGACAATCGTCTACACAGAAAGGGCGACGAAGAAGAATCTCATTGCCGTGGCTAGACTAAGCAATCTAATCACCCACGAAATGACAGTTACCCAGAAAGCACAATTTATTTTCTCTGATTTGTATCCGTGATGTTCATCGTGTGTACAAGCAACCAATCCACACAAAAACAAGCCATAATCTCCCAGTGAACCTTCCTTAACAAACAAATTGTTCCTGCACAGAAAGCCGTGACACCCTCGAGTGACAACAAAGCCGCAAACACATTGAGCCAGCCAGCCACCTTTTTCCTATCGCATACACAACACCATCATCCCTTCCGAGCCCGACTATGTAGACCACATCAAGAGTCACGCTTCAAAAAGTTATTCAAATAATCCATCTTCCCCACCGGCACGCCCTTCATCCTCAGAATCGCATAAGCAGTCTGCAGATGAAAGAAGAAATTCGGCACCGCGAACTTCATCACGTAATGCACCGGCGTCACATTATACACCTCAGCCATCAACTGCAGATTGATGGTGTTGTTGCGCACGTGCGCCTCGTCCACCACCTTCTTCTCCACCTTCTGCAGCATGTCAATCGTGTGCTGGCACCGCTCAATGAGCTGCTCGATGGTGGTCTCGTCATCCGCAAAGACGACGCCGCTCTGACCGGTCACCACGTCGATGAATTTCTTGGGCGTGTTGCTGGCTACTTGGACCTGGAAGGTCAGGGGCTTCATGTCTGGATGCAAGGTCCAGTGTGGCAATTCCTGCAGCGAAATGTCGTTGACTTGGGCGTGCTTGGTGGCGGTGACGAGGAGGTGCTTGAGGGTGTGTTGACCCCGGAGGAAGGTGGGGATGCTGATGTCGTAGAGGGAGAGGCCAGCCTGGCCTTCTTGCGTGTTTTCTTCGGACATGGTGATTTGGAGGCAGGGAGAAGATTATGGTTGTAGTGGTTTGATGTCTAGTGAGGTGGTGGAAGATGGTTGTTGAGATGATGGACGGGTGCAGTTGTTGATAAATGTGAGTGCGGTCAAGGTTCAATTATCATCAAATTTAGACAGGCCGAGAAAACATCATATCCACAGCACTTACCTCATGCGACGGTATGACGCTAGAGCCCCGAAAATGCGGTACTTGTACACGGCGGGGGAAGTTGGAGTTTTGTACTGATGAATGGCATATTTGCGTCATCATGAGTTCACGTTGCGGACCGACCCTCCGGCATCGTCCTTTACGGCTCCAACCCCAATGCCGCAATCTAGTCCGTCAAACTCCAACAGAACCCACCTACCTAAACACCGAGTCAACCTAAACGTTCATACTCAATTGAATTCTGCATATTATGGGCGTTCGAGATCTCAAATCAACACCCCCAACCCCCCTATCAACAGACCTGAGCGTCGGGCAATGTGCCGGATCAGGCGCAGAAGAGGTTCGGGTTCAATCGCCTCTCCGAAAGAGTCGCGCTCCATCTTTAACTGATCAATCGTCGGAAATTGGCGACGAAGGATTGTCCTCGGAGTCACTGGCTGGTATCGAAGCAGACCCAGGGGCAGCCTTCCAGGAAGTCCTGACTGCGCATGTACCCATGGGCAGCAGCGCGGCGATGGAGTCTCAACGACAAAGGGAGTGATATTCTTTAGCCCACTCGAAAAGATGGTTCAATCCATGTTTTGGACAGACACTGGTCGTAGTTGATTGAGAAGGCTTGGTGGTCAAATAGGTGAGTGTCCATCCTGAGAAGTCAAGATTCAATTCCGAAGCTGACTGGACCTGGCCGCAGTAATGACAAGGTCGTCCTTGCAGACACGGCCGTCACAGACAAGATCTTCCACCTACCGCTCGAAAACTACGTCCAAGTTCGGCATCAATTGCGTCGAGTCAGCCTGGCCAATTGTGCTGGCGCAGAAGGTTGTATCAACAATCCTGAGATTTCAGCTCCGGAACCTCACCGACACCGAGATCTAGACCTAGATAAATTCGCAAATGAGGAAGGTATACAGAGCGGGAAACCGGAATAAGACGACGCACGCAACCATTCAACCATCCCCCCGTTTCCTTCCAATGGCTTTTCATTGGCCGCCCTTCATGGACGGGACAGGAGATGTGACCATGCACCCCCTCGGCCCCTCATAGCATTCACCCGCCTTCCCGGTTAAGGTTCTTACATATATTAAACCTATTCTTGCTCGGCGAGTCAGTGTAGCATTCGATGGACATGTGATGTACATTCTCTCCTTCCTGAAAAGAGGCCTTGGTGGGCATCATTTGTACCCTTCTTACGGCTGGGTCAGTTCTATCCTGACGGCACTCCATGCTGTCTTACGCTGGCATTCTCTGGAACCAGACGAGTTTGGAGCGACGTCGTGCTATCATTAGTCCACCGCCACAAAAGCTTCAAGGTTAATGAATGAGTGCCGCGGGTTGTGGAAATATGGCCTGTGTAACCTGGAGAGGGCGAATGATACCGCACATCTCCGAATAGGGGTCTGGAACACAAAAGGTCCGGATGACAACATCTGAGTTGCCACTCGCAACATTCAGTATTCAATACCTTATGTAACAGTTTCAACCCGAGTACACTACAACTACCTCGTGTAACGCTTTTGCAAGACACCTGTTACATGAGTGCTTTACAAGCTGCATGTCCTCAAGTTGCTGAGTCTTTCTCTCCCCAACCCTTATCGACATGAGCATAGGTACCAAAACTCACGAGACATAATAAGACGTCAGACTAGTGAACATTGCTGGCCATATATGTCTTCAGCATACTCCGTTCAAGACGCTACCGTGTGGTATGAGGCCAGACTTCCCCCGGAAAGTTCACCCTGATAGTTCACTGAGAAAACCAGCTAAAAAGAAAAGAAAGAACGCGGATGGACAGCTACAGTATTCATTGAGCGTCAAAGACGCATTGCTTCGAGAAATCTAGACCATCCACAGACATCGCCAACACCTTCAGCCGATGGGATCTAACTAACTGATTTCCCTACCAACCTGGGAGTCCATGTCCAATGGACCACTTCATACATCCAATCGTCCTGTCGAGATCCCTCGAGAATTTACTGGCAAAGCCAAGACGGAGGAATGTTGCGATATTGCTTACCTCTCCAGCCAGCATCGTGTAACGCAAAGAGTTGTATCCAACGCAGCAGGAGTCGTATAGGACACTCGGGCTCTGTCTGGGCTCTGTAGATTCACAGACCTGAACGTCTAGTACCTCTAGAGAGAGAGATTTTGGAGTTGACGCAAATCCTTAAATAGCCCTCAACAGCTCCTCTTCATCCATCAACTACTTGGTCATCCCCATCCGTCAGTCACCCTCAAATTCTCAAACACAAAACCTCAAACCTCATCGGAGCATTCAATTCCACTTTCTTCCCACCCGCCCGGGCCATTCATCAACCATCAAAGGTACGTACATCCCTCCCGTCTCCTCATCAACCCATCCAGTCCCAGTCCCAGTCCCAGTCTGTCTCTCAACCACCACCAACAACTACCTCAACCTCTACTACTCAAACCGACATTAACCCAAGCATCCATCCCGCAGATCAAGTCAAGTCATCAAGATGCGTCTCACAACAACCCTCTCCTCCTTCCTCCTCAGCCTCCTCGCTATCGGCATCGTTGCAGAAAAATGCGCCTGCAACGGCGGCACCGACCACTCCAAGACGGCCTGCGACCGGATCGGAGCCGTGTACGGCGTCTACGGCTGCGGCTTCACGGGCTGCTGCGTCAACCCCGGCACGCAGCACAACAAGTTTGTCCAGGCGTGCAAGGATCTGGGGTATGGGTTTAAGAGGTGTGATGATTGTGGTACTTGTTAGTGTAGGTTGATGCGAAAGGGAGGAGGGAGGAGGGGGGTGGGCCGAGGGGGGAACTGAGGGAATGGGACTGATAAGGGGACTGATTGTACATGCATTGTTAGCAACGCGAGAGAGGAGATGGCTGGGGGGTTTTTTTTTTCGTTCTCGTGGCTTCGTTTGTTTGGTGTTATTTTCAAGTAAGTATCGTTGCCTCTTCAGTCGTCTTCGTCAGTTTCCCTTGAGAACTGAAGTGGAAGGAAGCATCGGGACGGGAGGCATGCAAGCATCAGCGTGCAGCGGCAGGCGTCTGGAACAAGCAAAATTCAACACCTGGTGCAAACCTTGAAGACGACATGAAATCCAAAAGGAAAGGGATAAAGTACACGAAGATGCGCATCCGGTTTTTCATGCATGTGGATGGATGGAATGCTCTTTCTTGTAAGTCCCCAAGAAAGGGCGATGTTGTCAACACCACCCAACGTGGGTGATGCTCGCAACACAAAGCAGTGCTATGCACTACTCCTTATAAGCCCTAAATCTGTGGCGGATTATCATCAAGGAATGATTGATCAGCCGCATTGCCCGGCTAGCTCAATCGGTAGAGCGTGAGACTCTTAAGCAGTTCCTCCGTAATCTCAAGGTTGTGGGTTCGACCCCCACGTCGGGCTCAATTCCCGTCGTTCATTTCAATTTTTTTTCGACTTTTTGTTTTTCCCTCCTTTACTTTGTTTTCTTCCCTTTCTTATTTCTCTTTTTGTTTGTTTGTTTGTTTGTTTGTTTGTTCATTCGTTCAATTGAGCTCCGTTCCCTCATACCGATAAGTAATGTGTTTTGCTCGCTATGTGATGTGGCAGTGCTGGTAAGCAAGTATGGAGTTGAAGCCATTGGGAAGTTAGAGCTGTCAAATGTTATAAGGAAGAGGCCGAGGACGTACTTGGGGGTTGTCGGGCGGCTAAAGAAACACTGAATCATTGTTGTCGGATGGTGAACTCGCGAGCATATGATGTCAAGATCTATACCCTGTCTTCAACAAGGTCCGCTGGCTCAATGGCAGAGCGTCTGACTACGAATCAGGAGGTTCCAGGTTCGACCCCTGGGTGGATCGAGTTGCTTTCATTTTTGCCCGTAGACTCTCCACGATCATCTGTGATGCTTTTTTTTTCTTGCTCCCCGGTTTTTGAGTGTTCTTCAGAAGACACTCGTTTACAAACCCAGGCTTTGAGACGTCAAGGTAATAATGGTTGTTCTCATGTGTCATTTGAACTTCCCCAAGCGCCGAGGGGCCGTCGCCTGTGACATGCAGTTATCAACTCGAAGATTCTGTGTCCTGGAGTTGTTCTCTTTACTCTTTTAATGTCAACGGACACAACCTTTTACCGGCATGTCCCCGAAAACACAGATGTGTTCACAAAAACCAACCAACAATGGCCAAAATTACCAACACTGGACAAAAGGGAAAAGGACAACAAAAAAGGAAAGCACCAAACGAAAAGAAAGCATGAAAGCTAGGGGTGAATGGAATGCATGGATGGATCAAAGACAAAAAGAAACCAAAAAAGGAGATGTTGTTCAACATCGGGAATTGAGCCCGACGTGGGGGTCGAACCCACAACCTTGAGATTAAGAGTCTCACGCTCTACCGATTGAGCTAGCCGGGCGGTGTTTAACCGCCTGTGTGTTGTTGGAGTCGGCGCTCGGACGCACACCTGAAGAAGCCATTCCCAAAGTTGGGCTTTGGACGTTGAGTGAGGCATGCGAATTTGACATTTTGACGTGACACAGCGTCACTCAAGCCCTTGAGGCGGACAAAAGGAGGAAGGGGCGAAAGAATTTGATTTCCTGCAAGTCGACATATGCCCAATGAGGATGGATGTGATAGTGCAGTTCGGTATTGCGTTGTTCGTTCCAGAATCTGCGCAGCCGTCGTTTGCTGGGACCAGGCGTGGGATCCGGTAGGTACCTCTATAAAGCACGACGGCGCCGATTCGGACCAGTCGGCGTGAGCATTACGACCGAATTCAGTTGGAGAAGCCTGCACCCGGACTCGGGGTAGCTGGCCCCGGGGCGGAGGCTGCGAATCTTTCGTACCTGCCCTGCGTTTATCTTGGTACTGCAAATGGGGAAGGCCCGGCCACTGCACACTCGAAACCTGCCTGCTTTTGCATAAAGAATTGGCCCGGTCATGTTGGGAAATTTCCTCTCTTTTTCCATGACACTGAAGTGCATCTTATGTCCGAGTCCGGTGTCCTTCATTCCTGGCAGACTCACCGAGTGTCTGGGATGTACATCTCAGATCCAAGACGTTCAACTGCATGTTGATACTGTTAAGAAGCATTACAAAATTTAAAGGCACAGGCCGAAGGGCTCTCGATGACTGCAGCTCCGATGGCAATATCTCATGCCCGACCTTGCAGAGCACCAGACAGCGGACATGGACGTGACAATGGATTTCAATGACGCCTACGTGGCCTACAGACAGGTCTAGGAAGAGGGTACAAGTTCCCCCTTTCCTGTTTCCTTACCAGCTTTCCTGTTTCCCTTTTCTTCTCACAGTCAAATCACCTGGCATCCTCGGATATTCTCACATTTTCCCCATCATTCCTGTGATAATTCTTTGCCAAATTCGGGAAACAGGCTTAGCCCTCGTCATTGTCCAGTTCTAATCTCCTGCACTCAACTCCCAAGATGTGCTTCACCAGATTTATCAAACATCCTCTCACAGCTTGGCTCTTCGGGGCGCTGGTCCAAGCTGCTTTCGCAGAGGAGGCAGAGGATGCAGTACAGCCAAACACGGCTGTTCCAATTCTGGTACCTCAAGTCGTAAGCAGACACTTCCATTCTTACGCTATTTCGTCCAACTTAACAGACCCCCATTCCATGCCTGCTCAATGTTAACTCCAGTTCCACACACACAGGATCCTGCCAACACAAACGTAGTCACCGGTATCGCGGTCTCTTATCCAGCCGCCTCAACAACCCCCAAGAGCAGCACCAGCAGTATCAACAGCATCAACAGCGAAGAAGAATATGAGACTGAAGTCCCCAGCCTCTATACCACCACCACCACCATCACCACCACATCCACCAAGACCGGTACGGAGACAGTCGAGTCGTCCGTATCCCGCTCCCTCACATCCTCGTCCTCTCTTTCGCTGCCGCCGGAAGCAAACTCAGCCGCAACGGTAACGAAAAGGGCACCGGATACAACTTCCACGAATTCATCCGGAAACAAACACTTCATCCCAAGTGCGTGGCGATCTTATCAATCCGCGCATTTCAACAAGTCCACAGCAACAACCAAAAAAACAACAACAACAAGCGAGACAGAGGTCGGGTCTAATACCCACACGCCCTGCTCGGATTTCCCCATTCTTCCTCCCAAAGACATCGATGTCGGCAACAAAAATGACAGCTGGAGCGACAGGGAGACGCCCAGCATGATGAATGTTTTTGGCGCAGCGGCGCTGGCGATGGTTGTTCAAGCGGGTATGGTTTTTGGTGGTGGTGTAGCCCGTTAATGGGAGAGTGGAATATTAGAAGAAGAGAAAGAGACAAGGCAGAGAAGGCATGTGGGGGTGCGTGCGTGACATAATGGAGTATTAATAGAATGGTTTTCTTTATCTTCTTATATCTTTTGTAATAATCTCGGTGTGTAGCAGAAGGGTGAGTAATACTCTTCGACAAGAGCAGCATGCCTGTCTGCCTGCCTGCCTGAATGGCTCAACCCGCAACGGGAGATACGTTCGACTGAAATTGGCTAGAGGTAGGTAGTTTCACTTACTTATTTTAATATTTGGATTCGTTTTCCTCTTCTTTCTGAAAGATGGGACACTCATCGATTCGATGGTAAAGCAGCATATGTATGTATGTAGAGATACAGCTGGCTAAAAGAAAAAAAAAAGAAGAAAAAAAGAAGAAGAAAAAAGAACCCAAAACCGGTTGTGGTAAACAATAATATCGCTGCCCACTACTACTACCCAACAATGAAATTTGATCAAATACCATGAAATTCGCGTGTGGCAAAAATTTCTCCGTGGCTGATAGAGGCACCAGTCGTGTTTTATTATTGTAGAAAGAAGGGAAGCGAGAGGGGGAATGGAGAAGAAAAAAAGTCAACGAACTCTGTCCGACCATCACTCAAGGGAAAGGACAGACAGACAGTCAACAAGGTTGTAAGGAACGTTTAGAGGAAAGATCGGAAAGGAGGGCCGAAGCCTTAAGCCTGCCTGGTGTGGTGGTATGTAGAGGCTAGTCTAGAGCCAACGTGCCCGTAGGAAGGGAAGCTCCTGCAGGCAGGCCCTTGTTCGTTGCTTATACAGCGGGTATACTGGCTTACGTGTCTAGACTATACTCCAAGTCAAAGACCAGTTTTTCGTTAGATTTGACCCCTAGTTGTTGTACAAGGCCTGGTCTGGTACCAGAGTACTTCGTGTCATACCTAGGCCTCAAAGTCAGGTGTAGAAACTGGAAGATGAACAACAACCAATATGAAACAAAAGAGATAACCTAAGAGTTCACTCACGTTTGGTATAATCCATTTACACCGAATACCATCTTTTTCTCATCTCTATCGTACAGCAACATGGTCTTCCTGTAGTCTAGTCGCCTGGGCGCCCAAGTGTCTATATAAATGTTTGTCATCTAGGTACAAGTAGCTGGCCCTGCCTGGTTGGGCTTCCTATGTATAGGTAGTGTAAAGCCAGCATAGCATGAAAGCAGCCGCCCGCTATTCTTTCTTCTGTTCCTTCTCACAACACTGCACAAGCTCTCACGTCCCGTCCCACATCTCCTCACTTCTCCCAAGCTTCCAGAGTTATAGTAGGCCCCAGCCCCGATCTCTCTAAAACTCCGGACTAACACCCCCAAACTTGCCCCCATCCTCCCCCTCGGCATCCTTATACTCATCCGACAACTGGCTGATCAAATCCTCCAACCGCGGTCTAAACGGCCACTTCATCCACTGCTCCAACACATCCTCATACTGCCGCGCCGACATGCCCCTCACCGTGATCTCCGCCGCTCCGGGGAACGGCACACCGCCCTGTTCCGGATCAACAAGGCTGTGACACTTGGGATACACCGACTCGCTCGCTCCTGGCGCCAGACGATCAAACACGGTTCTCATCGGCGAGTTGGTATAGATCATGAGGCTGCGCATCAACAAGTCCGCCATGTCGCCGCTCCGATCCGAGTTGGGGCCCATGGAGCGCAAAACCCTGTGCGCGGCTTTGGGCTGGATGTCGAGCAAGGAAAGCGGCACGTGCGGGAAAAACTCGTCCTTGCTGATGACCAAGGGCTCGATGGCCCTTCGGTCCCAGTGCATGCTCTTCTGGTTCCACAGGTGCAGGTTATCGCGCTGGACGAACCAGTCGCCGCAGGCGGTCGAGCCCAGGGCGATAAAGGTCTTTTCCCATTCCTTGTAGCGGTCCATGATGGTTTTGAGGGCTTTTTCGTCTGCTTGGTTGGCTTTGGCAAGCCGATAGTCGTCCATGAGCCGGAGGAATTCCGCCATGTTGGTGTGGATATTGCTGAAGCGCTTGTTTGCGGAGCCGATTTGGACGCGCATGCGGACCATGGACTTGTGTTCCTTCGAGCCGATCTCGATCTTGCCGTCTTCGAAGTCCCTCTCGAGCTTTTCGAACGCTTCCTGGTGACGGAAGTCGTAGATGAGGGGCGTCTCGCCGGCGGCGACTACGTCGTCGGGGTTTTGGGAGATTTCGCGGAGGAGCTTGGTCTCGCGACCGGGAGGGGTTTGGATCCCGGCGTCTCGCATGCGCTGCAAGGCCGTCAAGGCGCTGCTGCGGTCGATGTTCGGGTCGCGGTGGAACCAGAGACGCTTCGAGGGGTCGACGTCGGAGTAATCGGGACCCGCTACGTGGGTGATGGATTCGCAGTTGAGTTCGGCGTCGACGGCGACGCGCCGGCGGCGCTGAGCCATGCGGGGGAGAATGGCGGCCTTGTCTTCGTCGTCGAGCCAGAGGAGCATGCGGACCAGACCGTATTTCTGGAAGAGGGCGCCGCTGCGGATGGCGTGGTTGAACTGGTATAGGATCATGGCGGTGGCGCTCGGGAAGTTCGAGTATCTCCTCTTGGGGTAGGAGCCGAGGTTGGCGGTGACCAGGAGGGTGTCGTTGCGCTCGGGTACGTCGTCGGCGGAGTAATGGTGCTCTTTCTGGTGCGGCAGGTACTCGGGTGTGAGCACCGACAACAGCTCCGCCCAGACGACGCCGTCCTTGGCCACCAGTTTGGTACCCTCTCGGTCAAGCAGCGGTTCAAGCATGGGTTTGTAGAAGTTCGCGTCCGGTTCGAGCAGCAGGTGCGTGCGAGGCTTGAGCAGGTCGTTCAGCTTGGTGCTCCAGACGCCAGCTCCGGGGTTTAAATCGATGATGTCGCAGCCCTCATGGCGCGTCAAGGTGGGCTTCATGTATTCGAGGATATCGTCGACCATCTCCTCGCTGGTGACGTTGACTCGGGTTCTGTCGCATTTCCTAAGGTGTGGAGGCGCCAGTCCCTTCGCCGAGTTGCGCCCATAATCGAGCCAGCCCCAAAGCTCTGTGTCGTATAGTTGCTCTTGCATGGGGTCAACACAAGGTCGCAGCATGCTTTGTTCATCGCTTCTCGTTATCTTGGCTGGTTTTAATGGCATCTTCTTCACTGCTGTCCCTGTAGCTGCTCGTTTTTTTACGGTTTTGTACTTCGCGGCTACCTCCCCATCCTCGGTATCATCGGTTTCGGGCTTGTTCTTGCGTGGCCGCTTTACCCCCTTTTTCTTGGATTCCTCTCCGTTTTCAACTCCCACTTCTTCTCCATCCTTGGTACTATCAGCAACCTTCTTGGGCCGACCTCGTTTCGGTTTTTCGGGTTCTTCTTGGGTCTCAACGACCTCTTTTGCACCGCCAACATCCTCCTCAGCCGCCTTTGCTTTGCGCGTCCTCGTCCTCTTGGGTTTCGCTTGTGCTGCTGGGTCTGCGACTCCGACTGACTGGAGGATTCCCATGGCTTCGAACATCATCTGGCCGGCGGCAGACTTCTTGGCTTCGAGGGCCTTTGTTGTCTGGTATGCCCTTCGTGCGTGCCATTGTGCGCGGGTAGCCGATAAGAAGGTAGCGGTTGTGATTATGGACGATAAACATGGCGCTTGGCCCAGGCCGAAGTTGCGGCGCACAGCATTGTTGCCCACCGTAGAGAGCATCGGACGTGGACGGGAGAGGACGGCGGGGAGTCGAGCCTATTCGGGAAGGGTTTGCTGATTATATAAGAACAAGAAGAACGCGAGAGGGTGGAGGAGGAGACGATGGGATGGCGCTGCCGTGCTCCTGTGTGTTGCTAGTTTTTCGATGTTGATGTTAATACTCGATACTGGAATTGCCCCGAAGAACAAAGTTCACTTTTCCTATGCAACCAGCTGCGACAATTATTCCTGCCATTAGACACCGCCCATTGATAAGGCTTATCGCAGCACAACGTCACATTCATGCAGGTCCGGTATCTTACCCGCAGTGAGTACCTCTACGGCCATATCCATTTCGTGCCACTCGTCGAGTACTCTTCCAATGCATGTCTAGAAACAGGGTGCTGGATGATCGTGACTGGTTAATGATGATGTCTTATCATTGACACAGAAGGCCCACGAAAGGCCCATAGCATGGTACGATATCTGAATACCGACAAAAAAAAAAACAGTGCGTCAGACAACAGAAAGTCAACCGGGCGATAGGCCGGAGTCGACACACAAAAACAACATCAACTAAGGAAAGGGGTAATAGTGGTAGTAGTAACAATGCCCGTCCGTACCGTTTGTTTAAACCCAACCGACCGACCCATGGACAAACCATAGCTGTTAACAAGAAGAGGGACAATAGTAATGACCGGAATAGAAAAGAAGAAGAAAAAAAAACGACACACCAAAATCCTCTCTGTTTCACCTCTACCGCCTACTCCTTGTTCTTGATGCAGACCATACCAAGTATTCCTATCAGTGTGATATGCATCCATATCCTATTACCTCCAACAGCTTTCAACACCTTCTTGACCTTGACCTTTCTGCTGCCGTGGAACAACTAGCTGGGTCACGCGCTAAAAGAAGCTCCAGCTACGTAGACCATCTAGGATCCCTGCGCTCCGCTCCTTTCGCCATTGCCCATCATCCCATAATCCCCCCACCACCACCGCTCGAACTCTGGGCGCTCTCACGTTTCCTCCTCTTCTCCCTCTCCAGATTCTCTCTCAGGGCCAAGTTCTCCGACTCGCTCGTGTTGATCCTCTTGAGCGCCTCGTTACGGTCCAAGATTCTCCCTTCCCTTTCGGCCTTGAGCTTGTACTCCAGGTCTCTCAGCCGCAGCATCCACTTGTTGTCTGCGCTCGTTGTGCCTGTCCCTCCTCCTGCGCCTCCGCTTTGGAGGTACATACCAGGCGTGGCAGGGTTGTTGGTACTACTAGTTGACCCCGGACCGGAAGGAGGAGCGACTCCCCTTTCGTTTGGCATTTGAATCCCCCCACCTCCACCACCGGGGCCAGTGTAGGAGGCTTGGGATTGCACTTGGGGGTGCTGCTCGTGTTGGTGACTTTGTTGCGACCGGGTACTCTGTGCTCGGGACAGGGGCGGCTGGGAGAATCCCGGTAGTAAACCCTCGTCCGTGTGGCCGTCCATGTCGTTGATCATGGACCTGCGACTGCTACTCGCTGATCGCTGGGGTACGGCAATGGAACTCGGCCTGCTGCTGCCGCTTTTTCTGGGGTCTACTTGGCTGTAAATAGACATTCTGTCGCTGGGCATTCGTTCCCTGTCTCTTGGCCCTGCTGACGGCAGGGGACTGGGGCTCTGTTGGTGACCATCTCCTCCTCCCCGAGAAGAATGGGCAGCAGCGTACGCGGCTCTAGCGCGGACTTCGGCTGCTGTTCGGAGAGTATGGTTTTCCACCTTGAGCTGCCTGTAGGCTTCTTCTAGCCGGGCAAGCCTGCCCTGAGCCTCGGCAGCGGTTGGGACGCCGTTGCCTGTGGTGCCTGCTGCGATGCTGTTGCGCACAATGTGCTCCAGACGATCCAGCTTCTTGGCTCGCATCTCCAGGTGGCTCTCCAGCGCCTGATATTCTCTCCACAGGTCACGCTCCACGGATTTCACCTTGGTCTGGAAGCCACTGACCATGGTTTCCAGAGTCTTCACCGCAGCCAAGAGGTTCTTGCTGAACCCAGGGAACATGGTAGCGACCGACTCCAGGCTAGGCAGAGCGCGGCCATTGATGAGACTATTGTCGTGTGCCCAATCGCTGCCGCAGAGGCTGGAAAGCCTGGTCCAAAGGTTGAGGAGCAGGGTGTTGCGTTCGGTGAGTTGTTCTTTATACGTGGTCTCGAGCTGAGCGATGCGCTTCTTGTCTTGGGCTTTGCCATTTTCCAGCTCCGCTATGCGCGCGTCTGATTGAGAGAGTGTGCGCGTAACATGCTGATGCGTCTTCTGGAACGTCTCAAACTGGTTTTTGGTGTTCCGGTGAGCTTGGCGCTCTTTGTCGAGCATCTCGCCAACCTTGCGGGATTCGAGAGCATGGGATTCAAGAAGAGCGTCACGCTGCTTGATGATACGGTCCTTTTCAGCCAGTGATGCCTTGGTAGTGTCAAGGTCGCGCATGGCTTTTTCGAGGTCCATTTGGAGCTTGGCGATAGACTGTCGTGCTTGTCAGTTTTACATCCAGGCTGCAACATTACAGGGCAACTTACCTTGAGAAGGCTGGACCTGGTGCCGTTCAGGTCACCTAGAGCCTCGCGAAGGTTGTTCTCCAGCTCCAGTAGCCTCTCCTTCCACTCTGTAGCCTCGACCTCCCTGCTTGTCAGGCTCTTGCGCAGTCGTCGCGCTTCATCCTTGGCTGCTGTTGCTTCCTTATTGAGCTCGTTGATGAACTGCTGTACCTCCTCCTTCTCTCTGTTTGCGACAATCTCTCGTTGTCTCCTCTCCTGGGCCAGCCGGTTCTCGAGCTCTCTGACTCGGTCTTTTTCATCACGCATACCTTGCTCGGAATTTGCCAGTGCCGCTTCCAGATCACCAATCCGGATCTTGTCGCTCTCCTGTTCTTCCCGCAAGAACGCAATCTCCCCTTGGCTTGACTCTTGCTGGACTGACAGACGGTTGGCTTTGTCGTTTGCCTCGAGAAGCTTGAATTCAAGTTCCTCCAGTTCTCTGTTGGCATCATTCAGCTCTTGTTCAAGTGTTTGTATCCGTCTGTGCTTGGCTTCCTGCTCATCCTCCAAGCGAACAAGGGCATCGCTCATCTTGCGCATCTCCTCCTGTAAGGCATCGAAATTCTCGTTACGATCATTCAGATCAAGTTGGAGGCGCTCAATCTCGGCACTACGGAGATCCGATTCACCCTCCAGCGCATCGATCTCCTCCTGGGCTTCTTTGCGCAGAGCTTCGAACTCCTGTTCAAGGTTCGCGTGTTCTTGAAGTGCCTCGTCACGCTCGGCCTGCAGAGCGACAAGATCCTGCATTGCTGCCTCCAGGTCATCTTGCAGGGAATGGGAAAGCTCTTCGGCCTGCTTCTTCGCTTCGCAGAGCATCTCAAAGTCCTCCATACAGGCCGCCAGCTCACGCTCCAGATCTTGGTTTTGAAGACGAAGTTCGTTGTTCTTATCTCTCATCTGAGAAATCTTATTCTCGAGCTCTTCGCGATCGGCGTCGTCCAGTCCCGTCATGCCCGTTCTGCCACTAGCTCTCGAGTGTGATCTTTCATGGGCGCCGGCACGGGATGCTGACCTCTCCAAGAGGCTGTCGATAGTAGACGGCGCAGGGCCCCCGCGACGTTGTGCCATTTTCAAATCCTCGATTTCTTGGTAAAGACGTTCCTTCTCACGGTTTCGTGAGGTTAACATGGAGGTTTGTGCGCCCACTTCGCGACGAAGCTCGGCGTTTTCATGGCGCAACTGTTCGCTTTCCCGACGAAGTTCTTCGATCAGAGTGGTGGCTGAACTTGCAACATCCATATCGGAAGTCGTAGGCCGACTGGAAGCGCTCCCTTGGTCGCGGGACCTTCGGCTGAGGTATGACATGTTAGAACCTTGCTGTTGCTGTTGATATTGCCCATTGCCGTTCGGCTGCATCGCCAGCTCCTGCTTGAGGCGAAAGATTTCTTCACGCAGCCTTCGGTTATCTTCGTCACTCTGCTCCCTCCTCGCCGTCTCTTGCTCGAGCAGATCCTTGTAAACGTCGGCCTCTTCTTGCCGATCCAAGTCTCCGCCGAACCTTTCGCCCGTCTTTTCGCTGAGGGTGCGAACCATTTCCGCCATACGCCTCTTTTCCGCCTCTTTGTGAAGATTTTCATTCCGAAGCCTCTCGATCTCGACGATGTGCTCTTCCAGCTGCTCCCTGAGGTACATCAACTCTTCTTGTACCTCTTGGTTAAAGGCAGCGCTCTCCTCGTCTGACTGATCGCTGCGCGCAGTGCCTGGTCGCTCATCCTCGTCCTTGACTTGCTTCTCCAACTCCTTGACCCTTTTTCGGAGCATCTTGTTGTCCCTTTGCAACACGGCTAGCCCAGTTTTGAGCTCCACGTTCTCCGAAATCATTTCCTTAATACCCTCTTCAGAGAGCTTGTCCAGACGATCACTTAAAAACATGACCTTGAGTTTCAAGTCGAAGTTCTCTTTGCTCAATCGCTCAATGGTGCTACTTTGCTCTTTTAATGTCAAGCTCTTTCCGCCAGCGCGAGTCGTAACCACTGAGGCGCCCAGCTTGCCGGGACTCTTAAGGTCGGCGAGGTTAAGGGGTTTCAACGGCGTCGTCAGTCCTGTCTTGGCCCTGTACTCTTTCGCCAGAGACTCAGGCACCTGCACATCTCTAACATGCCGGGCGAGAACTGTGTCTGATGGCGCAGCAAGCGGAGGTGGCGTCTTGCGGGCTTTAGGTGTTCGCACCCCGTCATCTTCCTGGTCCCGTAGCTGGCGCATGACTGCTGGCTCGGGGGATATCGCGTTATAAGCTTCGTCGAGAGGAGTGAGTCCAGAAATGGGTCCCGAGGGGTCAGGGTCTTCGTAGCCACTAGCAAAACTGCCCAGACTGATGGTCCGCGTGAGGCCGTTCGTATCTCGCGGCCTTTCTGTCGAAGAAGACGCACCGCCGGAGTGCAGCGCATAGTCTGTTCCCATACCAATCGTATGATCGCTGTCGGGGTCTGGATCACTAGTATAGGATGAGACGGAACCACGCTGTTGACCTCTCTTAAGGTACTTGGGGCGCTGGGGAAGCTCGCGTCTCTCTTCTTGCGGAGGCTGCTGGTGGTCCTTCTGTTGCTGCTCTTGGCCTTGCTTTCTACCCTCCGGCTGCTTGGGGGCCTGCTCAGGGGTCTTTTCCGGGGTCAGGTTCTCTCTAGCGAGATTTTTCCTGGTGCTTTGGGTGGAGGGTGCATGCTGCAGATTCGCATTGTTTCCGGGGGTCGACCGTGGCTTGGTGGGAGTTTCGTGCCAATAATCAGACTCGTCAGACTCGTCCTGGTGCTCTTGCTCGTGGGACGACCCATTTCCGTCATAGTCATCAACTTGTCGGTCTAGGCTCGGTTGCGAAACGACGCGAGATGTCGTCCTCGCGGCAGCCGCAGCAGTTGGGGGAGATGGAGAGAAGGCTTCTAGAGACGAAGTTGTGTTACTTGTCATCGATGTGTCCGCACCTTGCTGCTCGTGGGCCTCGTTCGGCTCGTCCTCTCCGCTCTGACTCTCTTCCCCGCTTCCCCCGTCTTCCTCTTCGTTGTTGGACCTCTGCATGGAGGTCTCGTCGGCATCCTCGACTGTGGCTACAGGCATTTTGGAGCGGATTTGGGGGAGATGTTGTGTGTCGTCCTCAGAGTCATTCTCGGACTCTGGTCTTGATTCTTGGGTGTTTCTGTCTGTTTGTAATTGTGCGTCGGCATGCGCTGGTGGGGGTGGCGGAGGAGTCGCAGGTGCAGCGGTCGCTGTCGGCCCGGCTGGTGCAGCTTCCCTGGACGCGGAGTCGAAGAGGTCATAGGTATCGTCAACGCCTCTGTCTGAAGTCGGAAAGGGTGAAATAGGGGCGGAAAAGCTAGATTCGATCTCGTTCAGGTGTTGGTGGACGGCAATTTCGGCTTGCGAATCGGACTGCCTCAACTCTATGCTCGGGCCTTCCAAGTAGCTGGTTTCGGGAACTGCTAAAAGGGAGGAAGCAGAGTTGGCGGCGTGCAGTGGCGGTATGTCATCAGGTCTTAACGATGTACCCGGACTTGTAGTTGAGGTCGCGGGCGAGGGATAGGGGCGGTTGTTGTTGTTGTTCGTTCGCGTCGAAGGTTGGGGGTCGGCGTTGCTATCGGGATTCGTCGCTGTGGATGGCCGCGACCGACGGCCTCCTCGCTCCTGGACTTCTTCCTCCATGGTCATCACCTCAGTCCTCAGCTACCTCCCCGTATGCTCCCGGCCTGGGTCTCAGCCAGCCCTAGAGGTAGGGTGACGGTGCTGGATCGCGTTTGGCAAAGCGCAATTGCGCTGCGGTTGTTTTAAGGGGCTCCTCCCGTATCCCGTATCCGCGTCAATCGCCGTGCTGTCGTCTTAGGGGTTGTCGCCGTACTGATGATCGCGTGGTCCGGAAGTCGAGGTATTAGAGGACTACATCCGCGATTATGAAGTCAGAATTAGTAAAATGCAAGGTGTCGAGTAAGTCGAGGCGTCATATGTCGTAGCAAGTACACTGGTGTAAGAGGTAAAATGGAGGAAATGTTCCAGAAAGTCCAAAGTTCGTATCACTATCCGCAATCTGTAGTCTTTTTTGGGGATAGTAGGCGTTTGTCGAGTGGAGAGGTTGGTCATGTACCTGGAAATAATAGATTGGCAAGCACCACTCATGAGCTGGTGGCTGTCGAGGTTGACCTCTAGAGGTAGGTACAGGGGTTCGTAAGGGGTGCAGCTCTGTACAAGCTCACAGCGGAGATGATGGTCTGGAGTCCAGTGTGACGGAGTTGCCCTGACGGCAATTGGGTGGAGGGTTCACGCGCTCCCGTCGCGTGGTTGGACCGTGCACTCCACCTAACCCACGGGTCATGACCCGAATTCCATATAAAAATAAAGACACCAGCATGACGGGAGGTCCTGAGAATGTCGAAACAAATAACAAATCGTATCCCACATAGTCAAATGGATCTCACATCGTGAGCTCTAGAGCACTGCGGTACTATAAGTAGTCTAAGTACTTTTTCTGTCCCCTCAACATGTAGCTGCTACGAGTGCTACGACGGGTGCTACCGTTGGGAACATCCATGTTTGGATTGCTAGGAGAACCAAGCAGACGGTTTCGTGCTGGCGAATAGCATCCCGTTGCGTCATGGTGTTGTTACTGGATTCGGATGTGGTCAAAGATGGGCCATGTTTCGTTTCAATCTTTGATTCCGAAATTTGAGCATCAATTTACTTCAATCTGGACTCTCCGTGTCGGGCAATGGATGGCAGGCGTGCCTGACATTCCGCGCTTCTTTGTTCAGGCCGTGCACCCAGATCGGGCACCCCCTGAAGTCCGAAAGGAAACAGCTGACATGGTGATTAATCTACAGAGTACAGGTTGTTAACGTTAAATGATATGTGTCTGACATACTTATCTACGACTCAACATAGCACACGGAGAGAGACTATTGTGTGTTAACATATTCTTACTCGGCTTCGCATCCCACATTGGTATAACGATGCTCTTGAATCATCACAACAACCAGCTAGGCCTGGCTTCAACCGTCCAGCCCTTGGGCTCGAACAAGAGTAGTTGAAGCGCAACAAAACTAACATGAGGACTGTGGTAAGCACCGTAGTCTACATCGTCCCTTTCTGTAAACATAAAAAGCACGGAAAGAGGCAAGAGAGCCATTTGAATTCCCAGGGCTTTCAAAGGAACAGCTGTACTGCTCGTGTGGCACTTCAGGACAAACAAAATCTTCCTCTTACACAACGAAGGTGGCTAGCCCGCAGTATCCAACACCATGATGGAACGAAGGACGTTCTCCCAGCGGTACCCGTTAGGGAGTGGAGGTCAGTTCCTGTCTGTTTGCTCAACTCTGCTGCGGTAGAACTTGTAGCAAAGAAGAAGAAAAACTCATACCTCAGACATCGACTTCCAATGATTTTGTGCGCTGGTCTGAGGCTCTTGGCGGCGTGGAACTGGGACCAAGCCGACAGCAAGCATCGGAGGAACTGCCGTTAAAGGACGAGGAGTAACGAAACTTCCTAGTCCATCCGGTCATCTCTTTGATGAAGTGAAGTTATATCCCGCATATCTACCACAGTAGAACATCCGGAGTATCATGGGATGCCAGAGGTTGCTCAGGATCCCAGATCTTACTCTCGGCCACATTATCAACCAATTTTTATCTGATCATCTGATAACTATGGTGGAAGAAACGGACAAATTCCATCTCGTGTTACGTGACTATCGCAGCTCCCAAAAGAGCGATAAGCGATAAGGATATTATAGCTGTGAGATAGGCGTAGCGTAAGCTTATCCGCTACCGCATGAGTGCATCCAACTCAGCAACTACCGATCTCGCACTAACAAAAACACCCAACAGAACAGAGACAGAATCTCCGATTTCCGGTCCTGTCGTCGAAGCTGTCGTCCCAAATCAAGACGCTGTACCCTGGGGATTTTTGAAGCCATCATCTGACAGACCGGGGTATGGCGGTCAATTGGATTCGTATCCTGCCGTGATGGAACCACTAACTGTTTAGGGCTAAGGTCTCTCAATATTTTTATGGGCCGGGAAAAAATGGCGCAAAACACGGTTAATGAGATGGAGAAGAAGTTTTCTGGAAGTTCAGATGACCTCCACTCCGGCCTGTGGAAGCCCATGGTCTACGGGAGTCGTTATCCAGGTCCAGACAAGTCCGTGCTTTTTTCCTATTTGGGCGAAAAAGTGGTCAGAGCTCACAAATTGTTAGTGCACAGAAGTACCTCCCAAACTCAATCCTCCGTTCGTCTTCTCGTTTTCCGGGCTTCCCGATATAAAAAAGTACAAAGATTTTTGCATACACAGATTCGGATTCAGCGCATCACCCAAAAAGGCCCCTTTTGAGGCCAGCTGAGTAGCGAAAAGGAGCATTCCAGCCCAACGTTTGCTGTTGAGGAAAGTGGTGGAGGGACTTGTGGTTTTGGGCGATTTTTGGGGTGCACGGACATGTCTGGACCTTCTTCATGAGACGATCGATGCCACTGGATGCCCCTCCACAGACTCCAAGTCTCCAACCACCTCCTCTGCTTGGCCGGGCTGATCCCTTGCGATCGCTGCCACTGAAACGGAAAAGCTGACAAGCTCGCTTCGAATCTCTTCTCTGTCAAACAGTGTGCCCCTCCACACCTCCCCTCGTCGGCCATCCAGCAATGGGGCCATCAAGGTCCTCTTATTGGTGGCCTCGACACATAGCCCAGTCCACTGTACGTAATACCGAATCTTTTACCCTCATCTTCCATCACCAGATCTGCTCTTCGGCTCGGCGATACTATGTAGATGCAAAAGTGTCAAATAGTGCCAAGGTCATGTCGGATACTACCGGTGATAGCCGTCATTCCAAAGACTCTTGGAATCTTGGGGACTCCATCCCTCCTCGGGCGAGATGGACAAAGTATTCCGTGGTCCGTGATCCCGGATCCGTTCACACACCGTAACCAGCACCGGGCTCGAGCCGGGGCATGAGCGGCGGGAAGCCAGGCATCTTGAAACTTCCTTGTTGGGATGGACGAGTCGGGAAGGTAGGTAAATATGTCATGCGCTGGGTTGGAGAAAAATATATCCTTTCGCTTTCAGTTGTTTTTCTTTTTCTCTTCTTTCTTCTCTCCTCAACAACTTCTCGTTTCTTCATAACCTACACTAGCCTTCTTCCAATCTCGGCCGGCCTTGTGAGATCTCTTTGGTTGCATCACTAGCTCTAGCCCTCTTCTACCCCCACTGCTACCCTACCTCGGCACCATGTCTCCCTCCCGCGTCGATAACCAAGCAGCGGCTTATATAGCTGCTCCCTCGTCCACAAAGGCGCCAATGGTCACCGAATCATCCTCTCCCACAAGCTCCAACAAGACCTTCGGCATGTCTTCCCCCATCGAGTCCAAGTTTCTCTCCCACCCAGAGGACCTCGGCATTGTTGCCGTAGGCTTCTCCGGCGGCCAAGTATGTTGTACTCTTTATATCTGTCGAGTTTGGCATCCATTGACATGATCAAAAATTCCAGTGCAAGCCTGGTGTCGACGCCGCCCCCTCCGCCCTTATCGAGTCCGGTCTCCTCACCCAGCTCCGCGAAGAGCTAGGCTACAAGTTGCACGGCGATGACGAGGTGCACCTCTACACGGACCTTGTTCCCAAGGAGGACCCGGACTACCGCAACATGAAGAACCCGCGCGCCGTCTCCAACGTGACCAAGCGCATTGCCGACCAGGTCTACTCGCACGCCAAGGAGGGACGCCTGGTCCTCACTCTCGGTGGCGATCACAGCATTGCCATTGGCACCATTGCCGGCTCGGCCAAGGCCATCAGGGAGCGCCTGGGACGCGAGATTGCCGTGATCTGGGTCGATGCCCACGCCGACATCAACACCCCCGAGACCAGCGGCAGCGGTAACATCCACGGCATGCCCGTCAGCTTTCTCACTGGTCTGGCGCGCGAGGACAAGGAGGAGTTCTTTGGCTGGTTGAAGCCCGACAACCTCCTCAGTGTCAAGAAGCTGGTCTACATTGGCCTCCGCGATGTCGACCCCGGTGAGAAGCGCATCCTGAGGGAGAACGGAATCAAGGCGTTCAGCATGCACGACATTGACAAGTAAGCCTACTGCCCGGCGGATGTCATGAGTTTGTCCGGAGCATCTTGCTAACCATCACCCCTTCGTTTCAGGCACGGCATCGGTCGCGTCATGGAGATGGCCCTCGGCCACATCGGCAACGACACCCCCATCCACCTTTCGTTCGACGTCGATGCGCTCGATCCCACGTTCGCGCCTTCCACGGGAACCCCGGTCCGCGGCGGTCTCACTCTCCGTGAGGGCGACTTCATCTGCGAGTGTGTGCACGAGACGGGAAGTCTTGTCGCTGTCGATCTTGTCGAGGTCAACCCTACCTTGGCGGCTCCCAATGACACCGGCGCACACGAGACTGTTCGCGCTGGTTGCTCTTTGGTCAGGTGCGCTCTCGGCGAAAGCCTTCTATAAGTCGATATTTTTTTCCAAAGACGACAGCAGCGATATTCCGACGGGGTGAAGAAGGAAGGGGGCCAATAAAGATGGCACCCAGTACAGGAGGTCGCAGCAACGCGGCGTTTTTATACATATGACATAACAGGACAAATAACGGCAGCATAATGATGTCTCCTATAGATATGGGATGGGACGTCAGGTGTTTTAGGATACCATTGGGGGAATACTTTTGTCTTTTTTTTTCTTTCTCAAGAGCTAGCTTGCACTTAGACGACTTTCTTATAGGCCTGGTCTCTGGAGATCGGCCGGGATATGATGCCTTTCATCATATAACACCACCCTGAAGCGCAATAGAACTTTATTTTGCGCTTTCACTTTGCTCTTCCACTTTGCTCTTGTCCCTATCGCTGTTGCTTCTCTGAAAAGTCCCTGCAGTTTCTTTGCGTTCCCATATGTACCCCAGATTTTTCGGACATTTTTGACAGAATGGAAGCCTGCATATTGACATCAGGCCGCAGATGACATCGACATCTCGGACTCTTCCGTCCGGTGCCCGGCACAGCTGAGACGCACCTTTTTTTAAGCAGTTGTCAACGGCATCGTCACTGCAGTATCCCTGCGCCGAAACACCAACACAACATCCATCGACGATGTGAGAAAAGGTAACGAGCATCTCGACCTACACAGTCGACTCCCTGTTGATGTTATTTTCAGTTCCTATAATGGCGCGTCATCTCACTTCAGCGACGGGAGTGTGTGGTCGCTCGTTATCGATAACACCGCCCGCCAAACAGAGCCAAGCCTCTTTAAGCGCCAAGATCACCGTTCCCGTCTGCTGTCACTGCTGTTCCGAACGATGGAGTCCGTCCATGACAACTCAGTGATCAGTCGAAAGACGAAACTGGGGACTGAGGTTGGTGGGAGGTATATTTCATATAAATATCTGGAATATTATATCTCATGGATGACAAGGCCAACAATAACGCCCGTTATAACTTGTTATCCCCTCCCAGCCCGCGCATTTTCTGACATTCTCCCAGCCACGCGAAAACGGCCGTACCGTAGCAAGTTTCGTTTTCTACCCCACTGTAGTACGAGGTCCCAGACTCCCAGGACAACATCATCATCATCCTCAACGACTTGACTTCAACAATTGCTTTGTTCCAATCATTCGATATACCATCTTTTACATCGCAGGCAATAGTAGTCGGTTGCTTTGACGACGGTCGGCCAACTCACAACCCTTACTACAATCCGGATCTTGTCATCGTCTCACTGCGCCGGTTGCCAAGCCAAGTTTTCAACTGTAGGGCTACTTAACAACAGCCTCGATTTCACGGAATTACGTTACAGAGAAGCGTTGTCAACGAAACTACCTATCGCGCATCCACGTCGACGAAGTCGAAGTGCATCGAGAGGAGAGTGCATTGGCGGCGACGCGCTCCCGGGTAATCTAGTCACTGACAACGAACGCCTGGCTGGCCCTTCCGGAACGGTCTTTACTGAGACTGAAGAACTGAAGTTTGGTGCTCTCTCTGCAACGGGAAGTCAAAGTGTTTTAGGAAGGAAGTCCGTCTGGAAGTTGGAGAATCATCCTCACGGTTGCAGTGGGTGGTTAGGATTGGAAGGATTTCAGGCCGGACTGGTGATCACGGAAGGAGTTCAAGGATAGGATCTTGACGGCTCACAGTTGGCAACATTGGCAAGGGAGAGAGAGCTCGGAGGGAACCAGCATCGACTTCACCAGTTTCACCACCTAGGTCCTAGGGACTGTGCGCATCTTCACATCGAGTCGCCAACTTGATCCATCCATCCGTCGACAACCCATCCAACTCCCTCTATCAGTGTTCAGTCCTCAGACCCAACTCTCATCCAGTCCCAAGGACTTCGTTCATCAGAAAAATCATCAGCAAGCCCAACCATTCGCCAACCATGGCATCAACAGTAACGAGCGACTCGCTCGTCTACGACCGCTCCCGTGGCGTCGGCGGCGTCGGCGTCGAGCGGGTACACAAGTACCACTGGCCAGCCATCCAGCTCAACGTGTGGATGCTGATTATGCTCATCGCGGCTTGCACCATCATTGGCGTATTTGCGACGTTTATTGATGTGCAGAATACGCTGCTTTTGCCTGTACCTTGGTATATATTTTTCTTTTCTGTCCCCTTCCGCCCCGTCCCCAAAACCAACCTAACCACCCCCTCTCTCCCCGCCTCTCTCCTCTCTCTCCCTCTCGTGACCTCGTCCTCACTCACCAAGCTAACATCGATAAACAGGTACTTCCCCTACTTCATCACCGTCTCCGCCCTCACCATCCTCTTCATCGCCGTCCTCCTCTTCCTGATCTTCCAGCGCCGCCTGCTTCCATCCATCGTCATGATCGGCGGCTTTATTTTGTTTGTCCTCTGGCTCGTCGGGCTTATTGTGATTAGCGTGCAGCTCTGGGGTCCCAACGGGTCCGTCAATTCGAATTGCAATTTGTTTGTCTTCGGCGCGGAGCCGAAACCAAAGGGCCAGAACCTGGAGACCCTCGCCTGGCTGCAGCAGAGGAGTATTTGCCAGAGTTGGGATGCGGTGTTTGCGTTTGGACTGGTCGGGACGGTGTTTTTGGTGTGGATTATGGTTATTGCTTATCAGGTTTTTGCTGATGATAGGAGATAGGAGGTAGGGGGACGGGGAGAGGGGGGGGGAGAAAGGAAGTGTTGGTGGGTGGTGGGTGTTAGAGGTGGATGGATGGTACTTAGGCTCTTTCCTCGAGGAAAGTCGGTCCCAAAACTTGGGTTTGAAGCGGACGGGATGGATGATGGGTTGGATCATGCTTTCTTGCATATTACTACAGAGTTTGGTTTTTGGGGCGCTGGATCATGATATCTTGGATGAACCTGGGAGACGGGCGATGTACGAGGTTTTGATGATATGATAGATGATGGATATGATTACGACGAAAAGATATCATGGCTTCCGTCGTGGTACGTAGGATGAAGGCTAGCTTGACAAAATAGCGACTACCTCTACGGAACATGAACTTCGTTTCCGGGAGTGTATAATATAAGTAAGTAGAACTAGTAGGCATGGATAATAACGAGAGAAAAAAAATGAAGAACCGCATTGGATGTAGATCCAGTGGTGGGTGGGGACGAAAAAAAAATAGGAAAAAGAACGGTCTCTCCCGCCGGGAATTGAACCCGGGTCTCGAGCGAATCGAACTGATGTTCAAGCTTGACAAGCTCACATACTGACCACTATACTACGGAAGACTCACAGATGTTGACATCTGTCGTAGCTGATTGACGGAAGCAAGAGCCGATGGGTATCTTTATATACCCCTACCTGTGTTGAAAATGCACCATCTGGCGAAGGCATCACAATACTCGTTGTTCGGGACCTCAAACAACAGTATGCGTTCGATATGTGTATACTCCGTCCTAATTTCGGGAATGTACTAGGCTGATGGTACACATGGTGATGCGAAGACTCCGTCCTTTGGGGAGAATGAGCACTGCATCTGATATGCAAGTCTACCAAGCACGGCAGACAGCAACAAAGCATGCAGCTTCCAAAGATGTCAAAGACACGTGGTGCATGGCATCCTGGGGTTTGAAGCATGGAACAAGCTTGCAGACACCGAGAATCTCAAATTTGGAACTATTGTCAATAGTTGAGGCTCGGTTCCAATAGTGCGAGCGTGGTTGACATTTGACATCCAATCGTGGAGAACAGACGGTGTTTTGTTTGCCACGCTGGAGTTGTACGATGCAATGCCGATTCCATGCAGTAACCCGAGATGCTTCCATACACTCAGCATCTCTGACTGACTCTCAAAGAGTCAAATAGTCGACTTTCATGTGATGACGCGGGAGTTCAGTTTCGAATCTGAGGGAGATTGCAATTTGCGCCGTCATCGATCGTTGCCCGAATTGTCGGGTGAGGGTCCCGTCCCGCCTCTGTTCCTGGCGTTCGTCTTGCTGTGGCCGCTGTGCAGGTGGCCTTTGTCCAGGCCCTGAATGCCCCTGTGCTGGCAAGTACGCATCCAGGACGGCAGCTACGTGCGCACGGCTCGCACCGAGGCAGCTATTCTCTCTGCTGATTGGCTGAGACCCAAGTCGCCTCCAGTTAATCTCCACGAATTATCATTTCCCCTGACATGCTGCAGCGATGGCATGGGCTTTGGAATTGCCTGAAGCTCCCGTCTCCAGGGCCCTTGCTACGGCTACCAGCGCGCAACCCTGAACCTGCAACGCTCACATCCCATCTTCTCGCGATCTTCTCGAACCCTTCCTTCTTCAGCTTCCACCATAGCCTCTTTTTTCTGTAACGACACGACACCAACCGTGCCTTTCTTGTCTTTTCTCCTGCCGATCACGCCGAGTCCAATTCCACGTATAGCGGGCCTCGTTTCAGGAAAAAGCGTCCTGCCAGTCACTCCCTTTCCCCGACTTCGATCCAACCCGTCACCCTTACCCGACCCCTCCCACATCGTCATTAAGGTACTTCGGCTCCCATCATTCGGCAGGCTATCTTTCTTGGCCTACCTCGTCCTACCGGCGCAACATTTCCTGTCTCTCCCCCGCCACGGGACCCAAGAGAGCCACGCCAGCCTCGATACCTGTCTTGCTGTGCGACAAACCCAGCCAGCAGCGAAATCTCATTTGACATCTCGACCTCGCTCGCCCAGCTTGTGTCATCCCATGTCCTCCCTCTCGAACTAGAAGCTCGACAAATCCGCCGAACATTGCGTCCCGACCGACCATCACAATCGCGCCGTCAAGGTAGATGGGGGCTTCTCTACGCTTCTCCATGTCCTCTTCGCCATAATGATACCACGACCAACTTTCCTGTTGCGGTACATCCTACCCGCCATCGCCATTATACTATGTCTCGTCTACCTTAGCGGTACCGACACCATACTGCCTAGTGTTGACGTCGCCCCCCCTGGGCAAGGCACAAAGACTGGGGAGAAGCCCGTGGAGGTGCCCCAAGGCAATGGCCACACTGATCACATCGTCGACCACAAGCCGGAGGACACCGTGAACACACCACCGCCTCCTGCTGAGAAGCCTCCTGCTGATAAGCCTCCTTCCAATGAGCCTCCTGTGCATAACACTCCTGCCAACGACTCTCCTGCCGCCGCGGCCCCTCCCACCCCCAGCACTCCGCCCGCATCTTCCGACAAAAGCTCTTTGACATGGAAACCTGCCGAGTTCGCTACCGGTGACCACCCCATCGACGCTCGCGTCCGAGCCGCCGAAAAGGAGTTCAGTGACAGACTAGCAAAGCAAACACACACGCTCGCTGACGCTGCCGCCGCCTACCGTGAGCGTCGCGGCCGCCACCCCCCACCTGGCTTCGACAAGTGGTACGAATTTGCCAAGGAAAAGGATGCCATCATTGTCGAAGACTTTTGGGATCAGATCTACCACGACTTGGAACCCTTCTGGGCACTCAAGCCGGCCCGTATCCGCCATGACGCTTATGACTTCGAGATGAAGATTTCCGTCCGTAACGGCCAGGCCTCGACCGGGAGCGACTGGTTCTGGACAAAGATTTGGTTGGATCTGATCAAAACTATTCAGCACTTGGTTCCTGATCTGGACATTGCCCTCAATGCCATGGATGAGCCCCGCATGGTGGTTCCCTGGGAAAAGATTGATGAGTTCATGACAGCGGCGGATAAGACTAGGACCATTAAGGATGCCGCGACTGTGGTCGAAAAGTACCCCAAGTTGCCCAATGTTGAGGTCAGCCCTGCTCAGGACGAAGTTACGCCCAAGAAGGTATGGGAGAACAAAAGCGGTATGTTCACCAAGATCCTCTCACATCAGACATCGGATGGATCATTCTGACACTCATATGACAGGTATCCCAAGTTATTGGGCCATCGCTCGCCGCGGCTGCCCCCCTGACAGCTTAGCCCGCACGTCCAGCCTAATGACCGACTTCGACCGTCGCCCGACCATCAGCAATAACTTTGCCGCTCCGCATACCGAGAAGGGATATGTGTCGAACTACACATTGAGCACCCTAGTCTGTCACCAGCCTGATCTTCAAGGACTCAACGGCATCTTCGTCGAGCCCCTTTCTGTCTCTGCTACTGATACCCTGTTTCCCATGTTCGGTGGCTCCAAGCTGGCCGTCAATAACGAGATCCTCCTCCCTGCGCCCATGTACTGGAATGAAGAGGAACGCTTCATGGGCGACGCGGGTGCTGACGTGCCCTGGGCTGAGAAGAAGGATGGCGTCATCTGGCGTGGTGTCGCCACGGGAGGAAAGAACCGCGAGACGAACTGGCGCGCCTTCCAGCGCCACCGCTTCGTAGCCATGAACAACGCCACTAAGCTCGAGCGCGCTGTCTCCTGGACCGAGCTTCCAGAGAACTTTGATTTACCTCCATCCGAGTATGGCCTCAAGGCCCAACAGGATGGCAAGCTGGGCGATTGGGTCAAGGGATGGTCTAACGTTAGTTTCGTTGACCTCTTCTGTACCCCCAAGCCCGAAAAGGGCCTCGGATGCAACTACACCGATCCCCACTACACCATCACGCCAGGCATGAAGATGGCGGACCAGTTCTACTACAAGTATCTCCCTGACATTGACGGAAACTCGTTCTCGGGAAGATACCTTGGCTTCCTGAGGTCAACATCTCTACCCATCAAGGCCACTGTCTGGAGGGAGTGGCATGACAGCCGGTTGACTGCCTGGAAGCACTTTGTCCCCATGGACAACCGGTATAGCGACTGGTTCGGCATTATGGAGTATTTTGTTGGTTATGGTGACAAGGTTAAGGGCCATGATCAGGTTGCCCAGGCCATTGCTATGGCTGGAAAGGAGTGGGCCGACAAGGCGCTCCGGAAGGAGGACATGCAAGTATATGTCCTCAGGTTGCTGCTCGAGTACGCCCGGTTATCGGCTGATGATAGAGAAGTTATGGGTTGGGTTGGTGACCTGATGGGTAGCAGCGGTGCCAAGACTGCTGGTGCCGCCAGTTCGAGCCAACAATAGGCGGCCGCCGAGATTGATATTGATGCCTGAGATGGAAGTTAGCTGTCGCTTTCTTCTTTCATCAGCTTCTCTTTTGGAATATGCCCCCTAGAGCCCAGATAGATGAGCCCTTTTGCTGAAGGGAGATGGAGCACACCTGTATATTATTTCTAATGAGTCATGTGGTCGTCATGTTGAAGTTCACTTCCCGAGATAGTTAGATTTGTTCGTGGGAAGAGATGTTTTAGTAGGTTAATGAAGCAGATGAGTGTCTTCGGTCGAATATTTGCCTCCACCGGTGTGTAGGTTCATGCGGGTGACTATGGGCTGGCACTATCCCTGACGAGTACTAAGGGCAAGGTCGCCGAATGTCGCCCGAAAAATAACCGGGATATCACCGACCGAGTTAGTAAGCATCTCTAGAGATTCGGGATGATAGCCCGGTATCGATTATGCAGATGGGTAATCCTCTCTTCACTCGGCCAAAAGTACCTTCCGACTCCAGGGTCTTTTTAGTAATCTATCGCCGTGTTACACAATATCTCCCACGTGCTCCCCTACGTCCGTTAACACCGTCCAGGTCTAACCCCAACCCTCAATTGCCATCATCCCTGGCGCGTGTGTAACCGGCCCCCGCTACAACAACAGCCGGCGCCACGATGGGTTATGCCTCGGCAGTTCGACGCCGAGACATCCGCATCCATATAAATAGGGTAGCTGTACCGTAGAGAACGAGATATAAGGTTTCATTCATTGAATCCCTTGGTGAGAAGCTGAAAACCAATATATCATTATCTCATAACCTCACCTCGACAACCTTTTATTCTCTATTCTTAATCACATAGTCATCATATCCATCACAATGTCCGGCCTCAAATACACCTCCAAGCTCGCCGACAAGCGCGTCCTCATCCTCGGCGGCACCTCCGGCATCGGCTTCGCCGTCGCCGAAGCCTCTCTCGAAGCCGGTCTGCTGGTCACCATCTCCTCCTCTTCCGAACCCAAACTCTCCAAGGCTTTGGACCGGTTGCGCTCATCCGCCGCCTACGTGCCCACCTCTGTAGCCGGGGGCGAGATCCCCCGCCTCACCGGCTTCACCTGCGACTTGTCGGGCCCATCCACGGTCGAACAGAGTCTGAAGACCTTGCTAGACCAAGCCACCTTGGAAGGCCGCCATAAGTTCGACCATGTCGTCTTCACCGCCGGTGACGCGCTGGCCCTGATGTCCGTCGGGCAGATCACCCCCGCCGGCTACGAAAGAGCGGCCGCCGTGCGCTTCATGGCCCCGCTCATGCTCGCCAAGCTTTTGAGCGATGGCACATACTTCAACCACGGCGTCCGCTCCTCCATCACCTTCACGGGCGGTACCAACACCGAGAAACCCATCCCGGGTTGGGCGGTAGTAGCGGCCGTGGGCGGCGCGTGTGAGGGCCTGGTTAGGGGCCTGGCGGTGGATTTGAAGCCGACGAGAGTCAACCTGGTTAACCCCGGCGCGGTGCAGACGGAGCTGTTTGATGGGTTTGGGAAGGGGGAGCAACTGGAGGCGGTTTTGGACGGGTTTAAGAAGGGGACGCTGACGGGGACGGTCGGACAGCCCGAGGATGTGGCGGAGGCGTATTTGTATTTCATGAGGGATAAGTTCGTTACGGGAAGGTGTTTGGGCACGGATGGAGGAAGGCTTTTGGCTTAAGCTCCCTGAGGGATCTTTGATTAATTGAGATTTGTCAACCTTTCACCATGATATGATGTCTGGATTGGATTGAATTGTTCGAGTCGACCTCAGTTTTTAGGTAGAGGTATGCTTCGGATATCTCGTCGCATCATGCACTACATCAGTACGTTACCTAGGTCGATTATTATCATCCGTTTCAAAACACTCTCCTCATCATCGCCTCCTTCACAATACAGTACTAATCACCGCCCTCCGAACTTCCTCCCCAAAGTATCGAATGAACACCACGCTGATATCTCGAACACAGAAGGAAAATGATGTACAACTATTAAATAGCAAGGAAAGTCTAGCACCTAACCATGCACTGCTTGCCAAAACGAATCCACCCAAAAAACGCCCATCCATGCCAGTCTAAAATCCGTGTACATGAGACCAGTACTCACTCATAAGTGGAAGTCTGTTGAGGAATCAAGTCTGTATTCCTACGTGCCACACCCCTATTTGAGGAGGATATCATAGCCATCCCTATTGATCCTGACCTGCTCCCCTCCAAACCCGTACTTTCTCCTAACCAGCTCGAAGATGATGAGGCCGGCGCTCGTGCTGGGCACCTGGCGGATCGTGTTCCACCAGAAACCCCTGTACAACCAATTTCGCATGTTCAGGCCGGCCCCTTTGGCGTCGGCAGCGCAGGACGCCCACGTCTCTTGGTAGGCGCTGTAGTATGTCTTCATCATGCGCCATCTGAAGCGCGCGCGTTCCTCGGCGGGAGGAAGGAATCTTTCCTTGTCTATTTCCTTTAGCTTGCGCGCCTGCGCATCAATCTTTTCGAGCCTTTCCCAGTGCTCGGCTTGGATGATGGTAAGCGGGTGCAACATGAACTGCTGCAAGATTGAGGCGCCCATGCCTGCTAGCAAGAGGAAGGCTGGTTCGATGGCGTAGTGCGGGCGGATGATGGCGGGCATCCGGGGGTCGTCGTTGTCTTCCTTGCCTGACTCGGAGGATGGTCGCTTCTCGGATAGGAGAATGATGTTTTCCTCGTTCAAGGAGCCGTAGTACCAGGATACAAAGTTGTAGTAGCCCTGGGCTTTGAGATACTCAAAGGTACTGAAGAAGATGGCGCTTCCGAGACTGTCTTTGAGAAAGGAGAGAGTCCAGCCGGCAAAGATGCCGCGGACACCGATTTCCTTGATCTTTTCAACGCTAAAGACCCACATGCTCTTTGGTCGGACAGCATTGGGATTGCCGTTCATGGGCGTGGTTGATGTGCCGGTGTAATGGCCAATATCGTACCTTGCCTGAACGGCGTCCAGAGGGGCAGCTATCACGCTCTGCAAAGTGCCGGCTAGGAAGCCAGCAGTGAAGGTCTCGAGAGGCGACGGAGGCGGATACACGCGCTTGCTGGCGAGTCTGCTTTCCGGGTGAAGATGGCCGAGGATGTGAAGATAGCTGGTATACAGAACAGCTCCGACAGTTACGTTGGCAATCAAGGGAGGGAGAACCTGGTCCGGGACGACGCGCCAGCCGTAGTGCTTAACAGCGGAGGCGATCACACCCGGCGTTGTTGCCCTGGCGCGCATCCGGACCCAGTCCCATATCTGGGAGACAGCAGTCGGGGCGCCAGCTCGCGCGGCGGTGGTAAGGACCTGCGAAGGAACAGGCAGCTGACTGAGAAGCAGCATAGACTGCTGCTCCTGTAAGGCGCGCGCATAGGCGAGGTAGTCGACTCTTGTTCGGAAGAAGGCCTTGGCAGGTGCGCGGAAGTAGAAGGTCAACACCTGCGAAGCCAAGGCCCTCACGCCGGCAGCGGACGCGCCCGTGGCGGCATTGCTTGAAGGGGCCTTGTCTGGGAGTTGGCCATCGGAGGGGATGACGGGGAGGATGCCGGTGTTGAAGCCGCCGGGGTGACTGCCGATGCCGCCTAGGGCATCTCGGGTGTAAATGTTGTCGTTCAGGTTGCTTGTTATGCTGTCGTTACCGAGGCCATGGGAGCTGCGTGGTGTCATGGTTCGGGCGCATTGTTGAGACGGGTTGACCGTACTGAGTGAGGAAATTAGAATTAGTGAGTGGGATCACCACCAGTGTCAATGAGACGGATGGTGATTTCTAGAATTCCCATTCATCCAAACTCCAGCCAGAATCCGGATGCCTCTGTCTTGGCATCATCAGCTTGGTGGAGTTTGGCTGTCGTCCCGTCTGAACATTGAACCGAGTTACCGGCAGGCAACATGCTTATGCGGGGGTGGAGCCGGCTGTTCCCAGGGCAGCTGGCAGGCCGTTGTTCCTGACAGACAGTTGACAAATTGTGGATCCGCGTGAACGACATCTCATGACGGAACGTCAACCGTCTCTCATTAAACAATGCTTCATCACGCTTTCACCAGAACAACATCTCTTTGATTTGCTGCCTTCTTTCTACTGTCCTCTCTTTCTTCACAAGGCGTATCACTTGTGTCTACTCCTTAATACCTTATGGATACTCACAGCAGCATGTCACTCGCCTCTCCTCCACTGTCCTCAGCGAACCATTTCGTGACAGATGCCACCTGATAATCTGTTTGATATTGCAAAGTCATCCGCCTTGAATTATTCCAGCTGCCTTACCCCGATCATATCACTTCGACTACGAACTGGTCGGCCGAAATGTTTCCTTCACATACAAGTCACGAAATCAAGTTCAAATCCTCGCATCGGGTACTGGCGAGTGGCCTCCTTCTCGGTACGAACATGGTGATCTTATCCTCCAATGACTGACGGCGGCCAGGCCATGGCATCGTCGTCACGGCCCCTCATTGGGCGGGGAACCCTGCCCCTGAATATGGTTCAGCATCACCTGCGGCTTCATTCTCGGTCACCCATTCGACCTTTGGGTCTGCAGGTCATGCACCCAATACCACCCTTGATCTGCTTCATTCTCGCCAATCTTCCCCGTGATTTAAACGCCATGTTGCGATGTGGAAATTCACCTCATCGAACACAAGAAGAAAAGGGTTCAAATTTCTCTGCGTGCCAACACCATCATGATCACAGCTGAGAACCTGAGATGAGGTTTTCTCTTTTCGAAACACCCCTTTTCAGAGGCAATGTCCACGACTCGATGGCAACATGACTGGGCAAATCCTAATTTGCTCCCATGCCAACATGATACTCTCCGCAAGACGACGCCGGACGGTTCATCGCATCGTTGTGGTTGCAGTCGGGTCGGTATCCTTGATCCCGAATAGGAAGGTCGCCGAACCCTGATCTATACGCTGTCCGGTTATCGCACCGCAAGTGTTGTCGACGGTTGTCCATATAAGATGGACCGAGAATCTCGTTCGATCAGACTTCAAGTGAAGAGAATTCGGCCGGGTATCCTTCGTTTAACGCCTCAGAAACCGCCAGTTCAAGTCGTCAAAATGACATTCCGTACTCTCTTCTTTGCGGCCTGCGCTTCGGCACTTGCCATGCCCCTGAACACCACCTTCACCTTCCCGTCTCCCTCCCCCTCTCCATCCCGCCCCATGCTGGATGATATTCACCTCTGGGGAGTCGCCGTCAACCCACCCACTGCCCTACCCCAGGCCGCCACCGCCAACGACCTCCGGTGGCAGCCCTCTCTCGACTTTGATACGGACGGCTGCTACAACGTCCCCGCCATCGGCGCCGACGGCACCATCGCCCAAGGTCTCCCACACAACTTCGTCTCCCCTTCCTCCGACTGCCGCGACCTGTCCGACCTAGACAACAACAATGTCTACTCGCGACAGCGCTGCAACACCAACGGCTGGTGCGTCTACATCTACGACTACTACTTCGAGAAGGACGTGGCCATCCCGTACCTGCTCGACACGGGCCACACCCACGACTGGGAGCACATCGCCGTCTGGGTTGACGGCAGCAACACAGCCAAGTACGTCGCCGCCTCCCAGCACGGGGGGTACCAGATCAAGGCCGCCGCTGATGTCAGGTGGGATGGCGAACATCCGAAGATGGTCTACCATAAGGACGGGGCGAGCACGCATTGCTTCCGGTTTGGGAACGCGGCGGATGATGCCATTGAAAACGCAAAGGGCGTGTGGTTCAGGGGCCCGTTGGTGTCGTATAATGGGTTTCCGGCGGGGATCAGGGATTTGCTTTATGCTCATGACTTTGGCAGCGGGAATATTGCCCTGAAGGATTCAGCGTTTCCCGGGAATATCATGAGGGCGAAGCCGGCTGCTATTACGTTTGATGCGTATGTTGATGCTTTGGGGTCGCCAGGGTTTCCATAAGGAATCAGCTTGGGGGAGAAGATGTGAATGATTGGATTGGTTTCCTTTGCATGGCATGTTATTATGATGGCGTTGGGTGGAATTTCCTTTGATTTGGTTCTCGCGAGGAGTCAATGTTGGATGCTTTCTTCTGGTTGATACCGAACGAACGCATGTCACCTGACGAGGATTGACGAGTTTATAACATTCTTGTACATGCTTTATGTTTTTGGGTCCCCCGCTACATTCTCCTCCCAATATAACCCGTACATGTTTGTTTCAATCTCATACGCCAATGTTGAGGCTCTTTATCGCTGCTGCCTTCCAGCTTAATGCCCCCATCTTTCTACACCACACCGTTGTATCAATCTAGAGGATATTCTCTATACTGCCTTCCCTTCCCTGGGCGATGAAAGGCTGGATCCTGGGTTGTAGCCCGTGTAGATGCTGGATGCTGGGTTGACCGTAGCTAAAAATACCGAGGTGCAAATGGAAGTGCAAATGGAGGTGGATGCAAATGAGAGTGCAAATGGAAGTGCAAATGGAGGTGGATGCAAATGAGAGTGCAAATGGCAGTGCTTAACGGCAATTACACAATAAATGTTAGGCCTAATAATTCTTTTTGCGGTGAGTGTGCGGGAAAACGGCCCGTGCAGTAGCGGAATGTTAGTGCGCGCGGGGTTTTGTATGGGGACCGCCCGCGAAAAGCACTAACACCCTATCCGGACTTTTTTGGGGGTAAGCTGCTATATATATATAGAGACCCTAACCCCCACCCCTCTTTTGCGGCATTATCATACATTAACCCCTCAACACCTTCCACCTCCTTCCATCACCCTTCTCGATCCGCGTGCCATGCCCCGAAGATCGCATTGAAGTCCCGGTTGAGCCAGCCAGCCAGGTGGAAGGATTCTACTACCTAGACTAGGTACTCAAGCGAGTAAAGACTTAGGTACCTAAACGACCCGACTCTCCAGGATTTATCAAGGGAAAGCAGATAGATACCTACCCCGAATGGACTCTATTGGTGAGCCTACCTAGTGTAAGCAGAGTCAGAGAAACAAACCTCCACCCCAACCAACCAGCTCCTTACCCAAGGCCTTCCCTTTTCTACCTACCTACCTTCTATCTAAAAAGCCGCTTCACTCCGACTCCTCCGACTTAACCTCCTCCTTGCCCTCCTTATCTCCCTCCTTGTCCTCAATGTCTTGAGGGGTTGGAGCTTGAGTGCGTGGAGATTGAGGGGTTGGAGTTCGATGAGAGGAACTGGCGTTGATGGCCCTGGGTGATGCCAATGCTGATGCTCCGCGGGACCCAGACCTTGGGCTGGGAAGTGCTCGAAGGTGCTGTTCTGATTGCATACGGTGGTATTGTAGTAGTCGCGGTTGGGGTTGGGGTTGGGGTTGGGGTTGCGGCTGGGAATGCCCGGGCTCGGACTGCGCAGACTGCGCAGACTCGGACGGGGGAAGGTGCTGTTGCGAATGGATACGGCGTACTTGTATTTTATGCTGACGACGGGCTTGGAGGGTCTGGGGCTGGGACGGGGGGGTCTGGGGCTGGGACTGGGGGGTTAAGGGGCGCTGGTTGTTGTTGTTGTTGTTGTTATTGTTGTTGATTTGGGCCTGGGGGGCAGCAGAAGGAAGACCATGATGGGTTGCACTTGTATTTGTATTTGCACTTGAATTTGCAATCGCATGGTGGTTTGACTGGAGCTGAGAGTAGGGCGGAGGAGGGTCAGAGGCAAGGGAAGGGGAAGGGGAAGGGGAAGGGGCAGGGGTAGGGGCAGGTTTAGCAGAAGCAGAAGCAGCAGCAGCAGAAGCAGCAGAAGCAGCAGCAGTGGCGGACTGCTCGAGAGCTTGAAGAGCGTATCTGACTTGAGGAACCTGAGGAGGAGGAACGCTCTGAGGGTAGGGCTGAGCAGGGGCAGGGGCAGGGGCAGGTTGAGCAGGTTGAGCAGGAGCAGCAGGAGGAGGAGCTCTTTGCGGGATGGGATGTTGCATTGGGATTCCACTTGGCAGGCTCTGGTGATTGTTGTGGTTCTGGTTCTGGACTCTTGTGTCCTGGGGCTGCTGTTGTTGTTGTTGTTGTTGTTGTTGTTGTTGTTGTTGTTGTTGTTGCTGGCTCTGGTTCTGCCCTCGGCCCCCTTGGAACGCCGACTGGAAGGGCTGGTAGATGGTGGGCTGGTAGATGTTGAAGTTCAGAACGATCGGGCCGCCGTGTGGGCCACCGTCAAGGATATTCTGGACGTTCTGGGGGATCATATCCATTGGGTTACGGGCTGGCTCGGGCTGTTGTGGATTCTGTTGCAGTTGTTGAAACTGTCGATGCTGTTGTTGCTGCTGCTGCTGTTGTGGAAGCTGCTGTTGTGGAAGCTGCTGTTGTGGAAGCTGCTGTTGTGGAAGCTGCTGTTGTGGAAGCTGCTGTTGTGGAAGCTGCTGAATCAGCTGCTGTTGAATCTGGTGCTGTTGAAGCTGGTGCTGTTGAAGTTGGTTTTGGGGCATAGGTTGTTGCGGACCATACTGATATGGATAATGTGCCGGATTGCCAGCATAGCCTGGCTGAAGAAAGGCGTTGTTGTTGACGGGTTGTTGATAGCCCGGTTGTTGTCCTTGTTGGCCTTGCCAGAGTTGGACTTGCTGAGCTTGATTATGAGGCTGCTGGACCTGCTGCTGTGCCACCATTTGATGTCCGAGGGGAACTTGAGGAAGTACGGTACGGGCTCCAGTGGGAAATTGCCCTTGAGAAGGGGTCTGCTGCTGTCCAGGAGGACCAGTCCCGAACTGCTGGGGCCCGCCGCTGCCTCCCGGATTGTAGGTCGGTCTTTGGTTTGACATACTGATGAGAGGACGTGCAGTTGTCACTTGAAATGATTGCTTCTGCGTGGGATGCAAAAGGAAGAAGAAGTTCACACAATCACCGTGCAGAAAGGAGTTTATATGGGCACGGAGGAGGATCATGAAAATGTTCCCTTTCCGTCTTGGTTGTTGTGGCAACCCTTCACACAGTCGCTTCGGTGGTCCACTCGTGAGGTTCTGCACCAAGGTCAAAAACTCAACTCGTGGTGAAGAGACCCTGATCGAAGTTCGCTTACGACAAAATCAACGGCGTCGAGAAATACCACCACAGACGGCCTTCACAGAACTTGCCCCATCCAGGTTTCACGTATGACATCCAGGAGGTATGTAAAAGCGAGAACCTTTCGCTGGTCCCCTTCCCCTCGAGGGCAGGTGACAGACAACTAATTCGAAATATCAGCGACATTAGGACCATAAGTTGCAAGCGAGGAGTCGTATATGAAACCTGAGGCCAATGCCAAGTGTCAACCAACAACGAGAAAAGGGTGATGGCAACCCGACACTCAGCAACCGTTATTGTACAACAAGATAAAACGAGGGCTAAAGGGCGGCATATCGTCAAACAAGATTCTACAAAGACGTCACAGGTTCTTGGACCACAACTGCAAAAAGACTGCCGGCCAGTGCAGGGGTAGCTCAGCGGGTTACTTCCCGTGTAAAGAAAGAACGGCAATCCTTTTTCTCTGCACGCTTTGCCAACACGGCTGATTACCCAGATATTTCCAAGAGATTTTTGTTCATCTTTCCTGACGGTCCAAAGGAGGCTATTCTAGACACAATGCTCGCGGCAACGCATTGGGTTAGTCCGACGGGCTCCTGAATCTTCAACGTCAGGTATCACGAAGAAACAGGATATACGAGGCGAGCATGGAGCTAACCACGCGAGCGATTTGGCACCAGACCATGTCGTCGACGTGGTATAAGAGATCAACAGCCCCGGGACATTTCTACATTATAACCTCCAGATCAGACACATCCTAACATCGTCAATCAGAACACGAAGCAAACCATCCCTGATACTAAAGTGACAGCGACCAGGAAGAACTTCAGTTTCGAAACTGCCCAACCTACTTAACCTAGTAGGTAACGTATACTCTCTTCTTAATCCTCCAACCAACATAGAAAAATGGGTCGCTCAGGTTACGACATGACGGGCTTCTATCAGGGTGGCTCCTCCAACCCGAAAAACCAACTAACGCAACAGAAGCCTACAAGTAACAATCCAACCATGCCTAAGAAAAGCAGCACACCCTCAAAGAAAGCCCAAAAGGCTCCCGCCCAATCCTCACGACGGTCATCCCCTGCCGCCAGTGCCAGTGCCAGTGCCAGTGCCAGTGCCAGTGGGAATGGCAGTGGCAGAGCCTCACAACCCCAGCCTCCCGCCACAGACCAAGGGAGCCACAGGTTCAATCCACTAGGTCGAATGGGTCGACCAACAGGAGGTACTCCTAAACCCGAGAATCGTTCTGGTCCTAGACCTGGTAATCTTTTTGGTCCGGCTCTTCCTCCTCGTTTGGCGTCGTCATCCACCAAGCAACCCATTAGGCCCTCCGCACCACGACCAGCAGTGCAAAATACTCCTTCTCCTCCTCCCGCCACAGGCAAAGGGAGCCACAGGTTCAATCCATTTGCAAGACCTAATCCTAAACCTGATAATTCCTCTGGTACTAGATCTGGTAATAATCCCTTCAGCTCGGCTGGACCTCCTCCTCCTCCAACGTTCAACCGACCCTCTGTGCCCTCCACACCACCACGGTCAGTGCTACCACCTACCACTGGACCTGGTGATCTCTGGGAGTCGGCTCGAAACCTCTCTCTAGCGCCGTCCACACCACCACGACCAGTGCAACCATCACCGGCAGTTGCAGCACCAGGGCCAGTGGCACCACTTACCTCCATACCTCGTCATCTCGGGGGCTCGGTTCGAGCACCACAACCAGTACAACAAGCACTAGTGCAACAACCACCTACCTCTGTACCTCGTAATCTCTGGGAGTTTCGAACACGACCAGTACAACAACAATCACCCGTGCAACAACCACCACAACCAAGTGGAAGCTCCTCCACCTCCCCCCCTAGAGGTAGGGAAGTTGCAGCACCAGGACCATCAACACCCGCACCCACACCCGCACCCGCAAGAGCAGTAGTAGGCGACCCAGCCAGCGACCTAGGACCCCACGGGTTCTCCCTCTACCGCGTCGTTCGGGTGCGCAGCCCGTCACCCGGCACGGCCTCTCGTTTCCCCACTCATACCTTCGATTGGGTGTGCTGTTTCTGTCATCGAAACAATAATGAGGCTCAGCACCCGAAGCAGTGTACGAATCCTACTTGTTTGCATGTCCGAGTCATAGACACTCGGGAAGGGGCGGACCAGGGAAGGAGAACGACGAGGGGTTTGATTGATGGAAGAAACACTGGGACAGCAGGGGTCGAGGTGTGTCCGGATTGCTCGTATATCGCTTATACGTGGGTGGATGGGAGGAGACAGCCGGTTCCGATTCAGAATCCGTTGGGCATGCCGCCGAGGAGATGAGAGTTGGCCGATTCCGAATTTGGGTGGCCTGAGGAGTGGTGGACTGGAAGATAGGTGAGGGTTACCTAGGGATCAGGGGAAAGGAAGCTGGAAGTAATGGCTATGAGTTTGGATAGGGAGATTGGGGATGTTTGCTCAAGGGGTTTGAAGTCTGGATGAGTTGAGGTTGGTGAGTGAGTATAAAGACAGCTGAACTATACGTAATCTCTCTGTCATTTAATTGTAATTTTGAGTTTTGCCCTCTGCGCTCGCCTGATTTCAATTACACTCGGTGCAAAAATCTCGCAGAAGGATGCATCATGCATGCCGGTGACGCCTGCTCGGTCTGTCCTTCCCCTTCTTCTCTCATGCAAGCGGCGGAAGATGCAAGTGCTAGGCAGTCAATCTGGGTTGACTCGACATAAATCATCTCACGGGTCTTTCCATTGCACTACTGCACACGACACCCCATTATCCTTAGATCTGCCCTTTGGCTTTTTTCTACTTTGGCATCACACTTCACTACCACCGCCACCACCACCGCCACAGTCCCAGAACGACCACCAAAGTCATTATTACTCCCGTTTCCCATCACATCCACGTCACAATGGCAATTGAACTTAACGCAGGGACTCCAAGGGTCTTCGAGAAGACGATCCTATCTGCAATATGGGAACAGTCCTGCATCCCGATAGGGGGAGCTTCATCGCAGAATCGCTGGTGGTGGCGCTGGCACCTCTACTACTCTAGCCGCTGTATGAGTAGAGCTGTATTGAGACAACGAACCATGATGACGGGAGGCTATCATTCTAATCCCACGATTGACTTGGTGTCATCGGCCCATTTGTCCTCGACTAAGTAGGACAGATCCCGGATACAAATAAGCGACAACTCTGAACACATTCAAGGAAATTTGAAGTAAGACAACATCCCTCAAGACAACAAGCATTCAAAGAGAGCAAGCACTTTATTTTCAACTTTTCTTTTCTTATCCTGCCATCTTAGTAAACAACACTCACCATGGCTTTCTCTTCCGTCTACGAACCTCAGGCCGTGCTCGCCGCCAACAACAAGGGCATTGAAGATACCGATTTGTTTCACACCCACCAGCTGGAAAATGTTGATGGCTGCACAATCATCAAAGTTCCTCGTCGCCTCAACCTCCAGAAGAACACAAGGTTCACCGACAACCAGGTCCTCAAGATGTACCGATTCCTCGAAGACAACCACGCCAGCCTCTCCGAGCTGTGGAAGACACTCGGAACCAACGGAGAGCAGGAGTCTATGAACCTCTTCGTCGCCAAGGCCTATAACGCCACCATCGAGCACCAGCTGCGGGAAATCATGAACCTGCGCCGTCACCAACAAAAGCCCTTCACCTTCGCCGACGCCGAGTGCTGGTGCACCCGAAAGTTTGACGAGACCTGGGACCCGGACCTGTTCTGCGACCTCGTCGGCCCAGTTCCCGCGCACGCGTTGGGCTGTGTGGTTCCGGAGGGCAACGCCGACACCGACGAAGCCGGCTACAGAACTTTGCTAGCCCAAGCTCGCCAGGACCTGAACGCCGGATGCGATCTGAACTCACCGTGGCTGCCAGGACAGACAGAGGTTGGCGTCCCCGAGGCTGCCGCCGCGAGGGTGCACGACATTCTCCGATCGGTCGCCTCGACCGTGGACCCCTCGAACAACAGAGACGGATCGCCCTCGTACGAAGCCAAATTCCTCGCCATGGACACCATGTACAAGATTTTTCACTGTTTGCTTACCGAGGCGGAAACGCCGGTCAAGCGGTACATCAAGGCCGACAGGAAGCTGTGGAGGAATTTGGAGAACTGCTTCCTGCAGGTCTTTGGAAGCTTGAGCAAGGACGACCTGTATCGGCTCGCGACGGAAGACGGCGGGGTGTGGCGCGATAAGTTCGAGGAGCTACAAGATCTAGTTCAGAAGCAGGAGCATTTCTCGAAGCTGCTTCATGCGTGTCTTGTGCTTCAGATGGCGGATTCTTTCCGTAACATCCCTGAGGACGAGGTTGCTTTGATTATTGATGAAAACGGATCTGCTGATGGAGAGCTGGCTTATTGGTAGGCGGTGATGGGCTAGATACCTTCATATCTGCGTTGTGAGGAGTGGTGGGAAAGCGAGCAACACAAGTATTTTACCCGGAGAAATTGGAGGAAGGGTAGTATACCAACATGTATTTGTTAGTGATTTTCAGTTTAATTAGGTAATCAACTTCTTTCACTGCACCATCACGGCCACCTCCACCTTCCTTGCAGCCCCCGCCATACGAAGGAAGGGATCAGGTTGTACACAGAAGGCGCCACTTGGTATGGGCAAGAGGCAGCTATCAACTGGAAGGAAGGAAGCCGTCACCAACCGGAAGATGGATGACTAACTGAGACTTGGGAGGGGCACGAAGGTCATGTATACAATCTGAATGTCCCCAGTCCTCCGGCTGGTTTTGTTTCCTCCCCAGAATCAACCACTCCTCCAGATCCTTGGCATCCTCCAACATTTTTTCTTACAATCACCCTCGGGGTTGTTCCCGCTACGCCCACACCAGCCACATGCATCAACGCCTTGACTTCTGCAATATGCGGCCCGTACCGCGTCAACATGAGGTACAGCTACTTCATTGCAGGACTGCCGTTGCTGGTCGCTACGTAAGGTTAATCTCATAATCGGACCACGATGGACCCCTCACTGGACGTTGATTATTGAGGTCCTGACTTCCATTTGGCCTTCATGTACGACTAGAGCAATCACGTAGATAAAGAGATTGTCTCGGGCCAAGGTGTGCCATCTTGTTCTTCAGATTCGGATATATTCTCATTCAAGTTACTCAACCACCTTCGAACTCCGACCGCTAGCAACATAGCACAACCATAGAGGGAACCCCGGGTCTGAGAACAGGGTCCGGCAAGGGTACTGTAAGTATGTTTGGGCGAAAATTTCTTTTTGATTTTGGAACGGTTGTATAAGGTTTTAACTAGTCCATATAAATGTTCGGTTCTAACAGACGTCTATGACTAATATTATAAAAGACCCTCTTTTAATTATCGATCTACTAGTATAATTCGTATTATTTTTCTGTTGTGATAAATATTAGTCTTGGTCCTGAGACAAAAATTGAATAACTAGACTTTCTCTATAAGGGAATATGGAAGCAGCGACCACCGGGCGACTATTGGGGGGAAAATAGTAACTATTATATTATTTAATATAATAGTTTATCTTCTCCTTTAGAGTTTATCTCTTTAGTAATACATCTTTTTAATAATACTTTTAGTAATATATCTTAATAATGCTTTTGGTAATGTATTTTTCACTTGGTAATTTTTGCAAATATCACAGTAGGGAATCGAACGGGAGTCTTACGGAACGAAGTATTTATATTATTAATTACGCTATTTAGTATTTACTTTGCATACGCGAGGGTATTGGAAATAAAGTTTAATATAATTAATAGAAAGCGCAGAGGTTAATTAAAGAAAGAAAGAAAGAGTTAGAAAAGAGATATTAGAGTAAAAAAATATTAATAAAAAGGGCGTTTTCTTAAGAAAAATAATGTTAGAGCAAAAAGACATTGATAAAAATAGCGTTTTCTTAAGAAAAATGATGTTAGAGCAAAAAGATATTGATAATAAGAGCGTCTTCTTAGGAAAAATAATATTAGAGTAAAAAGATGTAAATAAAAGGAAAGATTTCTAATTAAGCCTATTATCCCTTTTGGCACCGTACGGATTTTCGGAGTCAAAGCTCTTTTACACCTAAAAGAGAGTGTTGTCTGACGACATGCATTTGCAAGGAACAGGATTTATAGGTCTTTTAGAATTTCGCGAAAAAAGGGTGGTACGACCCTGTTTGACCCCTGTTTGAGCCATTCTGACTGTTGGCTCAAAAGCGCCTGTTTTGACCCTGTTCTCAGACCCGGGGTTCCCTCTATGGAATGACATCCTTTGGAGGCCGAGTTCGACCGGCCCACGACTCCTTCCCCATCAACTTCTCTCCCAAAAATGACAGATGGGCAGACCTGGCACACATACTAAAGATGGAACGCATGGATGGATGCAAAGTCATCAGGTTCCCCCGCCGGATAATGCTGGACGAAAACGAACACCTCGAGTTCACCGCTCGCCAGGTCCTCCTGATCCGGCAATTTCTCGATCACAACAACGCCAACCTCAGCCAACTCTTGACGACGCTTGCAACAGATGAGAAGAAGTCCATGGACGTCTTTTTAGCGAGAGCGTATAACGCTACCATTTCAAACCAACAGCGCGAAATCTTGAGCAAGTACCAGAGACACCCGACGTTCACCTTTTGTGATCTCGAATGGACATGCGGTCCGCCCTACCAGTTGCGAGTAACTGCACGCGACAATGCCTCTCAAAGTGGATTCGTTACTGGATGTGCTTCCCACGACATCGTCGAGTACTGCATGGATGAGGATCCCTACTACGACTTCGGCTACCCCATAATGCTGTATTGCGCGCGATACGTGCTGAACTTTGGCTACAGCGCCAAGGATGTCACGGACACTGTACAAGAGAAAACGAACGAGGTCGTTGAAAGATTGGACGAGCATCTAGGAGTTTTTCCAACCCCCGAGTTATACAGCGAGAAGTTCGTGGCTCTGGACGTACAGTACAAGATTCTCCATTGTCTGCTCACTGAGAACAATCCCACCAAGCAGGAGATCAAGGCCAAAAGGGAGTATTGGGAACGTTTGGAGGCCTGCTTTATGGAGGTCTTTGAACGGTTTGACAAGGGCGATCTTCATCGACTCGCAGTCGAAGACTATGGTATCTGGTGTGAAATGTTCGGCTTCGTCTGCCACTGGGCTGACAAAGAACATATTCTTCCGAGGCTGAGCGAGGCGAGGCAGATTATTGCTGGATCATCCTGATCAGACAAGGGCACTTAGCGAGATGGATCAAAAGGCTAAAGGGGACTTCATGATGGTGCCCGTGAACGGGGTCAAGGATGAGGAGGACTGATGTGGTACGGTGGCTTGTTTGGAGGGCTGTTGTCCTTTCTGGTATCATGTATGAACCTATCATGACCTATAGTGATGTAGCTCGACTTGCGAGCACAAAAAGGGGTGAGAAATATGGTACATCGACGTCGTGGAACACTGGACATTTGGCTGATAGACTATCCTGGCTCTGTTCAGGTGGATTCTTAAAGGTGTTTGAAGCCATATCACGTTCGCTCCATGTAGCGTTCTTGCGGTTTGAGAGGTGCCTATTGCAACCTTAACGTGGTTGCTTTTAGCTGAAAATCTGCCTCCAGCAAGTAGTCAAGAAATGGCAAGTCCATCCAAACATTTGGTGTTATCAGATAGGGTCGAAAAAAGGTGCAATGGTGACCTTGTGGGTTGACTATTTGTTAGTCTGTCAGTGAAACTGAGAGGAAGGGTCTAAATAAAAAGAGATAAAGCCTACTTTCAGTAAAAGGAAAACCAGGGGGAAAAAACGTTACTATCGCTTATACCCACTAAGTTGCCGGGCATGCAAGTCAACCTTCCGGGAGGGCCCTTCCCTAGTAGCGTGGTTGAGCAGCAACTTTACCTTGGAATGTCACCTTCCGGTGCTACATAGACCCTCCTCGGCGGCCGCTGGACCATGAAAATTTCCGTTACATGTTTCCTATCTGGACATGACCTCCACTCATCGACAAGTCCTGCTAGGGTGATGATATCTTGGATCAGGTAAATGCAATTGGAACACTTTTCAATGGAGGGGTAGGTTACAGTCGAGTCAACATCGAAAACCGCCCTCAGGTCGAAGGTGGAAAGCATGAGCATGTATAACTCTTGTGAGCCCCAACATCTTGCCCATCCAGGTCCTACCAACACTCAACGGTTGATAGGGGCGTAAGTAGGTTATCATCACAATGGTTTTGAGTCTCGACAGCAGCAAGGCCCTGGTTACAGGTGCTGTAGTGGTCGTGCTGTATCTCTTCACCACCAGGCTCATCCGCTACAAACGACTCTCTCACATCCCAGGACCCCCGACGACGGGATGGAGTTCGTTTTGGCTTGTCTGGCGCCAGGCCGGTGACAACATTCCTGAGCATTTTGGCAAAGCCATTGGCAAATACGGTGAGTGCCCCTGATGAATGACACCGGTCCTGGTCTCTCTCTCTCTCTCTAACTCTAGAAAATCTTTTCAACCACCACAGGCCCAGTCGTCCGCATCGCCCCCAACTGGATCATCTGCAGCGACCCCGACGAGATCCGGCGCATCTGGAGCGTCCGCGCCGGCTGGCGTCGCTCAACCTGGTACCACTCCTTCCGCTTCGACCCGCACCGGGACAACATCCTGACGTACCCGGAAAACGAGGACCACCGGCGGGCTCGCACACTCTTGATCTCCGCCTACAGCGCACGGGGGTTTGAAACCCAGGAGCGCCTGATGGATGAGCATATCGTCCGGTTCATCGACCTGCTCGAGCGCAAGTACGTTTCCGACAATAAGACATCCGGGGGCAGGTACCGGCCGCTCGACATGTCGCACGTCTTCCCTTTTTTGGCGCAGGACGTGATGACAGCCGTCGAGTTCTCCAAGCCGATGGGGTTGATCGAGCAAGACCGGGACTTTTTGGGGGTGCTGGGTATCTTCGAGAAGCTCGCTAAGGTGATGGTCGTCACCGCCACGCTGACCTGGGTCCACGACCTCCAGCGCGCTCCCATTCTTAAACCCTTTCTTCCCAAGGCCGGGGACGGCACCGCCCTCGGCCGGCTGCTGCAGCTCATCCGCGACCACACCGACGAGCGGTACCGTGACGGCCCTGACAAGGTCTGGAAGGACGACATGCTCCAGAAGATGGTCGAGGCCGGACTGACGCAGGAGGAAGCGGACGCCGAGGCCCTTGTCGCGCTGTTTGGTGGTACGGACTCGACGGCGGTGGCGCTAAGGCAGACTGTTTTCTATCTGGCCAGCACAGCGCCGGCATATAGGGCGCTTCAGGAGGAGATCGATGGCGAGATCTTGAGGGGAAGAGTTGCGAGGCCGATCATCACCGACGCCGAAGCCAAGAAGCTGCCCTTCCTCCAGGCTTGTCTCAAAGAGGGGACGCGCATGTGGGCGCCGATTGGAGGCTTGTTGGCCAAGGTGTCGGATAAGGATGATGTTATTTGCGGGAAGCACATTCCTGCTGGCACGAATGTGGCGTGGGCGAGCAAGGCGGTGCTGAGGAATAGGGAGGCGTTTGGTGAGGACGCAGATGTATTTAATCCCCAGAGGTGGATTGATGCGGCGGGTGATCTGGCGGACGCGGAGAGGCTGAGGAGGATGGAGAACACGCAGGGACTGGTGTTTGGGTCGGGGACGAGGTGGGAGTGTTTGGGGAAGCGGTTGGCTTATGTTGAGTTGGGGAAGGTGATTTTTGAGGTGAGTGATGTTTGATCCTTCCTTCCCTCTTGATGACTGCCCACGCACTGACCACTGACCACTCCTTGTTTAGCTCTTCGCCCGCTTCGACTTCACCATGGTGAATCCGGAGAATCCAATGAAGACATCTCATCAAAGTTTGGTCTTTCACAAAGACATGTTTGTCAAGATCACGAAGAGAGAAAATCCCATACACCGTTGACCCGGTTGCTTGTGTTTTCACTGCCCGGCCACACTTCTTCTGATCACAGCCAACTTGGCAGAAGAGGTCGGGCCACTTGAGCCTGTTCTCCTGCCGTGGTATGTACGTTTCGCCCCTTATCTCATGGACTCCATGAATAGAACGGCGTTCAAACAATCACAAGGGGAGCATGGGTGGTGGGCTCGGTAATTATCCAGGTGTTGGCCTCTCGACGAGTCAACCCGGATACAGCTTGTACGGAACTGACATTCTGTTTACCAATCAACTTGCAATACCCCTTTGTCCTTGTTGCCTTCAACACGTCTTGGATCTTACTCGTGCTTCCACCGTTATTTGACAGTCCATTTGCTGTTGTCAGAAGGAGGGTGGACGGTCATCAACGACGAGCTTCGCGTCTCGGTCGGCCGGAACATGCCTAATATCATCTGTCACGTCGACGACGAAGAACGCCACCAGTTAAACAACCCCTTTTCCCTGTTTAGGTTCACCTTCATCGAGTCTCGAGTCAGTTTGCAAATTACCTCTACCCATCCCACGTTTCCCTGTCACTCATGCACTTGTGTCTTGCTCCCGACCCATCCCTCCTTCAACACCAACCATCCTATCAGGAATTTGCCGCCCTTTTTATCCACCTTATAGTAGTGTCTAACAACCCTCCACGGCGCTTTTTTTTTCTCCCTTTGACAAGAGGCCGACCGATAGATTGGGCCTTGTCGTCAACATTGCCTTTCCATATTATCCAGGCCACATATAGAGTTCCCAGTCCCCCACATGCCCCGGATCTGGCCTGTCCGCCCAATGCTACTCAACGTCTCTCATAGGCTACACATGCCGAATTAACCCCAAAGATGACATCTTGATATTGAGACAATATCCCAGATTGAGCCCCCATGACACTCGGCATTTTTACTTGGTGGAATAACAACGGCAGTTGCAAGCCACGGCAGGGTAAAACACGGACGACGTGTCATAGCTGGACCTATAGACCCAAATGTTGTGTACCTATCGTCGAACACTTATAAACCCAAACCCATGGTCGTACTCCTCCATTCCAACCGTTGCCCCTTTTCAGTTTGGCTCCACAGGACATCCAAGTCATTCATCGCCCGTCCTTGGCTTCGAGCCTCTTTCGAGCAGCCACTACTGCAAGAAGCAATCCCTCTACCCTTCCTTTCCAGGTCACCGACCTTCTCTCCACAATGTTCTGGCCCACCCTTCTCGCCCTCATCGCGGGCGCCGAAGCGCTCCCCCAATTCGGCGGCGGCGGCGGCGGCAACCGCGTCACCATGCTACGCTTCGGCTGTACCCAGGTAGTCATCGACCGGATCGACCCGCTCGTCAACCCGGGCCAGATCCCCTCTCCGCACGTGCACCAGATCGTGGGCGGGAACGGGTTTAACGTGTCGATGCCTCACACGGACATTTCCGAGCTGGCCAGCTGCACAACCTGCCAGTTCTCCGAGGACTTCTCCAACTACTGGACAGCCAACCTGTACTTCAAGGCTCGCAACGGGACCTACAAGCGGGTGCCGCAGGGCGGTGCGGCGTTGCAGTTTAATGATCAGTTTAGCACCCAGATTAATGGTGGCGTGTTGGTTTATTATGTGTCGGCTGATCCGGGGAAGATTACGGCTTTTAAGCCGGTGAGTTTGAATGAACAGACCCCTCTCCGTTTCGAACGTCTTCGGCGGTAAATATGACTCCGAGTCTCCGGCTAATGATGCCCACGAAACAGGGATTCCGTATGCTCATCGGCGACCCGAACATGCGCTCGAGACCCAACACCAAGCTGAAGAGACAAAACTGCTACCGCTGCTACACCGGCCCCAACTTCGGCGGCGACATCGGCGCTCCGTGCCAGGATGACCGAGTCGACTCGGAGGCTCTTCCCAACAAGCCCTGCCCGGGCGGTATCCGATCCAATATCCACTTCCCAACGTGAGTTCCGTCTTCCGAGCTAGCTCCCGTCCCCTGCATGCACATCACATACTGACATCCTCCCCAAAATAAAACAGCTGCTGGGACGGTAAAAACCTCGACTCCCCCAACCACCAAGACCACGTAGCCTACCCGACCTCCGGGCCCGCCACTTTCTTATCGCTGGGCGGCTCCTGCCCGTCTACACACCCGGTCCGCATCCCGCAGCTCATGTACGAAGTAGTCTGGGACACGACCAAGTTCAACAACAAGGCCGAGTGGCTCGCCGATTACGTGTTTGGCTGGAAGGGCGATTCCCTCCAAAAGGCCATGGATACCGCCGGTTGCATGGGCGCTAGGTGCGCGAGTCTGAAGACGCAGAAGATTGAGGATGCGAGGAAGTGTGCGGTTAAGAAGTTGGCTAAGGAGGATTATGATGGTTGGCTTACCAAGCTTCCTGGTATGGATATGCCGATGTGAAGAGGTCACTGGTTGTATGCACATGGGGTTTTGGTTAGACTTTGAATCTTTGGAGGACAAAGTGGTAGATGGGTGTGGTATGAACTGGACGTTGTCACTCGTTTTGTTGCAGACTACAACAAATCTACAAGTATGATGACATTGTAACTACCTAGTCGTAGGTATTGTTACCCGCGGTGTGTTCCTTAGCCATCAGGCGGTTCATTCCCAACTTGAGAATATCACCACTCAACATCACCACCGAAGAAAGGAGAAAGAGAAGTAAAAGAGAGGAGATTCATCACTAAATGAGGCTCTTAAGCTACAGAACCTAAAGGGAGGGGATAAAAAAAAAACCCTGCCCTCTGAATCCATGTCTGTAGAAAAAAAAACAAGCGCTCAACCTGTTCTTGTTCTGTACATGCCCTCTGGGGTATCTCCGACACAAGCCACTTGCTCCGTAGATAAAGGTAGCAATGTGAACCTTAAAAAACCAACAATGGAAATCCTTCTCCAGATGTGTGGGTAGTCACTTGCTCCGTAGAATAGAGGTAGCAACGTGAGTGAATCTAGACCCAACAATGAAAACCTTGTCCGGAACCTTGTCCGGAACCTTGTCCGGAACCTTGTCCGGAACCTTGTCCGGAACCTTGGCCGGAAGAGTGGAACTGATTGACCACTTCGTAAAGTAAGTAAAAGCAAGTTGAAAGCAACAGAAAGCAACAGAAAGTCATCAGAGTGATGAAAAGTGTACTGCTTGAAGAACGCAAGTAACCATGAGAATGGTATGCCAATGAGACAGCCTATACCCTTGTGTTCGGGTGATATGTCAAAGAGCTGGCTGCACCTTGCAGCAATGTCCGCTGGAACCTCGAAGGCACCAGATGATTGTGGACGTCCCTCTTTGCCCAGTGCTTAATTCTGTCCTCTCCAAACGTGGTTGAGCCAACGTCCGATCTCGTCGTCGATATCCGCAGAGCCCTTAGGTTCGTCTCGGCTGAGCTTCGTCTTCGCCACGTTTTTCTTCAGTTCATTGGCGACAAAGTCACCAAGCCCTGTGCCGGTACCAGCGTTGCTGTCGTGAGAGGTGGTGACCTGGTCGTTCTCATCATCGATGTCCATGGCATCTGGCTCTCTCTCCTTTTTCGCACCCTCCACGATGAAGAGCCATCCCTGATCGACGATGACCTCCTTGTACCACCGCGCCGTCAACTCCCAACCGAGTTGCATGGCCCGCAAGACAGGCCAGGCGAGACCGTCTGTTTGGGATGTGGAAGGTCGTAACTGGAGTTTGTGATAGGCGGGAGTAGTATTCTGGCCCATGGCCTGAGCAGGATCTAAGTGAAGCAGTCTCGCAGTGACTTGATCCAGTCGTGAGTTCTCACCGCCGAGCTGCAGCGGCGTCACCTCAAACCGGACGAAGTCCGGGATGGCGTATCGCTTGGCTCGCTCCAGCTGCGCGGGAGAGACGAGGTGAAGTGAGTGTGAGGGGATGGGAAGGGCGAAGTGACCAAGGCGCGATTGGTCGGGAGCTTGACGTTGCTCGAAGCACTGGTTCCAGATGATTTTGAGGTCGTGGGCCGAAAACGGGTCGCCTACTTTGCGTTTCTGGATGGAGCGATTTATGGTTGGGTCGGGCTTGCTGTCAGGTTTGTTCTCGGGCCTGGATTGGTCGGGAAGGCGTGGATCGGATGTCGAGGGTAGAGTAGGGTAATGGACGCTCTGCTGTGGATCGGATGTCGAGGGTAGAATAGGGTAATGAACGGTCTGCTGTGGCTCCTGGTTTGCGGATTTCTTTTCTCCTGATGTTGTCATCATGTTCGAGACTGGAGGAGAAGGGAGGACACTTGGCTCCATCTTCGCGGCCACAGTTTTGGAGACTTGAGGGGCGGAACTGCTAGAGTCGTTTTCTAGACACCTATTGAGGGGAGCAGGGAGCTTGGGAGACAGGCCAGTGCCAGGCTTGGGTGGAGCAACAGCCTTCGAGGGAGCAGCAGCCTTCGAGAGAGCAGCAGCCTTCGCGAGAGCAGTAGCCTTCATAGACGCAGCAGTCTTCGGGGAAACCGGCTTTGATGAAGCGCCAGGCTTCGACGGGGCGCTAACGGGCTTCTTTGAAGCAGTCTCTGGTTGGGTGGTGGGTGCCTCAATTGGGATGCTGGTGGTCGATATGTATCGAGGCTTAAGGATGTTTTCCCCGGTCTGAGCAAGATTGGGTTTGGACGTCAAGGGCGGTAGAATTGGCTTCGCTCTCGCTTGGAAATACATGCCAGAAGCAATACGTGAGGCAGAGATCGGTTCTGGTCGTCGGTGAAAAGCGTCCGGAAACTCTGACTGTCCACCCTGGTTTTCCGTTTGTCGCGTTGTCGGTTGTGGGCGGGGAAGGGGTTCGGGCTCGGGCTCGGGCTCGGCGTAGTCCTCGAAGTACTCAAGGCCTGGACCATTGCTGACGAAAAGTGAATCTTCATCATCTTCATCAGGCGACCTACTACGACCAGGCCTGGCCCGGGGGCTTGGGAGGGGAGACCGATTGGTGATTTCTCCTAATGCTCCAGAAGAGACTCCTTCAGCGCGTTGATCTGCATATCGAGACGCATCATGCTGGCGGTAACTCCAATCAGGAGCAGTGAAGTTTCGTCCACTGTGATTCCATGGGCGACCCGCCGCAGGACCTCTGGGAGGGGATGCTTGCTGAGAGTTAGATCTGCGTCGATGTCTGGGCTGAGATCCACCACCTGCAGGGCGAGACGAGTCACGGCCGTTGCTGTTCCGGCGCGACCCCGGTCGGTAGGAATCCCTTCGCTTGAACCCCATCGCTGATCAGATGGAAGGCAAGGCTAGGTGCTCCAAGAGAAAAAGGAAGCAGAACCTTGGTCTGTTCTGTTCAGATAGAAGCAAAGGCTGATGTGCCGACGTGAGTCGTCGTAGCACAGCGTGATCAAGGAGTGAAAAGACTCAAAGGGGGGCGGGGTTCGTGATGACTTCACTTCGCACGCGTTTTTGTGCTCCTGAAAGGCGAAGTTGCTCTGTTGACGTTGAGGTGAAAAGCGACAAGTTCAACTGGTGAAGTTGATGCTTGGTGCGGGTAGACCTATAGAGACTGGTCTGGTAGGCCGAAGATATGATGAGAAATGAGACAGAGATACCTTGCTTTGACTTGATATACTCAAGAGCGTGGTGATGTTGTGGTTGAGGGAGGAGAGAACCTTGGTGGGGGAGAACCGCGGACTCGCGTTGTTTTTGTAATCGAGAGTCGCGTTGCCGGACCAGCGTGATTTTGCAAGCGGAAGGGGTGAAGAGTCGCGCCATTGGTTACTGATTGTCGCCTTGTTTTTTCATCCGATGTCAGTTTAGGACTTGCGAAGCGTCATGTGTTTCGTGACTTGCCGTTTGAGAAATTATGATTCTCGATCATGCTTCGGCGCGACATTCAGTGTTGAAAGGCCCCCTCGAAAGGTGGAGGATGACGAGTAGAGGGTAAGCTGGATGAATATACTCGAGAAAAGGCAAAGGTATCTCTGTGTCTTCCCCAAGGTTCACAACTTGACGCTCCTGCCCAAGTGGGTACCTCATCTGGATGTCAAGTTCCATGAAGCATGTCGGCATAGGTACCATTTAACAGTACCTCCGAGCAGCTGTTCAGCTCCATGAGAGTGAAGTGTCAAACAGTATCGTACCAAAGTACAGGCCACTAGTCAATAGGCATTAGGGCTCGTCTAATGTTCGTGGAATTCATTGAAAATGCCACATTGCATTGAATCTGATACTTACCTCTTTGAGTTTAAAAGAGCAAAGCAGGTGACAACTCAGTTCTGACACAAGGCCCTTGTTACCAAGGGGCACCAGCTCCTCAGAAAGTGTCAAGCCGATGACTCGTCTCTTTTCCCTGTTTGAGTGGTGCACCATGAAATCCAACCGTGTTGAGATAAGAAGCTCGTGGGGTTGAACATGTGGGTTCTACTTCGGGGGCTTAAACGGGGGATAATATGCACATATTGAACCACAACGAAGACAAAGACATTGATCTTGATGACTTGTAGATTTGTGGACAAACGGCATTACAGCTGTTTCCTTCACCGAACTGACGGCGTTGTAAACCCAACCAGGCGTGCCCCAAGGCAACTTCGTGAAACCACGACAATGTTCCAACCACCCAGACAAAGAATGGGGTGTATAATGTTGTCAGTTTCGTGTATCGTATTCATGAACCATAGCCCATGTGGCGAAATTCTCCAAACAAGTGCCACGGCTGTATGCTTCCTTGCGACTCATAGCAAATGGGTCGCATTATCACTTCCACAACCGAATATGCCCATGACGCATTCCTTGAACCACTCCTCTCCACCGCGGCGTGAATGATGCGGTTCTGTCGGAGCCGGCTTGCCCAGGTGTAGTAGGTCATGGATGGTGTAGGTGGCGCCGGGCCCGAGTGAATCTTCCGAGATCCATCATTTTCGCCTCTTGCGTATGTATCTTCCTTTTTGTCCGTCTTCCTGAATCTTCAAACATCATCCCAACTGTCTCTCGGTCTATTGATATATCACAGATGGAGATAGTATGTGCCGACCAGATAAATGGCAAGATTCCGGTTCGTAGGGGTCTGGTAGACGGGTTGACGGTCACTTTTTGGGAGGTAGTGGTTGATTATCGATGTCGGTTGGCGTTCCCCGCGCCTGGTTGCGCATTTCATCGACGAAATATCTGACGAAGGTCTGGACCTGTGGCTTCTGTAGATTCGGATCCTCTGTGGCCTCGCCCTCGCGTAGCGGTTCGTTGGGATCACGACCATGACGGAACTCTTCGACGGTGCGGTGGATCTTGCGGACGCCGTGGTGGAACTGGGGCATTTGAAGGATGCGAGCGACGAGGGCGTCCTAAAGCAGTGAGAGGGAGTATTTGTCAGTACCTCGACTATGGAAGGAGGTTTGTTCTTGGAGACTGGATAAACAAACCTCGACCTTGAACCACACCATGGTGACGATTTTGGCGATCAAATTCATGTTGAAGGACTCGTTCGGATGTCGTTTTAGGAACCAACGGATAGTAGTCACATCTAGAGAAAGGAAATCATAGGGTGAGCGAGATGCCCTCTTCCTTCCCTCGGACAGCAGCGGCGCGTGGTGGTGCTGATGATGAAGAGTGTCCAGCTGCGAATCTGAAGTGGAATGTTGAAGTCAAGAGTTAAGAGTTACCTCTACGGTTGGACGGGGACGCCACCTGCAGCGGACTGTCAGATCTGCAGATCTGCTCCCACAGAATGCGGGGTGAGGTGATAAGTCATCGAGCTGTTTGCACTGTCTGTTTAGCAATCGCGCCGCGTCTTGATGTTAGACAACGCTCATCTCTCCTTCACCGGACACTTCCTCACTTCCACTTCATTCAATCTGTCAGTGACGCTCTTCAGCTCGGGCGTCGACCACGAACCATCACTCTGTCGCTATTTTCTCGTGATTGGCACAATGACGCCGACACTCTGCTACAAGGCGCGAGACATCAATGATATTCTTACCACATCCCATCACCTTTAGGACCGCTACCTATATTTCCTTCTAGGCTTAGTCTTCGCTACACTGCGCCAAACGGGCATGTAAAGCCATTGCTGGTTTCTTAGTCGGTTTTTGCTTTATCTGGTCAAGTCTTTTTCCTGTTCGAAATGGCCGTTGTGGAATTTAAAACCGTCGAATATTGTTGGCCGACCAATTCTAGAAAGTCTCTAGATGGGGTTCGTTCATTGCGAGAATTGGATAGCTTTGTTTCTTAGCAAAAAGCAGGCTATCTACCAGCATGAGAAGTTGTCGACAAAACCGGGTAGGCTGGAACAGATATACCTGAATCCTGTATTGCCTTTTTCCTGTTGACTCTGTTTATTCTTTCAACCCGCACTCTCTCCACTCCGTATCCAAAACCTGGTCCGTCTCTATGGGTTTTTGCAGAGCCCGAATGACAGAACTCCGAAATCGTTCCCGAGGACGTTAGTTGAACGTCCACGGCTCCCATTGGGGCGCATATTGACACCGCAACCTAGCACCGTGTGTCGCTTTCGGCTATGTATATTACCCGGTAGCGGTTCCTGCAGACCGTTCCGTTGCAACCTTAAATCGACGAGGTAGTGATTGGTTTTACGTATAACCGGCCTTTATCCGCGAATAGTGTCCTCGCGCTTATACGTTACGGGAAGTTGGAGAGTCTAAGAACCCGGTGAAGGGCGGGGAAGGGACCTAAGCGATGATCCTCAACATCATCGAGCATCTTGTCGCCATGTCCTGACAACTAGAACATATGACTGTTTGCGCCTCGTTCGTCATGGCACCGCAATACGGTCCCGGCCAAGGCCATCATCTGGACCATATGATGATCAAGAATGGATATGCCCAGACGTTCGGTACCGGCAGTTGAAGAACGAGACCAGCTCTGACCCAATGCTTCCAAGTATATACACCACAGACGGACCCAGAATCAGAAGGGAATGTCGTTGGAAGCTATCGTGTTTTTCGAGACATCGTCAACATGGTGCATTTTCACCTAAACGCTGGCCTGTGGGCAGCTCTCCTGGCATTGACATCCCTACAACCATGTTCTGCCGACAAACCCGTTGATCTCATTGTCCGCCCCAACGGCGGAAATGTTTCCTCGCCGATTATGTACGGACTCATGCACGAGGTACTTTTTCCTGCCCTTGCCCTTACCCCGGCCGGATTAAACAGTCTCGCTCACAAATATTACAGGACATCAACAACTCTGGCGATGGCGGCATCTATGCCGAGCTCATCCGCAACCGCGCTTTCCAGTCGGGCGACGAGTCCCGTTACCCAGTTACCCTCGACGGTTGGTCGCCAGTCAATGGTGCCAAACTCAGTTTGAAGAAGCTTCCACAACCGCTCTCTTCGGCTCTTCCTTACTCCATGAACGTAGCGGTCCCATCATCTTCAGCCAAGAAAGTTGGTTTCGCCAACGCCGGGTACTGGGGCATGGACGTCAAAGTCCAAAAGTACACCGGGTCGTTCTACGTCAAGGGTGCCTACCAAGGAAAATCTTTCACAGCTTCGCTTCAGAGTGCTCTGACTGGCGAGGTGTTTGGGACCACCGAGGTACCTGTCAAGAAGACCGGCAATGACTGGGTCAAGTATGACTTCAACTTGGTTCCTGGAAAGGCGGCACCAAACAGCAACAACACGTTTGCAATCACTTTTGACGCTGCAGTAAGCTACCCGAGACATCATGATCGTGATACAAGGGAGCAGTAAACGCTGACAAACACAACGCAGGGCGTCCGTGGTGGCTCGCTTGACTTGAACCTTATCAGTCTGTTCCCGCCGACATACAAGAACAGGCCAAATGGCCTGAGGGTCGATATCATGGAGGCTTTGGCTGCAGTTAAGCCGGTAAGGCGTTGTTCAAGACCACTTGTACCCCGAACAGGATCTAACAGCGGGAACAGAAATTCCTTCGCTTCCCCGGCGGCAACATGCTTGAGGGTAACACCCTCCCAACCTGGTGGAAGTGGAACGAAACAATCAGGGACCTCAAGAACCGTCCCGGCCGAGCCGGTGTCTGGGGATATCCTCTGACTGCCGGACTTGGTTTGGTTGAATACATGCAATGGTGCGAGGATCTCAACTTGGAGCCAAGTCAGTTTTCGCCCTCCTCCCTTCTCAAAACTTTGCAAACACTGACATTATACTCCAGTTCTCGCTGTCTGGAGTGGCCTTGCTCTCGACGGCGGCGAGCTCCCTGAATATCGCATAGACGAGGCCGTCCAGAGCGCTCTCGATGAGCTCGAATTCCTCACTGGCGACGCCTCCACACACTGGGGTGGCATTCGCGCCTCCATTCTCGGCCACACACGTCCCTGGAAGATCCGGTATGTGGAGATTGGCAACGAGGACTGGCTGGGTGGCGGCTCTACCGGCTTCGAGAATTACAAGAAGTATCGGTTCCCCGCTTTCTTCAAGGCATTCCAGAAGAAGTATCCAGAGATCCAGCTCATTGCCTCGCCGTCTGTCTTTGATGGCATGACTATTCCCAAGCCGGCTGCTGGAGATTATCACCCCTACCTGACACCAGATAATATGGTGTCGAGTTTCAACAAGTTTGATGGTCTGACGAGGGATAACTTGACCTTAATTGGTATGCTCACTGGATCTTGTAGAAGCCCAGCACCACAGTCTTGATATTGACTTTTATCCAGGCGAGGCAGCGTCAACACACCCCAACGGTGGTAGCGGCTGGGATGGAAACCTCATGCCTTTCCCTTGGTGGGGAGGCAGTGTCGGCGAGGCCATCTTCCTGCTCGGACTGGAGCGCAATGGTGACAAAGTCATCGGCGCCACTTATGCTCCTGGCCTTCGCAACCTCAACCGCTGGCAGTGGTCCATGACGCAGATTCAGCATGCCGCTGATCCAGCTTTGACCACACTGTCGACCAGCTACCATGTCTGGAAGGTATGTCCATGCTATTCTTTCCATTCCCCATACAGACAGAAGAACTGACAAAAATTTTCACCTCAGCTCCTGGGTACCACCGCCATAACCAAAACACTTCCCATCACCGCCAAGACCGGTGGAATCGGACCGCTCTACTACGTCGCTGGAGAGACCGAAAGGGGCACCAGCATCTTCAAGGCCGCTGTGTACAACTCCACCGAGCCAGTTGCGGTCACTGTCCAGTTTGCGGGACTTGCTGGGAAGGTAAAGCAACCGCATAAGAAGGGCACCACCGCTACTCTGACGGTCCTTACGGGCCCGAGCAATCCGTATGAGTACAATGACCCGTGGAAGCACAACAACGTGGTGAAGGAGACCAAGACCAAACTGAACGCTCAGCAGGGGACCTTTTCCTTTACTCTGCCACAACTGAGTGTTGCTGTTTTGGAGACGGATAGTGACTGAGTCAGACATAGCAGTGGCACACATCACTGGAGACGGAGCGAGTCCCGTCGAAACACTTGGTCTACCAGCAAACTTATGGCAAGTTAGAAAAGATAATAACACTCCGATGCGTACTCGCACGGCTTTTGGATGGCCTACTCGCACAGCCACCGCTAAGAACCCCAAAAGGCGCTTCGGCCCGTGACCAACTCTCAAGGAAACCTCATGCAGTCATTATCCACTCCCCTTCCAGTGCTTCAACCCGGCACATGGATTCAAACGTGATCGACTTCTCTCGCCCATGTCCGGCTGCATAATGGCATCCCCTTCCGATTGTTCCTGCCAAGAGCCAAGCGTCTCGCGGTCTATGGGGCAATGATCGGCCACCGAGGAAGGCGTAACGGAGGGACCGGGGGGACGAATGATTCCCGAAATGGAAATCATGGAGTCGAGTGTTCCGGTCTCTCTTACCCACGCTCAGAAATACTACCAAAGATGTTTCATCGTGGTATCGCCCGATGAACTTCATGTGCCGCTGAACAACCATTTATCCAAAAGAGGAAACAACTAACAATATCCCTGACTGGCTTGGATCTTGATACCACCACCACCGCTCGGAATATCGAGCCGCATCTACAACATGGCATGAGCTTTTCTATTCCTCGCATTGGGACGACAAGCCGAACACATGGTACCTTTTCAACTCCGGCTCAAAATTGCAACACCCCGCAAGTACGCAAGGCCTGGGCAACTCCCAATCCCACTGCGCCTTCCCGGTCATGGCTACTACAAACGAGGCGTTGAAAGCCAGGTTTGTGGGGAAGAATATCGAATGCTGACTTGCCATTAAGTTGGGAAACGCCATGAACTTTCCCCCCCTTTCATGAAAGTTCTCTGATATTTCCCACATGCTTCCGCGGAGTGACAGATCAGAGAGAAGAGCAGAGCAGTGAAAGCATGTCACCCACCCCCAGATTCTTAATGCGCCCCATGCGTATGCCACGATGAAAAACAAGATGTCGGGCATGATCCCGCAAAAAGACATGGACTGTCTTCCGCCGGATGGAAGGCTAAGGTAGCATTCCATGAAGAAACATCACCGGGAGTCGGGAGTCAAGACGGCAACTGGGGTGAGGAATCCTAGAGCTAGGACTCAGTGATCTAAAGCTATACTACCGATCGTCAGGGGGGAGGGAGTATGGTTAAGCAGTTGGGTATCGAGGAAAGAATACATATAAAATCCTCTTCCTACTCGCTTTGATGGTGCTACTGTTGCTCTCTTCCCGTGTCGACCAGCAGCCATACACTTTTGACAACCTATCCACCATGAAGTTCAGCAGTGCTCTCACCTTCCTGGCTGCGGCCGGAGCTCAGGCTCACTGTGAGTTACCTTTCCCACCTCCAAGTCAACGCCTCCCTTCCCGTCCTTCCGTCCCTTACTAACACCTCTCCTCATCAGATACCTTCCCCAAAGGCTACTCCACCGGCCCCGTCTCCGGCGAATGGGAACACATCCGGACCACCGAGAACCACTACTCCAAGGGCCCCGTCCAAGACGTGACCTCGTCAGCCATGACCTGCTACGAGCTCAACCCGGGCACGGGAGCGCCCAAGACTTTGTCCGTGGCCGCCGGATCCAACTACACTTTTACCGTCGACACCTCCATCGGCCACCCCGGCCCCTTGCACTTTTACATGGCCAAGGTTCCCGCGGGAAAGACGGCTGCCACCTTTGACGGCAAGGGAGCGGTCTGGTTCAAGATTTACCAGGATGGACCGAGCGGGTTGGGGACGAGTTCTATTACGTGGCATAATGATGGTTTGTTTCTTGCCTTCCTTCGTTCCTTCCTTCCCCTTCACCCCTTCCCCCCCCCACTTTCCTTTTCTCTCCCCGTTCCCCATCCCAATCCCCGTTTCACCCTCGTTCCTTCCCTTCCCTTACTAACTCTTTCTTCTTTTTCTCTTTCCTTCGCGAAAAAGGCAAATCCGAAGTCTCCGTCCGCCTCCCCTCCTGCCTCGCCCCAGGCGAGTACCTCCTGCGCGTCGAGCACATTGCCCTGCACAGCGCCAGCAGCGTCGGCGGCGCGCAGCTGTACATTGCGTGCGCGCAGATCAACGTGACCGGAGGCACCGGCACGCTCAACACCAGCGGCAAGCTGGTCTCGTTCCCCGGTGCCTACAAGGCGACCGACCCCGGTATCTTGTTCCAGCTTTATTGGCCTGTTCCTACTAGTTATATTAACCCCGGGCCTGCGGTTGCTACTTGCTAAGTAGCTGAGTAAGGTAGAAGGTGGTGGGTGGATGGGAGAGGTCGAGTTGGGAGAGGTCGAGTTGGGAGGAGTGAGTGTGAGGTGAGGCTCGGGGGAGGGAGGGGTGAAGAAGTTCCACTTGAGTGTACGTCGGGTGGTGACCGGTGGTTGTTGCATTGTTTGAAGATTTGGTGGGCGACGTGTTTTTGTTCAAGGGGGATAACTGTTGATAAGTGATGACTGAGTGTTCTTTGGTACATATTCGCCGATTGACGTTAACGGGAGCCATTGTTGCTCTGCCTGTATATAGTGAAACATAAGAGTCAAAGTGATTGGGCTTGTAGGATGTCAGAGTTGTCCACTTCACTCCTTGACAGTTCTTACCACCTGGCAGTGAGGATGTCGTGGTCCAATGGCGTGAAGCCTCGAGTAAGTACCTAACAAGCCGCAAATTATGAGATCTCTCTGTGATGGAAAGTGGTAGGGTACCGAGGAGACGAACGACATGGAGTCAGGTAGTTACGTTTATGACTTCCATGGAGCCGTCCTTTTCTTCTTTTTTCATGTGGTTGTTCTTGCAACCCGGACCTTAGCACAGTAAAAACCTGGGGACTTACCTATCCACGCTCAGAACGTTCGCTGATAAGGTATTCTTTGTGCTGGACCTTCATCTCTTCTTATTCAACACCTCATTGCCTTTCAAGAGACTTCCATCACGTTTGTCGCCTTGTGATCCAGTCAAGTTAGCTGAGCCTCCAAGTGATGTGTGGCCTGGTTCGTCCATCTGGGTCTCAAAGCTTTCTTTGCAACAGCTACAAGCTCTTCTCAAATCCTACTGAAGTGTTGGGACTTGGGAAGTAAAACGACCGGTTTGAGCTGATGAATGACGGGTTCGAATTTCCCCTAACGAGATCAGGGCAATGGCCCGGGAGAGGTGGTTGAGGAATGACGGGCCCGGGGAGGCTTGGCCCGGCCCCGGCTCCCGGTGCTCCCTTAAAAGACAGCGTGGGTCCGTTTGCAGGTACCCCACAAGGGTCTTCTCCACTAACCAATGCTAAGACCCCGCTATGAATGGCGCTAGGCGCAAAAAGGAAACACATGCTTTGTTACCTTAACGACCACAACTTCAAATGATGAAGGCTTTGTTGATATTTGCATCCGAGAACCAGTAGCTTCCAGTTTTTCTATCTAGCTTCCACGGAGCCAATCCTCTCCTCTATTTTCACTATATCATTCCTTATTTGTGTGCTACATCTCCTTTTACAAGACGACACATCCCACCCGGTGTCGATCACCGTCCCAGATCGCCCAGCGCACGCCATGGGCCACGACATATCAAAACCTGCAGGCGAGCCAGCCTCGTTCCACCGCCCTGGTGAACCTATAGGTCTCTTCAGGGTACAGAAGCAGAATCCAAAGAAGCCTCGGAAGCAGAAGCAAAAGAAGCTCAGGAATCGACGCGCCCAGAAAGATGAAGGGCCTACGAACCTCGGCGCACGTACACACCCCTCCATACCTATGCTCTGTCCAGACTGGGTGTGGTCGACCATGTCCAACGTGAGGTATGTCACGAGCTCTCCCCGGTCACAGTTCTCTGGCCCAAGCCCAATTCCACCGCACGCGACTAACCACTTCTCTTCTCTCCCGACAGCGTAGCCAAAGACCGCGAATGGTTCACCACCTACACCCCCTTCGACTCTACCGTCTGCATCAGCGGCCAAAACCTCGCCGTCCGCGGCATCGGCACCGTCAACCTCAACGTCAAACGCAACCCAGCGCGCGCCGGTCGACAAAACCAGGGCATCCTCCCTCTCCGAACGGTCCTGCACGTGCCCGACGCGACCTGCAATATCCTCGCCAAGATCCCAAACATAGATGGACAGTCATGCTCCGTCTACATCTTTCCAGCCAGGGGCGAAAGTAGGAGCTACTCAGTTATGGACGGTGAGGAAGTGGAAGGCCACCACAATGGGCAGAAGCAACAAAACGAGTTGATGAAAGGTTGCATCAAAGACCACAAGGGAAAGATGGTCGCCTACTTCGATCCAGACCACGTGTTATTCGCGCTGAAACTGAGCGGGCCGCCGATCGGGCCGATAACGCGGGAGTCGGTGCTCAAAGCGAGGCCGGAAAGTTTACCTATCAGCATCTTTGCGCAATGGGCCGCTGACGAGCTGGACAAGTGGAGTTTGAAGCGGGAGATGCAAAACTTGCTCGCGGATAGAGATGTAGATGGAGACAGCGATGATGCCAGCAGCGCGACACTCGACACTAGCGATGATGAGGAGGCCGATCCGGACTTTGTTATGGGCAATGACGACGGCAGTAATAATGTCGGTCCTGGGAGGCCAAAGGAGAATCTGGACAGGCACGGATATACGAAGGCGGAGCGGGCATTCATCAAGTCACACTTCAAGACTGAGTGGAAATTCCTGCATCTGTACGGCCTCCAAATGGAAAAGGATAAGGACAAGGAATTGGGGAGAGATATTTTGAGGGCCATGATGGCAAACGACCAGACGAAAAAGAGCACGAACATGAGGGCAGCCGGCTTCGCAGCACGCGTGACGGGACCCCGGAGACAACCACAACGCAAGGTTATTAAACGGAGCGGACCAAGAGCACAAAGAGTCAACAAGAGCGGGCCACAACAGAATGGGTTTTTAACGGCGACACTGGGCAAATATCGGGTTACACGAGCGCCACGGGTGCCACAACGCAGCTGGGCAGCGGCAGATTGACTGTTGTCAAGGAGGAAAGTACGTGATACAAACAAGTCTACCTTATACACAGTATAGATTGCATGCATTTTATCCCTACGTACGTTAGACACTGGAAGGAGGGGCATTATGGAATTAGGCGTTCTCGGTTAGGTCGGGTTGGGCTTATGTAAAATAAAATCTTGGATGGATTGTCACTTTTGGAATGCTGGATCGGAGGGCTTCGGGAACCATGTCGGGACATACCCGACACCCATCGTGGAATGGAATGCAGGTACCGTATAACATGACTTTTTCTTCTTGTTTATTTACCAGATCGTCATGTCATAATTCGCTGAGCTGAGATTTGGGTGTAATTATTTTGGATAGGATATGATTGGGGAAACAGACGACACTGACAAGTCTATCACTACCTAGGCAACCCATGAGCTGCATGCGCGCTTGAGATATCCAAACACTTCCGCGACGAGTACCTCTACTGCATATCGCGTGGATGTCTCATGGCAATAGCGGTACCACATCGTCGGGTCAACTCAGACAGTGCGGCTCAAGCATATCCCACATCTGTACGTCTCCCCTCTGGGTATCACAACGTCACTAGTAGCCTTGTCATCGATACCTCTACCGGAGTGAGGATAGCTACGTTCTTTCGCGATTCTTCGCTGTCGCTGCTGATGGACTAGTCGTCAAGCGAACATGTGAAGATCGACCGAGTTGCCGCATCGTCGTTGAACGTGATCGGAGTGTCCAACAATCTCGAAGATACAGACATATCCACGATACCGTACAAGACTTGAGAGAGTGAGGGTCCATCTCGCGCAGAAACAGCCGGCGGCTCCAAGTTGAATACCGTCGGCATCAAGCAACCACAATGGAATGACGCAGCTACAGCGCCCTATGGTTATGGTTGTGAATATCCAGGAGGTCCCGCATTGCTGGAGGTTCTACTTAAGGCCGGCAGGTTCACTCACAGGTTCTGCGAAATCTGCTCCCTCAGGTTCCTCAGGTTCAGTGGCGAAGTGGCAGTGAAGGTTCAAGGTCAACCACTTGCACATTCACTTGCACATGCAGAACCTTGGGACCGCAGAACCACGGGACCGCCGGAGACCGCAGGAGACCGCAGAAGGAGGACGCACGCAAGACATCCCACATTCACTTAAAGGTTGTCGGTTGCCGTTGGGGCAGTGCCCTTCACCCTGCTCACAACGTCTACGTGGCCACTTTAAGGTTCTGCATATATCAAAACCTTCCCTTCGAAAGCCAAAACTAGTCAACCTTCGATCCGATATCAGGGCATTCACCGATACCATTCACGAGAACCTTGAAATAAGAAAGTCAAGCGCCAGGTCCCATTTTTCAGCTGCCAGGCACTTCCGCCATCGCCGTCAGGCCTGCCACGCAAGTCAACGGCGGCTCAATAGGAACTTCTATCTCTAACATTCACTCGTGGTAAGCTGATCTGAACCTTTGGCCAAACAGTGACCGAGTATAAATCGTCGTCTAGCCTCTAACAACCGTCAGGATCAACCACGAGCATACCTTGGTCCTATGCATTCTATAAGACAACAGACCTTCCCGTATCAAGACTTTTTTCGTCTTCTTCTCTCGATCAAAGACGCAGCCATCCGACTACTCGACACGACTCTATTGCATCTCAAGAATTACTTCTTGCAGTGCCCTCGGGCATTTTCATCGCTCGCTTCTTTTACCTATCTTCCGATATCAATCAGCAATACCACCATGTCGCTCTCCAAACCCGTTCTCGCCGGCATCGGCGATAGCACTCCGTTGCCCATCCGGCTCATCGCCAACAACGGCGATACTCGTCAGGTCTACAAAATCGTCCGTCTGACTAGCGGTGGTCTTGTCCCCAGTTGTCCCATCATCGACAACAGCGACGACATCACTTCTTTAAACTCCCCCAGAGGCTCCCCCATCATCGCACCTCGACTACCCGTCGAGCTCCTCATGTGCATCTGCGACTTTCTCCCCGACCGCAAAGACATCGTCAATCTGTCAGCCACCTGCCAGGAACTCCGCGGCGCGCTTTATTTCACGCTGGTCCATCGGGATCTCCGCTCCGGCGAGCTTATCACCTTGAAGTATGGCCTCCAAACCCGCAACATGAGAGTCATCGAGCCGTTTTTCGATCGCTATCGGCATCTGATCACGCGTCTCACGGTGACTCCCAAGGAGAAGGAGGTGAAACCCGACAAAAAGGTCACCGGCAAGAAGGAGGTCACTACTACCAAGAAGGACACTACTCCCAAGAATGACAATGACAAGAACAATGACAAGGCCGGCACCACCAGCAACCAAACAGCCCTTGTGCTCCCAGTTCGCACAAGACAACCACGTCCCCCCACAACCATCATCTCCTTCCGCGACGAACACCTCCCCTCCCTCCGGCTCATCCGGCCCCTCCTCACCTCCGCCCTCGAGAAGGCCCTTATCGCCCACGACCTCACCTTCGCCGAACACCTTCTCTGGCACGCCAGAAAGGATCTGATCCCCAGCCTCACGCCCGTCCTGGAATCGGTGCTCTGGACGGCCTTTAACCCCAACACCTGTCCTCGTACCGGTAAATCTCTCGTCAACAAACGCCCAGACCACCGCACATGTGCAGCAGACCCAGGCTCTGTTAAGCCTATTGTATGGACCTGGAAGACCTGTCCCTTGGCTGCTGTCAAGCTATTAGTAAAATTTGGAGCGAAGGGGAATCGTGCCGGTCTTTTGGTGAAGGAAAAGAAGACTCGGAAGAGGAGGAGGGCCGGGGGGTTGTTTGGTGGGAATGGTGGGAATGGTGGGAATGATGGTGGAAACGGCGACCTCAACTTCAACGTCCTTATCGCCAATGGGCTGATCTCCGAGAGGGACGAGGACCCCGAAACTCCTGATGTCTACGATGGCTACTACCGCTCCAAAACGGAAACCCCGCAAGCTCACGTTCACAAGCCGGCCATGATGCCGCCTGGTCGGTTGTGGACGGGTTTGGAGCGGGTTGCGTTCTTTTATGAAGAGGCATGTGAGCGCGCGGCGGCGTCTGCTGCTAGTGCTGTTGCTGTTGCTGCTGCTGCTGCCGGTTCTGCTGGCTTTGGTGCTGATGTTGGTCCTGCTGCTGCTACTGCTGTTGCTGCTGCTGGCTTTGGTGCTGATGTCGGTCCTGCTGCTGCTACTGCCGGTTCTGCTGACTCTGGTGCTGATGTTGGTCCTGCTGCTGCTGCTGCTTCTGCGGGCGCTGCTGCTCCGGTGGCTACTAAGAGCAGGGGCATAAAACGCAACTTATCTGGTAGTTTTCGCAACCCAGGTTCGGGTTCGGGTTCGGAGCCTACTAGCCCTGGCACTGGCACTGGCACTGGCAGCAAAGAACGTCGCTTCTTCCCGGTAACATGCGAACGTCACGCCGCCGAGGGAGGAGGAGAAGGCAGCACTTGCTTCAAGCAGCTTATCAAAGTCTTGAGCGAGGGTTGTATCGCTCACGACGACATGGAGATCCTCCGAGGAGTTACCAGTTTGAGCAGCAGCAGCAGGGGGCGTGCACCACGTGCACGTGCACCAGCACCAAAAGCTGCTCCCTTTCTAGAACACGACCTCGACAACATGCTCAAACTCACCGAAATCACCGTCCCGTTCTTCAAGATGTCCATCGACGAGCAAGCAGGGAAGCTGTTTCAGGAGATCTTTGAGGAAGCTGAGAAAAAAAAATTCAAGGAGCTGGATAGGTTGGGGGAGAAGAGAGAGAGGCTCGAGAAGAACAAGAAGATGAAGAAGACGGAGGAGAACATGACGAGGACCACCGTACTTGAGGATAAAGATGAAGATGAAGATGAAGACTTCTGGGTGGAACAGCAGGAGTGGGATCTTGATGAGGAGGAGCCAGAGGAGGACGGGGAGTGAGTCAGTGTTCTCTCGAATAGAGGAGGCACTTTCGTTCCGTGGTTGAGGCCTTCATGCTGGAGGTTGTAGCAGGGGAGGACGTTCGGGATTATTTACCTACAGTACCGCGTCCAGTTATTCAACCAGGGACATCTTCTGTTGGAAGTCCGTGCCCTGGGCCGCCCATTCACTTGGCGCCCATTCACGGGCACTCCCTTCTAGGGTATTTAGGCTGCCCTGGTTTCCGTTTCTCCTCTTCCGTTAGACAACTCCAGAATCAAGCCCTTTTCGTTGTCGCCTTTTCCAGCCTCCAACATCTTCTCGTCAAGTTGCGTGTCTCTGATGAGCCGCTACCCCTTCGTCGTGCGCCAGCAATGAGACGAGGCTCTTCCTCAGCTATATATATCGTCGGTGTTGGCGCCTAGAATAGTTCATGTTCAATGCTGGACCGCGATAGGAGTCATGGACTAGGTAGCTCAAAGCTGAGATGCTACTACGCCTGTATGGAACCTGGGATTTCTATACCCTGCTGTGGTCAGGCATGTGAGGCGCCTGGAAGATATTTATCACTCGATCAGCGGGGTAAAGCCAAGGGGTTTTCTTCAGCATCATCAGCTTCGACAATGATGGATGCTGGGCAGGAAATCTTGGCCGAAATATGGAGTCTTAGTTAGTTCAAAATGTGTTTCGATAGGATAGTGGTCCAAGAATATTCAGCGAATATAGATGTTGAAATTCAATGTTTAACTGTGACCAGACCTGTGTTTGTACCTGCGCTGACGAGGGAATTGCCTAACATGCTATCTTGCGATTAGCAGGGCAGCGCGTTAACCACTCCGCCAAAGTGATTAACCCGTTATGAGCTAGTGTTTCTGTATGACATCGGGAGGATGGATGATGGAGCGATAAAGGAGATCAAGGGGGGTGGTAAGAAGAAGAAAGCGAAGCATGGGGGAAAATGTGTTTATGGATGCTTTCTGGGAGAATAATCGAGGAGAGAGAATGCCCCGTCTGGTCGGGAACAAAAACAGTACCTATGTACATTGTGGCCTCGTATTTTTGATTCTGTAGGAACTCTTAAGAAACGGAGAAACAAAAGAAAATATTGGATGGCTTTCAGGTTGGTCCCCAAGTCAAACTAAGGAAAGGCAAGGTGGTGCACAGCGACATACCTTATTGCTGTTTGGAATAGCGCCAGTTACATTCGAGATTATAGGTGCTTCTTCTTTACCCATCTACTATCAAATAACGGGTTAGTCACTTTGGCGGAGTGGTTAACGCGCTGCCCTGCTAATCGCAAGATAGCATGTTAGGCAGTTCCCTCGGGAGCGTAGGTTCGAATCCTACAGGTGACGTTTTTTTTTGCATCTTTTTGCCTGTTTTTTTCTCATCGGGTCAAACATATCGCTGTTGAACACCTCCAGTGACGTTTTTTTTGCTGTTTTTCCTTTTTTCTGACCAGGTCAAATATAATCGCCGTTGAATACCAAACTTCTTTGTAATGGGGACAGCACAGTTAATACAGGTGCTAGTCGTATAGTTTAATTAAGGTTCTATAAAGAAGGAAAATTCTATTTGAGAGGCGGCTCTACTGGAGATACGAGGTTTTGATAAGGGCTATACAAATATAGTTATAGCGCCTTATAATAATTTAGGTTAATAATTAGAGTGCTATAGCCCGGGCTTTAGCCCTATAATATTACTCCCCTCCTTCCTCCTCCTACCCTTCTACGCGTTCGCTCTTTCTATTTCGATTAACGAAGGCAATAAGTAATAGGTAGTAGCGTACGCACACACGCACCTCTAGAATTACATACAAAAACCCCTCCCCGACTTTTTTTCCTTCCCTTTCTCCTTTCCTCTTTTCTCTCTAATTGTCGTTTAAATTATTAAAGTAAATATTATTATCCCCTAATTAATTTTTCGCTTGCCCTTTTTAATTAAGGTAAATACTTTATTTAATTTTGTCCGAACTGTCCCTGTCCCTATTTTAGCCGTTTAAAAACGAGGCCCTGTCTTCGCCGTTATTATACGGCTTTTAATCCCCTTCCTAGAAAGCTATTACCCGTTATAAGCGTACTAAAAACCCCGTTACTACCCCTAAAAAGCGTAAATTTATTAAATTTAAATATTTATTAATAAGTTCTCCTGATTATTCTTATTTTAAAAAATCGTCCCTAACTTTATTTATTCTTTAAACGGATTATAACCTTTCCGAAGTCCTATATATTTCGTATTTAAATATTCTGCGCGAATACTATATTAAATCTAGAAATTAGGCGTATATAGTCTACTATAATAATAATAAATAATATAACCGGGCCTTGTCTTTAATTTAAAGGTTCGTTGTAATTTAAAAGGCGGTGACTTCTAGTAAAGAGAAGACGAAGGCTTTCGGGTACGTCCGTAGAGTTATAGCTATTTAACGTTATACCGCCGAACTAAATAAAAATAACGCTATTTTCCCGTAAGTTTTTTCTATTTTATTTACTTTCATAAAAATAAATTTCGGTTAATTGAGACTTTTAAATAGGAGTATAGTTACTTCTTTTCAGCCTTTAGTAATACTACCGCTGTTTCCTTAACCCTTACTACTCCCCCGACCCTTACCGTTCCTATTACCCCAGCTACTCCCCCAACCCCTACCTTCCCTTCTAAGGAATTTATTATAATAAAATTAGTAGCCCGCTTCGAATTGTTCGAGAAGCGGTTAGAAGTTATAAAGATTAGGAATAACTGGAAGTGTAAAATGCTAAAAAAGAATTAGAGAAATTTAAAATCGATATTTACTACCTTCTTTTTTTCTTCTTGTATTACCATCTTTATTACTTCGTATATTCCGTATTAAAATATTCAATTAATCTATTATTAATATCGGCTAAATTATATTTTATTTCAAAATAATCTAAAGCTACTATATTATCGAATTCTTTTAGTAGTTCCTAAAATTATTATACTTAATTAACCTAATTAATTAAAATTATTTTACGATTTTTTTAGTTATATAGTAGAAGATTTTATCTACGAAGTATTCTTTTTTCCTATTTATTATAATAATTAATAATTAAAAGTCAATAGTAATTTAGCCCGGTAGAGGGTTATTACGAACCTTCTTAAGTAAATTTATATAAAATTTATTAAAAATTTTTAAAGAAAGGTCGGAAAGCTCTATTATAAAAGTGTTGAGAATTTTAAATACTGTATATTTTGTATAGACTTAATCGAACTTCTTCTTAGGGTGCGCTATAGTAAAATTTTTAAAATTTAATTAAATTTTATTTCCTACTTTAAAGATTTTAATTAATTACTTCTTATAATTAGTAAAACGCTCCTATTTTTATATGAATGTTATTATAGTTATTTAATATAAATTCGTAATTTACTATAATATTTTAATAAAATCCTTAGTTCTTACCTACGGGTTTTTAAAATTTACTTCTATTAGGGGAATTACTAGGGTTACTAGGGATTATAGATAATAGCTATAAGTAGTAAAGAATAAAGATATACTAATAGAAGTATTAATTCGGTTATTAATCGCTAATTATACTATTAAATATTAATAATCCTAATCGTTTTGGGCGTAATTAACGAAAATCCTCAAGAAGGCTTATACTTCCTAATTTATTCTTTTAGGGCTACCGTCAGTTTAAGGGTAAAAAGTAACATTTAAGAGTTAATTAATACTTAATAAATTGTAGAGATACTTCCAAAATCGGCTAGTTTAATTAATACCCTTATTATTAATAATAGATTACGGCTACTTATAATATTGTACGAAGTATTTAAAGAAAATTTCTATTATTATTTCTACTTCTATAGAGGGTATTAATTCTAAAATTACCGATTTATTAAATTTATTTTTAATAACGAAGAGGTTAACGTAGCTTCCTATAGGGGGGAGATTAATAATAAAATCTATTTAAATATTTTTGAAAAATTGATTTAGGATAGAAAGAAGGTTTAATAGCCCTCTTTTTAATTTCTTTAATCTTTTATATTATTACAAATATTATAATTAATTAAGAATCGATATAAATACTTATTAGTAACTAATAAAAGTTTCTATTTATAGTACAAATAGTATTTTCTCTTCCCGGGTATTTAAGAGCCTTCGAATTATATACTTCTTAAATAATATGGGTACGGAGAATATTCTTTTTAACGTTTTTTAAAGATATATATAGGGTTGTAACATCGGTAATAGTAGAGGTTTTTAGAATTTAGATACGGCCTCTATAATATAATTTGCCAAGCTTGTCGATAGTATATTCGCTGAATTAAACTTTTAAGCCCTACGCAGAAATTAGAAGGGTCTTATCTTTATTAATAACGGTTTAATAAATAGTTTAATAAATTTTATTTTTTTTAGGAAACTTTCTTAAAAAAACTATTGTAAATCCGGACTTTCAAATACCTTTACACCCTCCCCCGCTATAATAAAGGAAGCGACTATACGAATATAATTTTTAAGAGTAGATTAGGGAATTAACTATATTTCTTTAATTTTTATATCCTCTTCGTTACGGCGGTCCTAGTCCCGGTAGGATAAAATATTAAGAATTACGGCGAATTTCTCCAGGCGGTAAAGGATTTTGAAATTAAACCGTAAAAGAAATTCGGCCCATCGTGCTTATTATTTAAAGAGTTTTTACCTCTCTATAAAATATTTAGAATTATAATAATCAATAATAATAATGAACTTTTTATAATTTTTAAATTCTGTAAATTATTTTTCTATATATTTAGTAATTGTAAGTGTTTTTTTATTATAAATAGGGTAATTATATTCGGCGGAGGTAAATTCTTAAGAATAATAAGTAACCGCCGTTTTCTACCTATTCTTCTCTTAAATAAAAATATTATTGAGACTATACCCGTTGTAATTTACCTCTAAGAAACTAAGTAGATTGGAATTTTATTAAATAAGAATAAGGGTTTTAATAAATAATTCCTTTAATTTTTTAAAAGTTATATTGTATTATTTAGTCTATTTAAAAGGGACCCCCTTGCTAATAAGGGCTATTAGCAGTCCTGCAACCGAAGAGAAATCTTTAATAAATATTTAGTAATAGTTAATAAATTTAAAGAAGTTTCATACCCTTTTTTAAAATGTAGGTACTTCCTAATCGATAATCGCTTTAATCTTCTCCAGGTCTGTTTAAATATTAATATTTATAATAATAATAAAACCTAAATATTTAACGCTTTTTACTACGAACTCGTATTTTTTGGGATCTAAATAAAGCTTAATAGTAATTATACGTTTAAAGATTATATATATTTTAATTAAATAATTTACTTTAGAACGTAACGAAAATATTAGTATATTATTT